TCGTATGTATAGCTAGTCGGTCGTGGTCGCTATATGGTAGATATTTATATCATGACAAGCTTAGCGAAGTACTCTTCAAGATTGCGAACAATCTCATGAAGCGGCACGTTAATTTCTGTCTTAAAATGCCCCATGTTCGACCTAAGACAGATACGGTATATGATTTGGCTCGCCATGTCAACCATGTATTCGTATATATGGAAAGCTCTGTCCTATCTGTCAACATAATCGATCACGCCGAAGCTTTCTTCAACTACCCGTTGCGTTCTGCTCGTACTTTCAAGTAGCTTTAGGGGGTTAAACTTATGGGCTACCTCGAACGCCAGGGTATCGCTATCATAATAGCAACGCTATTTCTTCCTTTATATATTGAGCAGAGTTGGACAGGTCTAATGTGATTTTGGTGAAGTATTCGTTCACACCGAGACGAAGTTGGGAAATTCGCGGGTCGCTCGTTAGATAGGCGGCGGTTTACATATTTATAATCTCGATCACGCTTCCATATCTGGTGGGTGTCTAGGTAGGAAGTCTTTTTGTCAACTTAATATAGACTCAGTAGTGTTGTCATTAGCACCGTTGAAACTGGAAAGATATAGCGATAGATTACCATTAGCTAAGTCTTTTTATCATCGTCACTATAAATATCTTATTCTTAGGACTAGCGATAGCGAAAGCGCTTGCCGATGAGTAGCTGGGAAGATGGTAATACCTCGATGACCGCGGCCCCTCTGTTTTCTTTGCCTGACAATATGAATTACTTTTTTACCATGCTATTGGAACAATTATAACTAGCAAGGCAAGGTTATTATTTGATAAACAACACACCGGATTCTTTCAAGAATTATTACATACCTCGTTATGTAGCTATGATTATAGGTTATATAGAAGTAGCGCTCGTAAGCCCTGGAGAAAATTGCGCCTGATAATAAATGTAAGCGACATGAACAAGTAACCCTAAAAGGGATATGCAATCAGCTTTGAACTAAAGGAGTAAGTCCCTGTTAAGAATATGTATCATAATGTTAGAACCAAACAGACATCTTCGTATCTAGGCGAGCTATGGCTGGAATGAGTTCTTGAATTCACCTTTGGATTTCTGCGGTTTTCAAATAATAGTAGTCCTCGTCAAATACTTCGTTATAGCGTACTACCTATATTGACGTAAAATAATAAACAGAACGCTTCTGGTGATTATTGGCTGGTAATTCATGGGAAAAGTAACCTTGTTAATTTGTATTTTTGGAATATACCTCTTGACTATGCCTTAAGTCTATAATGTCTCAAAGTACCTATACTCTTTCCCTAAACTCTTCAACTTTGTACGAGATACGTTGGAGGTAGTTAGGAAAATTGACGCTGCAAGACTCACGTCGGGGTCTGGTGTAGCGCATAACGATTTGTTCCCTCTGTACTAGCTAAATCTATCATTTTCACAAGAGTCCTAATGTCGAAGAGTTCTGTAGGTATACCGTGACCCCCTGAATGATGATATACGCGAGCTAACGATTGATCGCATAGACCACAGACTAATCTTGACTGCGCACTCATTACAGGTAGATCTCCTTTTCCGTTGACGTGGACCGTTGGTATTTTGATGCGGTCTTGAGTTAAAGAGTGATGTAAAACCCGAGGGATAGCTTCTTGGTTCCGTTTTTTGAAAAAGCTGGCTGATTCTGTTGATAAGCCTATATTGCTGGCTACCGTGAACGTTAGAGCTAAGTTTTCGACAAAGATTCGCTTAGGTTTAGTAAGTTCGTTGAATTCTGCCTCGGGAAACGTCTGAATTGTCTCAAAGTCTTGGTTAAGAAGACCTTCTACGATGGATTCGTAGCATTTCTTACTAGGTGAGAAAGCCGATACCGAAGAGAATAAAACTGCGAACTCAAAGGGTAGTTGTGTCTCAGGCTCACGGGCTTGATAGTCGAGTAAGTATGAGGCAGCCATAGAAGCACCTTGGCCGAAGCCCAATACTCCGTGAAAGGGGCCATTTTCTTTCACAAATTGATCGAGGTTATCGAGAGCTTCTCGAATCTCAAGGGTCGTGTAGCCCGTGGTATATGAAAAAAATGGCCCTAAGTAATAAGGCGCTATTCCTAATGGTGTATTGGCAAAATGGAACACATAGAAACCGACATATCTATCATCAAACTCACCTGGACCCCTTTCTCTTTCGACCGCTCCATCCAAGTAGACAAATTCGTATCTAGGGCCGAGCTCTCTTGCCAGTGGAACCAGTTGATCCTTAACAATCTCTGCGGAGGAGCCGATGCCGTGTAAGGCCAATACTCTCTTCATAGTGACTGGTAGACTCAAGGCGTGTTAACAACATCTGCCGAAGATTTAGGTACCAATGAACTTCTGAAAGTAAAGTAAGTGATATGAAGATATATTCAAAGAAAGCGATGTAAAATGCTTCTGGATAGTAAAGCTCATCGCCTTTTAGCACCGGTATCTACCTCCGTCCAAGATTTGCTTTAAGCTACCATATTCTCTTTCGAGCCTTTTCAGGTGCCATTTAGATAGGTCGCCCTAAAACGGGATTTGCCAACTACATAGCCATCTCCGAGCCCACCATCTTCGGCGTTTTAATTGTTTTTGTCTTTCCAGTTGCATCTACTGAAGTGCAGACTACACTTGACAACGATACGGGATATGTGGTAGATACATTATTTTATTCAACAAATCGGACTTTTTGTTAGTCTAATTAAGATATGTGTAGCCTATTGGCACTTCAAGGGATATAGGCCAGATTCACCATGCATGATAAGAAGCGATATTACCCTAATAAGTCTTGGCCAAAAATTGTGATACAGTTTCTTAGTACGTAGTTGTGAGATACCTTTATTATATGGGGTGGATAGTTAGAAACCAAAATCCTCATGCTTTCATGATCTTTGTCCGCTTCTGCCTTCATAGACTATCATCATCATCTAGTTGTTGTTGCTTCTTACTTTAGGTACCTACCTTACTCTATTATCAAAGCATAAGACCGCGGCGCAGCTGTTCAAGCCAAGACCTGAAAAGATGACTGCAGCTGCAGTGAGAACGGGCAGATCCCGCTGCACATCATATCACGAATGCCGCGATCGGTCTTGGCAGATAAGATTCGGTTGAGCGGTAAGTAGGTACGTATATCACTTTAAAAGGTGGGTTTTATGCGAGGATGCATCTGTGAATGCGGGATGGGAACAGCTAACCCCGCTAAGAGGCTGCTATGAAAAGTGGCGTGTGAGGCGTTTGAAAACGGTGGGTTGATAAACTAGCAACATTCGAGATTCTCTGGGCCGACATGGATTTTAACCGTTGTTAGTTGGGATGCCAATGGATAGGATAGGCGGGGTCGGTAACGGGTTGGGCTGTTTTGTAGGGAGTATGACAAGTGACAGGTAGTTGACCTATGAGGGCAGCAGGGTTATGGTCACACTTCATCCGAACTTTCCCCAATAGTTAATTGCCATGCATATACTTAGCCCGGATGGCATATCCCGCGAATTTGATGATTGAGCAAATGGATATCGTCGTGGGGAAGGCGTTGGTATAAGTATTTTAATCCCATAGATAATATCGCCTTATGGCAGTATCCGATTGAGTTGGCGGCAATAGCTGCCACCTATAAACTCATGGTCTATAGGTTTACCGAAGAAGATATTCGTGCGTAGCTCCCGCGGAGAAGCTGGTATTAAAAGGCTCGCCAAGACTTTAAGGGGTTGCTTCAGGGGGGCGGGGTCTCTCAGCTCGAGGATTAACAGCCTTATGGCCTAGAGCGGTTCGAAGCATTTAATATTTCCCTCGCGATTGGGGGGCGGTGGATGCGGAGATGAGTCCGAAAGACTGTACGGGCAAGACTGCGCAAGATTGTTGTCAATATACAACGTCACTTTGCTAGATGAGGTCCAAAATGCCAGCGCTGAGGTAGCGAAGTTTCAAGGAGATATAGATTCGTAACCAAATATTCCGCGAACTCAATAATGACATTTGTATTCGAGATTCTTAGCTCGGGCTCATTAGCTCGGGTATCGAGGTTGATCGCATCGCGAAGTCAGCTTATTCTAGGTAGTTCGGATACGGGAGAGCATATATGAAAAGTGATGTCACAAGACAATCAAAAGTGAAAGTAAAGACGAACAGAGAGATTACCTAGGTTAGTTAGGTTAGGTACCGCTAAGGGATGTAAACGCGACATCACGTGTATAACCCCTCTATACGAGGTACCTCGATTAGCCTATAAGCTTTTAATTAGGGTCATATTAAGGATCATATGCATTGTGTCAATAGAACTTGAGGAACTTTCCATTTTACAACATCAATCACCTCTAATCTTATAATGTAAAGGATTTGAGCCTCAGCAACCTTTCCTTTGCGAATATGGGTCTATAATACTTTGGTTTCTTTATTAACTATCCGATCTAATATCGTCTATCTTGCGAAATGTCACTAACAAGTGTCTACCTCATAGGAGCTCAATTCCCGAATGGTCTTAGGAGGTACATTGGCACCCTCTAAGACGATTCTGTAAGACGGGCAAATACTGGGCAGTGTCTACACGAGGCGCAGCAGACTTTCTATCATATAATATGACAGTCAATACCTATGCACATAGTTAATACTAACATAAGAGTTATTGTACTGTTGAGTCATGTTGAAAATTTTCATCGCTGTTCTAAAAGGGCGTTTACTACCATCCACACAGGTAGACAGGGAATCCAGGCGTGGCTTTATTTTTCCGAATTAGGTCATATTGACAAGTCGCAGGGCGCGCAAATATCATATGTATAGCATAGATGGCTAACATGGAGCCTCGGAAGTCCCGAAAACCGGATACCCTACATCATTAAACAAAGCTAAGTTCGATCGGTTCAATATAAGGTGCCCCTAGGACATTCTGCTTCCTTTTCAACTCGTATTTTGGTCAAATCTACAGGCTCGACTATAATTGCATTTTTCTATTTCTTTTCTTTTTTTTGTCATTTATATCATTCGCCACGACTTGTATTCACACGATGTCCACGAAAATTGCGTCAGTCGTTACCACCACCGAAGTCCAGGTGAAACAGACATGCGAGGTGACCATCGGCGACGCACTGGTGTCTGATGCGGCAGCAATAGCTCTGATCGGCGCCAACACTTTCACCGCTACCTTCGGTTACTCCGTCCCAGAAAACGACTTGGCAGACTTTCTAGCAGAGACGTACTCGTCAGAAGCTATTGAAGAAGATATCATAAGCGCACACGAGAACAATATCAGCACATTCGTCGCCCGCGATGAAATGGGCTCTATTTTAGGGTTTGTGCAGCTCGTTCGTGGCCTTACAGATTCATCCTTGAAGGGAGATCCCTCTTCGCACGCCGAGCTGCGGAGGCTTTATGTAGATACCACGGCCCATGGCAAGGGTATCGGGAGCAAACTCATCACCGTGGTCGAGAACAGGGCCAAGTCCGAAGGCTTTAAGCAACTGTGGCTTACCGTCTGGGAGGACAACAAGAGTGCACAACGGCTCTACCAGAGGCTAGGGTATTCGAAGGTAGGCGCTGTGGAATTCGCTACCGGAACCTGCATTCAGACGGATTGGGTATTGGTAAAAAGCCTGTGATTGATTTGAGTCCAGTCATGCCTCCTCTTTTTAAATATCAGGCATAGAGGCATGGATAGAAAGGAAGCGAGTTTGCATACATAGACGGGGCGTTGGTACATACAAAAGACTTTGGGCATTCGGTGGCAGTCTTCATTTATAAATAGGTACCTTACCTAGGTACCTAACATATCACTAAAGGGGGAGTTATGGCGGCAGCATTTCCATAGCTGGACAACGTACAAATAGGATACAATGAATTTCTATATATCAGACATATCAGACAAGTTTGATAGATCATAATTACAATAATTACAATTCAGATGAATGATTTACTCAAGGTGAAACGTTGGTTGTCACGTGAAAATTCTCTGGAGGCTCAGGGGTTAAACACTGTGTATTTTCCCCGCTCATTATTCACAAGCAGCCAAGGTTACAAAGACGTTATATGAATTAGCACAATTGTAATAATTATTACAAAGTGACAAACATGTGTCATATTTCTAGTAGAAGCTGGGCACAAATCGAACTTAAAACGATCATCTTCCCGCGGAAATACGAATTAATAGACACATATTCATAAGAGTAATTCGTCATTGACATCAGAACCAAAACTTTAGTAACACCCATACCCGCACCAAGATTGCCTTTGTCAAATAAGATTAGAGAATCATATCTATTTACTAAAAAGGACACTCAGGATGGCGGCAGCAAAGTCAACTAACCACCTTGTTAGCTTCTCTGATGAAATAATACCTTGGGTTGAGGAAACTGGGGCTCAATTCCACTATGATCCTCTACGAGATGACGCCATAAGGCTTCTAGAGCTTAAACCGTCTCTTCTTCAAGATCCAATAAGATGCAACCTCTTGCATGTGAACAGCAACGAAAATCACCAATATGAGATTCTCTCTTGCGATTGGCAAAGCTCAACAGGGCCGCAAGTACCTATATCTCTGAATGGCCACACTTTTGATACCCCATTCGAGGTTTACGTAGCACTGCGCAGAGTCAGATTCGAGGATCAGCCGAGATTCCTTTGGCTGGATGCTATCTGCGTCAACCAGCAACTGAATAAAAATGATCAGAATGCCGACGAAACGGAGAGGAGTATCCAACCCTCTTATATAAAGGGCATATATCAGGGTGCAACAGGCCTCCTTGCGTGGATTGGGAACGCCAAGGACAACTCGCATCTTGTGTTTGAGCATCTCGATGAGTGTCGCGAACATAGGCATATCAATTGGTGTCGATATCGGGGTGAAACGCGGGATGCCTTTCTTAACCTGTCTCGCAGGTCATGGTTTCAGAGAACTAAATCTGTTCAAGAGCTCGCTTTAACTAATAAGGCTAATATTCTATGTGGCCGTCATCAGTGCGAATGGCCAGACTTGATGAAATGTACCGACTTCTTAGGGATCGGGGACTACTATCATCCGTTAGAAGGGCCAGATGGCCGAACGCATCTGCGTCATCTTTGGGAGCTCTCTCTCGGTAATATTATACCGTTGAGGGACGTATTCCTATGGAGCCGACATGGTCAGGTTCACGACCCTAGAGATAAGATATTCAGCGTTCTAGTACTGGATACAGGTATACGGTTTGACATTCCTATTGACTATAGGCAAGACCTTGTCCATCTTTTCAAGAACTTCACACAGACGGTCATCGAATCAAGCCAAACACTCGAGATCCTCCACTGGCTAGGATCACAGAATAAATGCATCGATGGCCTTCCGTCATGGATTCCTGACTATAGCATAGTCAATCCCATAGGTACTTTACCAAGAATATTTAGCGCATCGTCAATATATTCCGTTCATTATCCAACTCTAGTACTCCCGGGGTTTGAATTCCGACTTGATGGCTCTCTAGCGATCCACGGACGTCTTATCGAGAAAATCGAGAAAATAGGAAGTGAGCTGGGAGCAAGCGTCGCTGTTGGCGGCAAAGCATTCAATTCGATATTGTCCGAATGGGAAGCTCTCGCTTTGAGCCTAAGCTATAAAAGGTTTCCACAGGCTATCATTGACGCCTTTGCTGATACTCTCATCGGGGACGATCGTACCGATATGCTAATTGAAAGAGACGGGATCCCGTATATTCGAGCGTCGAGACCGTCTAAATCGCCATCAGCTGATGAATTCCATGAGTGGTATGGGCAGTACGGTGCGGGTGTGCTGGGAGAAGCCAACTCGACACGCGCAGGGGACGGAGCTAGCAACTGGCTTTTGACGAGGTATGCTCGCCGGATGGAAATGACTTCCTACGGACGCAAATTCTTCACCACCGATGAAGGTTCGATGGGTCTTGCGCCACCATGTGCGAGAGAGGGTGATGACTTGGTGTTTATTCCTGGTGGAAAGTACCCGTTTGTATTGAGAGCTAGGGGTGACGGCACTTACAAACTTATCGGGGACTGCTTTCTATACGACCTAGACGTGTTTGCACTACTACAAAATGAGAACATAGAGACTCAGAAGTTCGTTCTCGTTTGAAGGGTTACGGGAAGCTATGGCCATTGTAATGGAGCGTTGACAATTCGCCAACTACGACTATCATCATAGCAATGAAGTCTTTTAGTCTAGCATTAGATTCCCTGTGTGAGCATATGAAATAATAGCGTATTAACTCTGTTTAACTTAATATAAACGGAAACCTAGGTATCTACCTCTCATTCATTGATTACACCTCGTGTCGTAAGGTGGTTATGTGTCAGGGGTAGTTACAGGGTAGCAGGCAGGCTTTAATAGATCAAGTTTATCTGTCCTGACATTTACTCTGTGTATGACTTCAATCAAAGTTATAATATCTGATATTCTGCCGTGATTTAGTAGGTTAAACTTTGAGAGCTGCGATGAAGTGTCGAGGTTTCATAAATGAACGTGGTGTTGGATTTTATGTGTATAAGAATTGTGACCTGTAACGATCCTATCAAAGCATAACGGCCGCGAAAGCTACCTAATCAAAGAAAGTACAGAATAAAATGCAACCCTATAATAACATCGACCCAAAGTGCAAGTAAATCATTCTCCTTAAACACACTCTACTACCTATAGAGGTCTTGCTCTTGTAAAATTACTAAAAACTCCATATCATCCCCTTCTCTCCCCAACCGAGAATCACTCCTCCGACCCAAAGTCGGGAAAGCGCAGGGCCGATGTGTCGAAGTCGCATGAATACCGGACAATCCAATCGCTGTCTCGGCCGGACTGGTACACGATGATGCCGCTTGGACTGGTAATAGTAAGGTTGAAGAGGCCGTACCGCTGACCGTTCGCGAAGACGAAACGCAAAGGGTAGAAGCGGTCGCCCTCGAGGTCCTTCCTGACGCTGGCAGAGCCGTGGCGGTTATCGTTACGCGCAAACGACCATACGGCCTTCGCGTCAGCATTCTCGTCCGTCCACCCGGAGACCGCTGTTTCGCCGATCCAGGCAAATACCACGTCGTCGACGTCTGTGATGTCAAACTGCCAGGTGCCGCCCTCGCAGGCATAGAGGTATGCTTGGTGGTTCAAAGCGAAGTACGTGCTGTTGAGCTCGACAGGGGAGCCGTAGAAGGTAGTGGTATCGGGGTTGGCATTCGTGTAGCCGAGGTGGCCTCCGATCCAGGGTGTTACGTCGGAATAGATTGGGATACGGGTCTTGTAGACATCCGCGCGGAATCCGGGGTAGTTCTCACCATTGTTGCGTAGGGGGTTGCTGTAGTAGGACCAGTCCCAGCCTTGGTTGCTGCAGTTCTCTGGCTTAGGCCAGCTGGGACATAGTTCTCTGGAGAGGATAGCTGTGCCCAGGGGTAGGGAGGCTAGTAGGAGGGTGCTGAGGTTTTGCAAAGTGAGCTTCATGATTTCGATGATTAAGTATAGTGGGCGAATATGTGTTTCTGGAGTGAGTTTAATATGTGAGCAGATAGACGGATAATCAATCCACTTTGACAACATTCGGAAATGTCCTTCGCTTAAATAATGGGAACCACGAGAACCTTTTCTCCTCCGTATCCTCTCTTCGGGTAGGTAGGTATCCGTTCGGCTCATCCAAACTTGCACCGTATCACTATAGAAAATCCAAAGGGGCGACGACATAGTTCCCACTCTTGAGTAGCACCATTAGTCGTTACATCAGGAGTTGAAGTTTGACCTACGTCAATATTTCGACCATTTGGAAATTGAAAAGGTTGAAATAGGATCGTTCAGCTGAGTCCTACTTGGTCCGCTTTGATGAAGACCGTGATGCTACTGCTTCTCAACGAGTAACACAATAGATGCCATTGAGCTTGGTATGTAGGGCTTCATCAACAGATATCTAGTCAGATTGCAGATCTGCGTCCATAAGGGAGATCTTTCACTCAGCTGAAAACACCAGCCTCAAGATGACTGGCATTTCCAGCAGCCCTGCAAGACCACGCCAATGATATAAGCTGAATGCTAGATTTATCATAATATTGGCGAGCGACTATTCCCATTGGGGTCATAATGATCGCACCGTAGAGATTTGTTTAACTTCCACTACCCATATTGAGTACCTAGCTATTCGTTAACTGGGCTACTGTGTTCTGGCTATGTCTCTAAGATATGTTCAGTTGGTCTTTATGATTGGTATACTTGGGAAGCAAAAGATCTATGTGCTATCTAAGTGATAGATGATGAAGCGCTTTTTGGCGTCTATCATTTATAAAAAGAAATCTCACCCCGCCTGTTTTTTTACCTTTTTCCTTCTTTATATATTATGAATTTTCGATAGAGTATCAACATCAGCAATAACTACCCCTTTCTATAAGTTTATCTGTAGAATGGCCATGATGAGGTAGACTAGGAGAGCCTCGAGTCTTACTTAAACATAGTGGTTTTATTGTGAGTTAATTCAAAGCATCTAATCCCGGGAGTTGCCTGGTTGTTGGTTTATTAACAGTCAACTATTGACTCGGTACTCAATGCTGATCTATTACGACAATGGATAGTGGTAAGTCTATAGACTTCTGTTTGAAAGAGACGATACGATACGATACAATACGAGTAGCTAAGAAGTGCATAGATTATCGAAGTAAATTGCTCGGAAATAAATAGTGTTGGTCGGGCTGGAGATTAGGTGATTGGATATCATATGATGTTGTCCAAGTAGTAACCACTCTACTTTCTTTATCTCTGGAATTCATTTACGATGCAGCAAACTATCGACTGCGATATGCGGGGTAGATATAAAAAGGGAACCTGCATAAAATGACATAAGATACGCACGGGTACATAAATAAGTATGCAGTTAATTGTGTATCTCATACTATCGAGGAGCGCCCAGGCTAGTGCCAGTATATAGTTTCGTATGTGCCGCCGTCGAGTTTATCTTACAAGCTGACCTTCTTGTCTTACGTTTTCTCGTCCTTGGCAGAATAGCTCGAAAAAGCAATCATCAAGAGGAAAAAAAAACATGGACGGTTCGTCAGCCTTAAGATCATGTACCCACAACAGCGATCCCAGACGGCAGGTTCCGGGGGACAATACTCGCTTAAGCAACCAATTACACCCCCGGCCTGAAGTGACAAGCCGGAAGCCGGCAAAAACGTTTGCAGACTTACCCGCGGAGTTGCGGGAGATGATATGGGAATACGCTCTTCCCGATACGCGTGTCTTCAACGCGCTAGTGTACGCCTCGAAGGGGCTCAAGATGTTATTGATCGATAGGAGTCACCTGCGCATGCCGCTCGCGCATGTGTGCTTTGAGTCGCGGCAGCTTGTACAGAAGGCTGGATACGTGCTTGCTTTCCGCGACGAGGACGAGCCTGATGATCCGGGGGTGTGGTTTCACCCGCGACGAGATGTTATCGAGAGAACGATATGGGGTCCTTGCGAGTTTTGGGGCTGGAAGTGACGTGAGACAGCGACGGTGAAGCTAGGTTAGTTGCATCGTGTGCGGTGTGTTTGGAGACGGGCTTTAGGGCTAACATGGTATATAGCATTCATCGTATACCGCTGGAGTGAAGTCTTGTTTGCATATAATTTCTTAACCTAACCTATGGTCTGTTGGAATATTTGCTTGAAAGGGATATTTTTGGTTTGGGTATAGATTCGCAATCATGATATATCCATCCTGCCAATAACCATATTAAACACAACGACTATATGATTAACTACCTATTTTCTACACAGTCTCAACCCTCCTAGTCATACAAGTATATCTGAGCCTTTTGAATGTTCTTTCCGGTAACCTGTACATAAGCAGCACCCTCACCTTCGACTTCAAGCTCGAGCTTCTCATGCGGCCATAGTGTGACATAGTTATCAGACCAGAATACCGGCAGGACGTCTTCTCCCTCTTCGTTAACAAGGTTGAGCCTGATGAAGAACGCAGGTACCGAAGAGTGGTTCTCGAGCACCACTCCGAGTCCTCCTGCTTTGGAGTCACTCCGCTTCGACGTCGCCGTAGTTGTGACAGAGACTTCAGCAGGCCCTAAGCTGTTCAAGGCTGTGTAATTGGCGTATTTTGTGACTGGCGTGTAAAACCAGTCTGAGTTTTCCCAGTCTAGAGTGTCGGTGCTGTTCGCTAGCCAGTACACATTCCGACTCAATGTAGCATTCTTGTCATCCGAAAGGACGAGCCGCAAGAATGCAATATCCGTTACCGATTTGAGAGCGTCTGTAAGGTCTATAATATCCGTGCTGGTATTTGGTACGGTATCGAAACTTTCTTGGCTGTTATGAACTGTTTTGCCATCCTTGTCGATGATATCAACAGTTACCGTCCTCGACCCCTTTCGATCTAGTGAGCGGTTGATCAAGTACACGAGCTTTCCATTATAGTCGTAGGCTACGTGCTCTATCCTAGATCCAGCCTTTGCCCCGAAGTAGGATCCAGCCGGGTGCAGGTAGTAGTCGAATAAGTTCCAATGCAAGCTTGGCCACGCATTGTTCAGCATCCAGTAGATAAGTCCTGTCGCTGGTCTGTCGGCATTCCATAGGGACGCAAAACCCTCGAACTGGGACTTTGTAGCCTCATAATCCTGTATCTGAGCTTTAAACAAATAATCCTCTAACGAAGTAGGTGCTCCGTAGCGGTTCCAGAGAGCAGTGTTATAGATCTTTCGGTCGTAGAACGATGATACGCTCGTGGACATGTGATACAATCCCTTGTTTGGGCTCTTCCACAAGTCATCTAGATCTGCCTCTGATAAAAACTTCTTTAGGCTGCTGATTTCCGGTGTCCCAACTCCACTGCCTAGCTCAGATCCAAATCCAAAAGCAGCTCCGAGACGGTCCTCTGATGGCTCGACGTCATACCAGTAGTTAGGCGGTACCCCTGCAATAGAATGGTAAGCGATCAGGCGTGTGGTAAGTCTCAAGTGGTTCAAGTATATCTTAGGCATAATAAAACTTGGGATAGGTTAAAGGGGTAGGGTTGGGATATCACGTACAGTCGTAAGGCCCCGCCATTTTCAATCCCGACGGCCCTAGAATCTTGGGATAACCCCTCTCTGAAGCTGAAGCAATGATGGGCGCCTGCCAGTCCGCCGCTTCGAGCGAATAATAGTACGCTCCCGCTGCTTTGTCGTCAGGCCAGTAGTCACTTCCGACTAGATACCCTAGCACGCTTGGATGGCTCTGCTGCATAAGAGCCTCGTGGTACATGCTCTTATTCGCTATAGTGTAGTCGGCGTCTGTCCATTCTGACTTGACGGCCAAGTCTTCGTTGTACGTCCAAGCCTCCCATTTATCGCAGCACTCCCAGCCGGGGAGAACCATTAAACCTAGTCGATCCGTGATCTCGTACAGCTCCGGCTGCTCATTCTTGCCTTCTAATCTTACTGTGTTATGGCCCAAGTCGAGCATCAGCTTGGCTTGTGTAGTGAACTTGGCGCTATCCCATCGTAGGAAGATATCCGCGGAATAGCCAGAACCAACGACTTGGAACGGATAACCGTTGACGAAAAATATAGTGTCGTTGTTTGCATTGAGCTCTGCCGTTACTTGACGGACACCAAACGTTCGCTCTATTCTATCAGAAATAGATCCATCTATGGACGCGGATAGCTGTCCCACGTATAATGGCTGACTTCCCCACTGCTTGGGCCACCAGACCGCCGGCTCGTTTAATGCTGTCGATAAGACCACCTCGGCGGATCCCAACGGAGGCAACGTGATAGTCTGGTTCAACTCATACGTTTGGCTTGCGCCTTCTAGGGAGATGCTGCCTGTTAGCTCAATAGTAGCTTCGCGATCCTCTAGATTCGTAGCTGTAGTCTTTAAATTCACGAGTGCGCTGGAATGTTCGATTGGCAAGTTGGCTTGTGTAGTTACTCGCAGGGGAGCCAAGGAAACAGGACCCGTCTGCTTAATTTCTACGTTTCGCCATACCCCCTAATGAATATATTAGTATTGATCAATAGGTATCATCATAAGAAGTTAGGGCTCTACGAACAGTCCCATTGTCTGGGGGGTAAGGGTTCCAGTCCACAAAGCCGAGCTAGAATGCAAATCAGTCATTGCTTATTACAACCGCAAGTTTAAGGGGCTTAAATACGCCAAAGTCATAATTGTAGTCAGTCGGATAGACTTGAATTACAAGCGCATTCGTGTTGTTTGCTATTTTGGTAATTTCGAAAGTATTCCCGACATAAGCACCCGCCTGAGACTTTCTGGTCACGACCTCCTGGCCGTTTAGATAAATATCGGCACTCGAGGTAATTCCATGAGTCTGCAGATGAAAATAGCGTTTTCCAGGGCTAGGTTCAAGAGTGAATTCTTTTCGATATATCCAAGGAACTTTGAATTGACTGGAATTGAAGCTCTGGAGCGCATTTGAAAAGAACAGCCCACTCTCGCGGTACACACCGGCTTGGATTAGACAGCCCATGAGAGTACAGCGGGAGCTGTCGATTTCGTGCCATGTTTTCATGTCTACACCAGGTCGGGATAATGCTGCAAGATCCGCCCCGACTCTTTCTGTTGATTGAATGTCCCACGATGGTATGATGGCGACCTCGCCGGGTTCAGAAAGTAATGCGGCGGCGGCGAATGTGTTGATACCAAGGCAGAGCCCCAGCAGCGACTGGTGCAAATGCATTATGGCCAATAATGCTTAAAAGTAGATCATGAGATCAATGGTATGTTGGAGACGTAGGTCTCAAGAGGGTTACCTATATAAACCACCATTGGGAACGGTTACATCTAGATAATCTGGGACTTATCGGCAGTGTGCATACCATGCCAGCCATGCCTGCTATATGCAAGTGACCTCTCGCAGATTTCCAGAGCCTAATAAGGCAGTTCAGGCTCCGTGGGACCCTTGTTTCGGTACTCCCCCGCAGTCTAGCTGTCATAATAGAAGGGATATCTCGTACTTGGCGCGTTGACGTCGTATTATAGTTTTGGATGCAACGTTGATTTATAGATCCAGCAAAAGAAGACAATGATCTAAGCCATTATGGCGACTTGGTTCTAGACGTACCAGCTATATTAACCATTGGAGGCCCTTGCAGAAAATTGCATCTATGTCTTAATTGCCAGTCTACAAGTAGGCTTTGATTCGGTTAAAGAGAGACCTGCAGTGCCGGAAGGCTTGGCTGCGGTTTTTAGTCATGCCAATACTTCTATGGCTACTCTACCGTAAATTCTGATTTTCCGGCTTCGAGGGTCGCCATATTAGTGAATTGAGATAATTTCGCTTGATTAATTTAAACAAGAGTCGCTTAAAGGGACATTGGTTTGGAAAAATATTGACCTAGCTAAATTATAGTCACGTTTCTTCTCTTTTGACAATGACTACCTAATGTAGCGATTATTGGGCTTATACCAAACCGAGAATGCGCATTACTGGTAGATATCCAATCAAAATATAATAATAGAGTAGTATTGTTTAGGTTGGTATAGCTAAGTCTTCAAAGCCACTATTAAGGACATTCAATGTTATATCGTGGAACATTTACGAGTATGATAAACTCCAAGTAAGTATTGCTCTCGAGGTATATCGCTTGGAACCTTTACATGTAGCCGTCCTGAGGCGAATCTCAGCGTATCGCTGCTACTAATAAGCATCAAGATCTATGACAGTTGAATCGCACATCTGAAAAGGGGGTGGCCCACAATAGGGGTCATTCTAGGTACAGACCTCACGACAGACACAAAAGTAAAGCTAAGAGACACATAAATACTAACAAATGAAAATAATTCAATTTTGGATAGAAAATCATTGAAGTTTTGTGTTTGAACTATTCGAATGCAAGTTATTACGTAAAGGATCATAGACGATCCTAGAGATACCACTCTAGCCAGCTTAAGGGGCAGGCTTCGATCATATATCAAATACTCAAGCGGTCTTAACGCATTACCAACTGATTGGCACAACATAGCCAGCCCACTTAGCCTCTGTATCAGCTTCTCGCCATTTCTCGATACCGCCTAACACGCCATCCGTGCCCACCTCCCATGCGCCACTTTCGACTTGCTTGAGCCACGCTCTCAGGACTTGAGCGAGGCGGACCTCGTGTGACTCAATGAATGGCACATATCCCAGTTGATATAAGTCGGCGTGTGTATTATGTGGTTGGCCTACGGCGCCCTTTTCCTCTTTATTTTCTCCGAACCTCGCTCCGTCGCTTGTTCGTGCATATCCGCGTGACCCAATACCGAATGGCAGCACTAAACGGGCGCCATCTTCGAAGCATATGGTTTCCCGGTCCGAGTCCGTTAAGTAAAGCCCCGCGGGGTATGCATTTACTTGAGACCATGGCCAGGGGAATGGGAGATGGGATCCCGTGCGATCGTTCGCTCCATGCGGACTGGGTAAAGCGTAGAACATATCTGAGGCCCGGAATAGTAATATAGGAAACTGGACTGTTGAAGCCCGGTCTGGAACCTCCTGAAGTGGAACGGACTCGACCGAACTGAAGGGCTGGTGGCGGAATGTGTCACTGGTGGGTATTTCCAGTCCCGGAGCTATATAACGGAATAATGGTCGTCGTGCTTTGCTTAGAAACTCCCAAGCAAATCCATCTGATATGTTCGCCGCGGCTAAAGAATCGTCAGGAATGAGTGGGTATGTACTCGATGGTCTAGAAGTTACAGGAATCCGAGACTCAATTACATCTAAGAGACTGTGGTAGACGGTAAGTGTTTCTTGTAGCTGATCATCGCTATATGGTAAGCTTATCCACGGATCGAATTTGTCGCTCGGGACGTCTATATCGGGATTAACGGCCTGCACCTTGCCTACTTCTACCATGTCAAGCCAGGCGCTGAGGATCACTTCAAGGGCAAACCATTGCTGGCGGCCATTATGGGTAATTGGAGAGTCGAAGATGGACATCTGCATGATTGCTTTATTTTCCATTTGGTCGAAGCTATCATTATATTAGCTGAGATACTAGGAGATGTACTGCAAGTCTTACACTAGGCCTTCTTGTTCGAGAGCGACACCAGTAGCGGTGTAAAGAGTTAAATACCGGTCTGAGTCTATCCCCATGTTACTCTCTCTCTCGTGGCTCGACCATAGGTAATCAGGGCTAGATAGACCTGCGACATAGTAGTGTAGAGAGTGATCATCTACGACTAATGCACGCTCTAGGAAAGCTACTAATGATGGCGAGAGACGACTGCGTACTCTCTCAGCATCGGGCCCGTAAAACTCGAACCAGTTGCGACGGTGTAGAACTTCTACTTGATCATCATTGGTATCATATTCCAACTGCTTTCCAGAGTCCACCCAGCCTCTCTCAAGGAGCCTGTTGTGTAAGGTGGCGCATCGAACATAATCCAGCTCAACAGCCATCTGTGCGGGGTCATTTAAGATGGTGCGCCACGGTAATGGCGGGCTACCTCTAATAAAGGGTATTTGAGCATTCATTTAGTTGTAATGAAAAAAATATAGGATTAGGAGAGATTCGGTTGCGTATAGACGTACCTATATGATATGATGTATACCAGGTAGGTACCTAGGTACCTAAGGTTCAGTGGGAAAGTATACCTTAGGTGCCTAACCTGCCTAACCTGCCTAACCTGCTCCTGCCTAACCTAGATACGTAAAATCATGAGAAATATTTCATTAAAGTTGACGCTTAATGTTTTGTCTTAAACCATCCGCCTCTTGACTCAATTCGGTAGGCAGTTACTCTGAGCCTGTCTCGTTCTTCCCCTCCTAAAAGTCCACAATCATTCTTCTCCTCAACTACTACAAGCCCCTGAATAACACTTAGACCCTTTACAATATTCGTCTGTGTTACCACAATATCCATCAGTGCTACAACACTTGCCAAATTGCGTTCCTGTACAAGTTTTGTTGCCCGCAAATAGAGGACCACATTCGCCATTAATTGACAATCCACCGTTGTCAGGATCGCAAGCCCCAGAGTAGCAGTTCCCAGGGCCACAGAATTTCTCGCCCTCGCCGCAGTAGCCATAAATGGAACAGCACGGTCCAAAACGAACGTTATTACAAGTTATACCGGGACCACATGTCCCGTTAGTAGTGACTCCAGACCCAGAGCCTATACAGGCGCCCGAAAAACAATTACCGGGGCTGCAGTACTCTTCTCCACCACCACAGAATCCAAAGATACTACAGCAGACACCGAAAGTCGTACCGTTGCACGTTGCAAAGTCGTGGTTTGGTCCACAGAGTCCGTTGGTCGATTGTGGATCTAGTGATACCTCTGCGATGCACACCGAGTACCTGAGCCACAGGTTCGTACAGTTGTCGTTGATATAGGTGTTCAGTTTCCTAAATTGATCGAAGCTTATGCCGAATCTGAGACAAATTTGTTGGCACGTATCTCCCGAGACCGCTTCGTAGTAAAGGCCACAATCTGGTATTGTGCCAGTCTGTGTGGGTGTTGCGGGTTTCGCCGTTGTGTGATAGGCGCTGGTTCCCGTGGGTGCATATACGCTTCCGTTGACTACCCAGGAGCCACCTGGTGGGCTAGAGTAAGTATGTTAGACGGTGGATGAACCACATGAATCGCGTCGTTGCGTTGTTCTAGAAAGCTTACCCGATACAAATACGCTGGTCGATAGAAAGATCGTCGCAACTACCTTGGATATTCTGATTCCAACCAAAGAACATTGCCGATGTCACATTGAGTGTCGAGTTGGAAAGCTGAGATGCGTAACCGTCACTGCAAATGGTCGATCAGTAAATGGCCCGATGAAGCATGGAACTTGTTATCACCTTACCATGTCTTTCCATACGAATCGATGATAGCAAGTGAACATGGTGCGGGGAGGCAGACTGTTTGGTGTATTTCACAAAAGAAGTCACCAGTTGCTATGCGTAAGTCGCCTGTTGATACGTTGTATCGATCTGCGAGTTGATTGCAACCTATCGGAGTTGGTTCTGGGCTGGCCAGTTGACCGGTACACGTAGGCGTAATAGACGAACCAGTCGAGTTAGATACCTCTGTAGGCGTGGGCGCTATGCTTACAAACAGTGTTGAAGGCGATGTTGAGTAAGGCATTGACTTTGAACAGTTCCCCTGCATATACTCAAACTGCTCCATTAAGAATTTAGTATGATTGCTTACGGGTAGAAACGGAGATATGAGTCTCTGCTGCCATAGCTTCATAAAGCATTCGCTGCAGTAAAGAGTTTTGTTGTATAGATTTGGCACAGCCTCCATTGCTGCATCAATCTGATCTATCGAGAAGTCTGGGTCGTTGCAAAGCTCTGGAGCTGGGTCTTGCCAGCACATGTCAGGATCATAGCGAATATAGTCACTTCCCACCCAGTTCTGAGACTCGTAGAAACACCATTTGCCTGATCTGCGAAGTATAATTAGAACCTCTGGCTTTCATTAAAGGAGTTGAACGTTTTGGCATACGAATCTTGGAGACAAGCCAGACTATAATAATACGTATACTGTAGCGCAACAGTCTTTGCTTGGACTAAGATCCCAGATTGGTTGATCTCGTCGGAGGCACAGGATGATTCAACTTGAGATAGCCAAGTCTGCAACGATTTTGAGCAGGATGGCGAACATAGACTCGTCAGGTTTTCTAAATACCAATCTAGGCAATATCAAGACATTAGTAAATTTAGTTAATTAAGACGATTCGGGAGTTTTACAGTTGTGATCAACTCCGAGAGCAGCCATATTGGCTGTAGCTGCATCGCATTCAACTGTCAAATTTCTAAGATTTAGGTAAGTTAGCTTGTATTCAGCCTCTCTCCTAGATAAACACCTACAAGGCTTCCATGCATGGTATTGAAATATTCAAGTTAATCCGGATGGATGGATCATATCCCATGAAAGCTTGGAATGAAGCATGGCCTATTACTACAAGTATGGAAAGGTTGATTATGGCAAATTTGGCGATAGTCATCTTGATGTTTTGCTAAATGAGTTGTAGAAAATGTTAAAAGGTACAGGTCAAAGCATCTTGTCTCCAATATACACCCTCTACATGATGATAACCCCCCCAAAGATGCGTTTAGAGTAAATCCCGTTCGAAGACTACGAGTCGTCTGTGATCTGGGTTTCACTTAGCCGGAGCAATCATACAGCGCACATACAATATAAGTCACAGATTAAGACAATTTCGTCAAATCTAGAACAGAGCACAGCCCAGTGGAATCTAGATCGATCCTTTAGATCACACGTCTCGCCAGAAAAGGGGGGCAAGAGGAGATTCAATTGTTACCCTTGAGTTTCCAAGTTCTTTGTAGAGCAAGGCTAGATTTTTGGATATTACAATACCCTTTTATGATGTTCACCTCCCCATTACTCCCACGGATCTAAAACTATCTTCAAGTTATGATGGGCTCAATAATAAAAATATCAGTATTACTCTTTGCCTTCGACTTTGCCGTAGAGGCTAATTATAATTCGAAAGGCAGCGGCTCGGGTCTTTATAAACCTCTCTTTGAGAAACATTCCAACTCTACTCCATCATTCATTGGGTTGACTAGGAAGTCTGTTAACCCGCCGGTCTCTGGAGGCTCTTTTCTTTCAAGGAGAGGCACTAGCGACCTACCTATCGGTGCTTGGTAAAGTCCTTCTCCTAAAACCCCTTAAAGCAAATATATTACTTATCTGTTTAATCCGCTGACTTGAAGCATAGTGCACCTGGAGCACCTTGTTCTAATGGAGCATGCTGTAGCAATACTGGCGTGTGTAGTTATGCACCGACTAGCTGTGGCCCCGATGTATGCATCTCAAACTGCGATGGTAAGGTTGATACAATACAAAACACTCGAAGTGACTAGAATTCTCATAACTTTCTATTTTAGCAAAAGCCCCCTGCGGCCCGTATGCAGAGGCGTCGAGCGCGGCTTGCCCATTGAAGGTCTGCTGCTCAGAATTTGGCTTCTGCGGCTCTACTGATGAGTTCTGCGGTTCTGGTTGTCAGGACAAGTACGGAGGATGTGGTCCAGCCCCTAAGCCTCAGTGTGAAGGGGACAGCACATCCGCCCGTACGATTGGATATTATGAGAGTTGGGCTGCAAATCGCAACTGCGATAAAAGAAACCCCGAAGACCTCGATTTGACAGCCATAACTCACCTCAACTTCGCATTTGCTTTCTTCCATCCTACCACGTTCCAAATGATGCCTATGAGTGCAGGCGACCCGGAACTCTACAAACGCTTCACGGGGCTAAAATTGAAGAAACAATCACTCCAGTGCTTCATTAGTGTAGGGGGGTGGAGTTTCAACGATGGCACCAACGTACCAAATACGCGGACAGCATTCAGCGACATGGTTAGTTCAGCGGCAAATAGGAAGACATTCATAGACTCCCTCAGCCAATTCTTAAATACCTATAACTTCGATGGGGTCGATCTCGATTGGGAGTACCCTGCTGCAGGAGATAGAGGTGGTGTAAAAGCCGATACATCTAATTTTGTGACATTTCTACGAGAACTTCGGGCTGCTTTTGGCGGGAGATATGGTAAGTCTTTTACCATAGGTAAAATGCTACTATTAATCATGACTCTAGGGATAAGCGCAACAATCCCAAACTCTTATTGGTATCTCCAAGGCTTTGACGTCGTGGCGATGCAAGATTCCCTAGACTGGTTCAATTTAATGAGTTACGACATTCACGGCGTATGGGACTCGACCAACAAGTTCACAGGCCCCTTTATCAGACCGCATACCAATTGGACGGAGATCGACCAAGGAATGGACTTACTATGGCGAGCTGGTGTCGATCCAAGCAAGGTTGTGCTTGGTCTAGGCTGGTATGGTAGATCTTTTACCTTATCCAATGCTGGATGTAGCGAGCCTAATGGAATATGTACCTTTTCTGAGGGTGGAAATCCTGGGGAATGTACAGCTAACCCAGGTACGCTTTCTAACGCCGAGCTCTATCGGATCATTGCCGCGGGTGGTACACAGCAAGGCTTTGACCCAACTGCTGCTGTCAAATGGTTAGTTATGCCATATATGTCTCTATATCTTACTCGCTAATATTGTTAGGATAACGTGGAACTCGAGCCAATGGGTAAGTTATGATGACGGAGAAACAATTCAAATGAAAACGGCAAATGGTAACAAGTTATGCCTTGGTGGCGTTATGATCTGGGCCATAGATCAAGACGATATAGAGGGCTCAAGCATGAATAATCTACTTGGTATTGGCGGTGCAAATGGTGTATCGGCTGAAGAAGCAGCAAATATCAAGAAGCAGTTAAACAACGCTGACTTAGCCACTAACATAGCCAGCTCATGCTACTGGAGTTTATGTGGGTTAGTTTATGGTAAACCTATTCGTGATGATTCATACTAACTATTCTATATAGCGAAGACTGTACTTCAGTAAGTTAGAAACCACCCCCGCCCTCCTCAGGGACTTTACTAAATATCTATAAAGGGGTATTTCCCAACAACACAGTCTCAGGGTCAAGTAGCTGGGGTATCCAGAGATTCAACATGCTCGGGTGACGATGTACAAACGCTGTGCTGTGCTCCGGGGACGACTTTGGGGACGTGCAAATGGGAAGGGTGGCGCGGCGTCGGTTTGCCATGCAGTCCAGCCTGTTCCGATCCATCGGCTACCATCATTGCTAGGAATAGTAAGAACCCTAATCTCTCATTTTTATTAGACGGAATTGATATGAGAAGTTCCATATCACCGTATCATTCTATAAGGTTGAACTAACAAAGTCGTGACCCGTCTCAGCAAATCACCACGGTAGTGCTGCAAGCATGGATTTAGCCGAAGACCAGACTTGCAACGGAGGTTATCAAGCCTACTGCTGTACGGGGTTTGTTCCATCTTCTAAAACAGATACTAGGAATCTGGCCTTATACGGTCAAGGAGGCTTTTCGAAACGTGATAGTTATGCCCTCCAAAAAAGAGGCAATACAAAGGGGGCCGGCGTCGGTGCGACGGCGGGCTTAGCAATATGTTCTGCATTGCCGCTCATGGCACTTTTTGGGCTTTTTGTTATTGCAATGCCAGTTGAATTTGCTCTTTGTGTCGCTGTTGGAGCAGCTATCGGGTACATCGCTGGCGGGATGGGAGGAGGCACTTCACAGCCAAATCCAAACGGATCTGCACCGAAACCTAAACAATCCAAAACAGGGGTAGCTGGTGATGCTAAGACTTATGGACAGTAGGTATCCCTATTTTGTTACTCAAATCTACCCCCCCTTCAAAGTTTGGCTTCTAATATGATATCTTAGATGGGAAAAGGTCGAGTATCCTGCTACAAAAGATTCAAGTTGTGACTGCGCCGTCACATATACTTGTCGCTACGACGTTGGGAGAGGAGGGCAAGACTTTGATGAAGTAAGTGTAGTTTCCCTCACTGTTGGAAAGATGATTTATTTATTTATCAAATCTTATATATCTGTTTCATAGATTTGCGACAACCAGAAGTGGGCTATTGATAAAGGCTTACACGGTCGGACTGTATACCATTATGAAGGTAATGATTCCTCTAATACCGGTGTCATGATACGACAAAGTCTAATACACAAGATAGGGCGTAAGAAGAAAGGATATTATTATGTGACAGATTGGAAAAGGCAAAGAATCTCCTTCCAAAAATTAGCTCAGACACCAATACATAACGTACCTCGCTGCCAGGTCGATGAGTTCCCGATGGGAGCCCTAAAAGAGGCGCTGAAACCCAACCCTCAATATGTTCGCTTGGTCAATGGGAATGCCAATCGCCGCCAAGGGAGCGATTTCAGCGCTTGGCTACGCGCGGTCTGGAGACCATGTAGCTTATACCGGCTCGCCGTATGTGGTAGCCCTACACCCCCTATTACGTGGGAAATCGGCAATCCGACAAGAGGTGATAAGCGCACAACAGCTGCGACTACCAAAAGTCATTTCATCCAAAAATATGGTGTAAGCTATCATGTTGTTATTGGTTTATTTCCACGATTGGCTAATGCTGGCACTTGAAGTTTGATTCCCAGACAGGGGATTCGCTATGCTACGGTAGGCTCCGATGATATTAAAGCCTAATAACCTTTTGTACTAACAAGAATGCGTACTCGACAGCTACATTTACCTACAAGGACGATAAAAACAAGGATCAGACATCAACTATTTCGGACCATGGCTTTCGTGTTATGGTTAATGACCCGTAAGTTTCAACAGGAAGGGATACGCAAGATCATAGTCAAGAGAGACTTATGCTAAATTTTACTATTAGCCTGTTCACTTCGTACAATTGGCCGATGCAGAACTACAAGGCTAAGCCTGAAAACGCGAATGGCCGTCCTACTGATGTCAACAGTGCGAATTGGCTAAGACGTCGTGCCGTACAATCAGTTCTCAACGGAGATATACCACTAACAATGTGGCATACTACCCCCAATAACGATAATGGACAAGACTCTTACGACATACTCTGCATGAACGGTGGCTCGCTATATGTCGATATCGAGACCGGAGAGATTTCATGCTTCGAAGATAGTGACATGGTTGAACTACAGGCTACAGAAAATGCTAACGAAGACCTTTCGTGGTACAGAACACCCACGGTAGCAACTACAGAGGACGTTATTGTTATATCTACGGTACCCCAGTCCGTACATGTGGCCAGGGAGACGTTACCTACTACTACACCAATTCCTATGTAGATGTTTAACTCAGTGAAAGTCTTATGAGATCTTAAAGCCAAGAGAGCTAGAGAAGAAATATTAAGGAATAATCAAATTACTTACTTCATACCCGGGTACGTACCAGGGCAATGAAAGGTAGATGATATAGACTAGAACTTGAAGTAAAAGATTGTTCTTGGTTACACTGACCTCCGCATGTCCATAACGACTCTCTCCCTTTCTTCGCGGATTTCTTTAGTGAATTTTCGATGCGTGCCTGAATACAACATTCTATTTTTTCTCAACCCCTCTTGTCTCCTATGCCTAACCATTCCATGATGTCAGATATCACCTGGAATGCTGCTCATATTGGGACAAGGACAATATGGAAAGCCATATCCAATGCCAGAGGAATACCTCCTACCATTCTCCTAGCTGGCTACATCCGGTCTACGAAAACAGATGATCTAGAAGACTGTTCATTTCCAAGTACCTGCCGAAGATCTGGCAAGCAGCATTCAATGCCGGCTGACTCGGGAGCTGTAAAGGTACTATCACCAGTCGTGCTAGCTACAAGGGCTCAATTTATAAGACTGCTGAAGACACCTAAATCAATCCACAGGCGTTACTTATAAAACTGATAAACATGCGAAGTTCTCTAAGTGCAAGGCAAGACTAGTTGTACGAGGAGATCAGCCAGCATGCGGCGTTGAAGAGACACACGCATCAACCCTAGCAAGAAGATCCTTTAGGACCCTGATAGCAATAGCCGCCTAGAACTGGTCAAATATGACGCATTCAACGCTTCAACGAACGCCATGGAGAATCATGACGTATTCATGAGGATACCACCAGGCTACAAAGATCCTGAAGGCCTTATACGGGTTGAGAGAATCTGTGAGATGTACCTAAGTACATCTCAACATGTGATCTTCGGTCACGTGTCATCCAAACACTCATATATGATACCTAAGTGTTTGTAAAAAAAAAAAAAATTTGTATCATTAGATTTTATTCAATCAATAATCTATTATCCAACAGAATCCCCCATATTATAGTAGAAAGAGCTAACAACAACCCTCTCTACCTTAGGTTTCAATCTCGTACCGCATGAGCTATAAGCCAAGATTTTCCAACATATAAATTTATAGGAACTATGGTACTGGATAGAACATATTCTAATGTTTAACATAAGCAAACCTGTTAAATCTAAGGTTCATCAAGCTCCGACAGTATCCCCGCCTTCAGCTCTCGATAGTAGGTCGGACGATGTCGGTTGCAAGTTATTTACCTCCTATATATGGCAAATTCCACCGCGGATACTCTCAACTAAGTCCAGTTTCGTCTTTACGCCCCCGAGGCTGTCGTACTCGGACGAGGTCAGGCTTCGTCGGGAGTTGGCCGCGTTCCTGAAGCCGGCGCGGCCTAGGCCGGCGCCCGCTAGGTAGCTGAAGACGGCCATGAAGGCGTTCTCGGGATCGTTGACGATGTCATAGACGGCCACGCCCGCGTCGCCGGTGGCGCCGATGAGCCGGAGCAGAGAGCGGACTGTTGCCATTCCTGCGGCCCCGACGGCCTCGCCTACGAAGGGGATCCAGAAGAGCAGTCCGGTAATGAAATTGAGGATGAACTCCTCGCGCTGCTTCTTCTCGATCTCACCGGCCTTCTCGACGATCTTTTCCATGCTTGAGACGGCCTCTTCCGTCGAATAGCCCGGCAGCGACGTGGCATCCACTAGGTCCGTCAGCTCCATTAGGTCGTCCCAATCCCCGTACGCCCGCACGATCTTGAACCGGTCGAGCATGTCAGTTGCCTTGGGGAAGGAGTCGCCGATGACCTCCTTGGGATTATAGACCGTGACCTTATCGGCGAGGGGGTAATTGTAGAAGAAGTTGTTCTGCCTGTCCATGCACTCGTTGACGTCTTCGCCCGCGTACTGGCACCCGTTGTTGACCCGCATGAGCCGCCTACCGAACTTAAGCCACGACTCCTCGATGCCGTACTCCTCTCCGATGTCTTTCCAGAAACCGTCAGAGTCCTTGAGCGTGAACGTGGCGTTGGGGATCGGGGTTAGGTCGCCGTCCGCTATGGATCGCTGGAACTCCATCTGAGGGCACTCGATATCAATCGTACCCCTGCCGTTCTTGCAGTCGCTGCCTTTGACGCAGTTCTCGGCACAGGTGGCATAGCGGCAGCTGCTGCAGCACGTAAGGTCCTTGGTTTCTTTACATGTGAAGTACTTGTCCACCTTGTCGCTGGCCATAAAATGGTTGACTTGAGCGGGGACCTGGTCTGTGACGTATTTCTCGTAAATGGAGAACTTGTCGTCGTAGCCATCGTCGATAAGTTTCTTGTACTTTTTCAGGGCTGTCTCCAAGGTGGCGACCTGGACGTCAAGTAAATATTGCTCGATGCAGTGGGCGGGCATAGAGTCTTTCCGTTGGTTGAGCTGATCAAGCGTTGTGTATGACCCCTGGCACAGAGACCAATAGTTGTCGTCAACTTCGTATTCGTAATCATCGTCGTAGCTATCGCCGCCACTCCCACTAGACGTTGTTAGTACGAAAGGAAACCAGAAGCGCGCAAGAATGTTGGTGAGACTTACTCCGCGAAATACTGCAGGTCCACGGCCCAGTCGGTAGTGCCCGCAAAGTTGTACGAATCGTAGAACTCGGCCCGTGTCTTCTTCATATCGTCATCCATATAGGCTACCCACTCGGTATCGTTATAGACCAACATGTTGGAACCTTCCTTCTTCCATTGCTTATTTATCTTTCCGCTCTGGATAATCTCGTCGATTTCGGCATTGGAGATGTAGCCCCCCGTATCCGTACAACGCCCTTTCGCAGCGTCGGACACGCGGGGTGACCCCGTAAACAGGCATTCCTCGGAGTCGCAACCCGCCTTGGCCATCTTGAACGATCGTCCATAGCTAGCCACGCCAACGACGACCTTGTTCGAGGCGGCGCCGGCTTTGGTGATCATAGAGAGGGCGTCTTTGGTCTCCGTCTCGTTGACATGGGACCTTAGACAGTTACCGGTCTCGCAACTAGGAGAAGTCCACTTGTTGTTATAATCCCACTGGCCATGCAGATCGTATGTCATGTAAATGATATAATCGAGGTCCTTGGCCAGGTTCTTGATAGGGAACGCCCTGAGGTACCAATATGATGCCGGTGCCGCGAAGGAAACTGATTTGGAAGAGCCCACGGATTTCTTAACATCGGACAGAAATTCGTAGTAGTTCTTACCATTGACAGGATCATCACTAGGGATGTCGGGAATATCAGGGGCCTGTATGTTCACTCATTAGTCCTGTCAAATGGAACAAGGGTGGGGATAGGTCACTCACTCCAGGATACTCCCAGTCGAGGTCGATGCCGTCGAGATTGTGTTCGTCGATAAATGCAATGAGACTTTTCTTAAACTTGTCGCGGTTGCCCGGCTGGACGGCGGTGCGGAGAATGTTGAAAGTCCCAGGCATCGTGCTGAAGTCCCAGCCACCGAATGAAATGATCTTCTTGACGCCTGTCATATCCTTGAAGATATCAAACTGCTCCTTGACTTTGCTGATATCAACTGCGAAGTCATTCGGCGTGATATCAGCGAAGGCAAAGTGAATGTGAGTGTAGACATCTGTGTCGATCTGGTCGACATCCATGGTCAAGCACTTGCGGTTGTGGTTCCAAGCCTCAAAGTAAGCAACCTTGATCTTATTGGCCGGCGCAGGTCCTTTGATGATATCTCTGCCGCAGTTGCTGATACCTGATCCTTACAGTTAGCTCGATGTCTTTCTCACAGCATGACTCTTGATGAAGCAATTTAGCTAGAGACAGCGCAACTTACATCCGTTCTTTGCGCCCGAGGTTCCAGGAGCACCTGTCTCGGACTTCTTCTCGACGCAGAAGTCATCCGTCGTACCACACTGGCCCCAGATATTGCAGCAAACATTAAGCGGACACGGATTGAGCGTGCTCAAGTCGGTTCCTGCTGACGGCCGTGCTGTGTCATTCACCTTTATATATTCATGTTAGCCTGGGTAATGTCATAATGACTATATGTAGTGGGATGGGGGACATTTTCTTACCGTTGGTCCGCAAATAGCGTTCTATTAAGAATACTCGTTAGTCTAGATACTTTAACAAAACGCTTATGAGAAGTAAGCAAGAAAGTACTCACAGGAACATTCGCTGGCATGGGTGGGCTTCCAGTGCTCACACACATCTTGAAGTCGGGCAAGAGTTTCTCGCAGCCGTTCCAGGCCCAGGTTTTCTTGTTGAAGCCCTCCAGGTCTTTCACGGTCAGGTCACGGGCTGCCCCTATCTTGGCGCAGTTGTCGTTCTTTATGGTCGTGTACACCGCACAGTTGCCGTCGGAATCGGGCTTGGGCTTCAAGTCCGGCATCTTCCCGGCCGTGCAGCAGACCTGTTGGCCCTCGGCCAAGTTCGCGCATAGATCGGCTTTGGTATTGGCCTTCATGAAGTCGGCAGCGCTGATACCACACTTGGAGGCCAGTGTGCCGCAGCTATCGCCGTAGATCACGCTTCTTGTCTTGCACGTGCCATCCGAGTTTCCCGGTGGTAGAGTGCTAGGTAGAGTGCCGCTGCTGCAACAGACGATCTCGTCGAGGATAAGGGTGCTGCAAAGATCCTTGCGATTGTACTTCTCCAAGTCTGTCTGGCTGATCCCGCACCTGTTAGCCACAGCCCAACATCCATCTCCAGATTGGACTTTGGTTGTTTTGCAGTCGGCCCTCTTGATAAGGTGCGACCTCGCGCCGAGGCTTGCCGGTGTAGTACCAGATGATGCCAACATATTAGTTGTACTATTTGATATGGCCTCAATGGGCGAGGGAACACGCAGGGTGACCGACATCCAAGGCTCTCCTACGGCCGGCTTAGTGACGCATTCTCCGTTGGCCCATGTCCTAACAGCTTCTTGGATGAATGGGAGATTCGCGACACTAGCAGCAACAATGCCGAAGCTGTAGTCTGCGCCGCGGTCATCGGTACCGCACAGCTGGACGACAGTGGCCTTAGATATGGCATTCTCCTCTGCGTATTTCAGCAGATTGTTGAGAACATCCGAGCTATGGCACTAGGTTAGTGGTTCGGCCTCTACGGAAACAAGTGTGTGGTGCGAACGTAGGTTATGAATAGGGAAAGGGGTAAGAAATATCAATGTAAAGGTGTTCATATTATGGCATCGATACAAGATGGGCATCGTAGGTTTGTATTCTGGAAGCTCCAAAGACAGATTTATAGCTTGAAGAAGTTCGGACCCCTAGGATACTTACGTTACTCCGTGTTGATGAATCTCCGCTCCAGCAAAGACGCCAATGGCTGCTGATTGGGAATATGCAAATTCGATTGCATTGTGAGCGCAGGAGGGTACCTGTAATGCGAGATGCCGGGAAATCTGACGCCCAGCAGCCAGGAAATGGTTGACAGAGAATTCAGCAGCATTGCTGCCGACTTGTGGTTCGTGCATGTAGATAGAGGCATCCTTCAGGACACGATTAGACGTTGAACATAGGGATGCCTTGCTCTCATCCGCAATGAATGCAGCTTTTAAACCCGAGCCATAGTCGGCTGTGCATGCCCTCATAGCCGTAGGAGTTGTTTGATCTTCATCTGTGGTCTTGACGACCATGTTGAGCAGCATAGTCTCGTTACATGACGCCAACTCTGCAGCATCTGGAAACAAGAACCATTCGGCACTCGAGCTGCTGTCTTTGGTTGCGCTGCATGACACAGGGCACTTTTTGCGCGTATCAAGTGATGCTCGCTGGGCCGTCGCGAGCCACGACTCAAGTTCTGCAGCATCTTCGTCTCGGCGGGAAATTTTGATATGAGAATGAGATGCAAAAGCCTCAGAAGCCAAGATGGCCCAAGGAACAAGTAAAGAACCCCTCATGGTGACATGGAACAGCTCAAGCAGGTTCACTGAGGGGATGAAAGCCTCTGACTCTCCAGCACGAGAGGAAGCAAATATAAGACGGATGAGAAAAATAAAAGCGACTGAGCACAGGCGAGCTAAGCGAACGTTGGACGGCGGAGCTCATGCATTCGAGCAGCTCAAGATATCGAGAACAAGGCCGGTGAGAATGGCCTTGGCATAGACATGGGCTGATGTTGTCCTACTAGCACTACCTAGATTGCTTCCGCCTCTTTGAATATACAAGTACGCTCATTTCCGATATAGTCAGCTCCATGAACAGGGGTTTAACAAATGAATCCTCACGAGATAAGAAATTTTGCGGCGAAGGAATGAATTTAGTACCTGCATATTATACGCCGCAGACTAAACCATCGCCAAGAGGCCAAATTAACACCAGGCTGAATAGAATGGCCTATCGGACAGGAGATCAGGATTATACGGTAACACGGCGTATACTAGTCCAGTTATACTTCTAAAAGAACATGATCAGATGTAGCTCTGCTGTGAACATGAGCCCGAAGAACGGTTTTGGAATCGGGAGCAAACTCATCAATCATTTTTCTTCACCCATCCTTTGCTTCATCTGGGACTCGACTTCTTCCTTGCTCTGTCGAGTCTTGTGCACCAGCAGCAATCATGAGAGTTACTCTTTTCCTCGTTATTTCTCACCTCTCCGTAGCCTTGGCCGGAGGGTACCAAGGATGTCTTGAGCGCGTGCTACTGTTCAATGCCTACGAGATCGATGGGCTCAACGATGAGAAGGACCAGACGATCGGCTTCAAGTGCGCCAAAGCGGACACGAACGCCAAAACATGCACCCAATGGAATGCTTGCAAGCCAAAGAAGAACTCGGGTCGCACCCGGTGCAACTTTGACGACCTCATGGTGTTCCTGGGAAAGACGCCGACTCCAAACGGTTGGTCAGTCAACGACTCTGATGGGAAGTTGGACCCCGAGGGGACGGCCAAGCAATGCTACAAGCTCTTCACCAACGCCCCGGGAAAGAACCCCAAGGTGCCCAACTTCCCGCCTTACGTAGCCGTGAAGGATACGTGGGAATTCAACGACTACATCAAGCGTGTCGGCGACACGGTTAACAATACTTACAAGAACAAAGGGAACACTGGAAACCGGGGCTTCTGGGATAGCTTCGACACGACTCTAAACAAAGTCAGCGAGGCGCGGGCTGGAGACCACGGTCCTCATCTCGTTGATGAAGCCAAGGCCCAGCTGGGTGGCAAAATGGACATACAAATACAGAAACTAGGAACTGGGAGCAATCCTGCTACTGGCGAAGTGTGGGAAACCGTGGATTGGAAAGAGACAGCTAAACAAGCTAAGGACAAGGGCGTGCCTGATGTCGACAAAGAGATTCAGGGATTTCTCAAGAGCTTCTACGGCGGGACTAACAAGCAGGCAAAGGACCACCGCGTAGTGATACAGTCATACAAGCGGGTGACGGACAGAAGCCAGAGTTGTCGTTAAGATGAGCAATTTGGAAGTGGTTATGTGTCGTATAGTAGGAAATTTGGAGGAGGCAGAGCATGAGAAAGGAGAATAGAATAGATAGCGCGATTGTAGATAGTGCAATGATTAATTTCCCTCGATGAGATAATTCCTAGTTCCCTAAGACGAACACTACTAAAGGTAGTGATATTCGCCCTCGACCTATGCTTCTTCAGCAGCCTCTTCATTTTGTCTATTCATCTCCTCCAGCGCTTCATCCAGCTTCTGTTCCATCTCGAAGCTTCTCATCATCCGACCATCGTCTGGATCGAAGAACCACAGGTTTTCCAGGGCGCAAGGCCAGGAATGCTCGTGAGAAGCTCCATGCCATGCCTCCATCCCATCTCCACAGACTACATGGATTTCCTCCGTGTTTACCCAATCCCGGAGCTCTCTTACTTCAAAATGGTAGAAGGATTCATCCGAGTTTTCGCGCTCAAACCTTAGCCGCTTAATGGATAATGCGACGGGTGCGAAAGCTCTGAACGAGGTTTTCCCGATAGAGACCATATCGATGTCCAAGTTGAGCCAGACATAGCGCGACTCCGCACCCGCAGCGGCGTTGACCTTAGTGGCGGTGACCTCAAAAAAGGCCTGCTTGTACAAGCCCAAATTACGGGCTTCTTGGCAGGTTTGGAGTATTGCTGGCACCGGCGTAGGCGAGACTAGCCTCTGAACTTTTAGAGGGTTGTCGGGCACGACGCGGACCTCCACGACACGAGGCTCGACTGTCAAGGCCCAGATGCACACGCGAAGTTCGGTTGGGAGGCGCGAAAATGGATGAAAGGTGGACATTATTGATTCCTAAGAGCAGGGCTCAACGCAGGTACACAGCGTAGTCTACGGTCCGTGACTTGAAGCGGAAGGAGAAAAGCCGCCAAGGATTATTAATAGTTAGCACAATGGGTTATCTCGTGCCTATATCGTGTAATCCGTATGATATGAGGAAAATTATAGATGTTAGTGTTATCAAGTCGAATGATTTGCGATGATAAACTGTTGGTTGCTTGTACGGCGCATTTCTTCTTGGCGGTCTTGTTATCTAGATTATCGTGTAACGGCGGCATAATATAAGGTAATTAGGTCTATATGTATAAGTCCTTCACGTAGGATCGATTAAATAGGTAGGATTATTAGTTCCTACGCGGCGTATTTCTTAGCTCTTGTGACTTAGACCTCCTTGTAATGCCCAATCAGGTACCGCAAAGTTGTTGTCGCAGGGGGAGCATCCTGACTCAGTCTTAACTCAGAGTCTAGACTACAACTGAATTGACACCGATATGAGCTGAGATATAAGCTGAAATATGAGCTACACTTGGCGCCAAGAGAGAAAATAAGGAGAGAAACAAACGAAGGCAAGCATGTGAGAATACCTATAGCCGTGATTTCTACCTGCGACTCGTCCATCGTCCACCCTTCTTACCTTCTTCACCGGCTCACCTAGGTAGTAATTCGATTTGCATCAGCGCTGCTATGAAGGCCTCCTTTTTGTTTCTGCTCGTGGCGTTTCGTCGCATCTGCGGTACCCCCAACCCGACGCTTCAATGGGACCCGGAGACGACTAAAGACTGCATTGAATGGTACAATAACAGCGACGGCGAACCGTGTGAACATGTACGCAGTCTGTTTGGGATCACCCCCGATGAGTTCCATGAATGGAACCCCTCCGTCGGTCTTGACTGCCAGCCATGGGAGTATCAGTCGTACTGCATCGTTACCATGGAGAAGATAAACAACACAATCACGACCACTTCATCTTCTTCCTCTACAGCGACTGTCTCTACTACCTCTGTGATCACGCCCGGGCCCTCTCCTACCTCTTGGACCGATATAGGCTGTTACGTCGAGGACCCCGTGCTGCCTATCCTCGAGGAGAACCTGAGCCCCGAGGGCGGTGATACAGCGCTGTCTATTCCCAAATGCGAGAACGCATGTTATCTTAAGGCCTATGTCTTCGCAGGCGTGCAGGAGGGAAACCAGTGCTGGTGTGGCAGCTACGTGGGCGGCGAGTGGGCGAGCAACCAGACTTACTGCAATACCACCTGCACCGGCGACAGCAAGACGTTCTGTGGCGGCAAGGGACTAGTCAACGTCTTTAAAGCGGAGGAGAACGAGGAGTCTACTGGCACTACTGCTACTACTACCGGGACTTCTATTACGACTACGGCAACAGGATCTGCTATCAGCGAGACACAGTCGTCCGGGGCAATCAGGAACCTGGCATTGTTATGAAGAATTGGGGTTGATTTAATTGTCTCTTCTCTTGTTTTTTATGTACATAGGCAGATTTAGTCGAAATATAACACCGGTGGTGGCGGTGGAACATATGGCCATTAGGACATTTGGCTGCCTAGGGCGTTATAGAAGGACACAGGAGGCGAAGGTTACCTGCCAAAGCAATACATGCATTATGCAGCAAATAATCATGATAAGCTCTGGAAATTCCCAGTTAATTTCACTTTCAACTTCTGTACATGGCGTGAAGCCGTTGGAACTGCCGTTTATAATAGGATAATTATAGGTCTGTGATATATTGAAATCTCCTGCATCAAATTGCAATCACAATGATGATCAACGGTAGCTAAGTAGCCTCTATCATGTATGTCCATATCTTATGCTCGAGTATTTACATAGATACACCTATGGTCCCGTAGATATATTCTCATTCTCCTGAATAGAAGTTAAACTGGGTTCTTCATGTAAACACCATTAAACCCGTCGACCCAGACAGTCAGTGAACACGTCGATTTTGAGGAATCGCGAAAAGGTAAATCCTCACCAGGCACTGCTAAATTGACCTCTGACACCTCTGTTTGGAAATCAGGATATCTGGGCCGTGTTTCTTTAATAGCAGATAATTATTAGGAGGTATCTATCTAGCCTAACAGACAAGTGATAAATAGAGTTCGGATGCTTTCTGGAGAGATATTTAGGCATTAGTTTCTAATAAAATTTATGGGCTACGAGCAATTCCCAAGGCAAATGTAAATCTAAATAATGTAAACTGTTCTTGTTAATATTGAATCCTATTTAATATATTAGTAATCAAGAGAATCAAAGAATAGGAGTAGTAAGATGACGGGCGTCACAAAGAGACATGAATATCCGAATATTGTCATAGCATTGCTATGATTGCAACCGTATGAGGGTATCTACCAACGTACGGAGATATTAAACTTAGGGGCTAGGCTTATGGGTAGAATAATTATCAGGAGGTGAAAATAATTATTTTCTGCTGAAAAGGGGTAAGAGGATGATGAAGGACAAACAGTCTCCACACGTCGAGCTCTACATAAAAAGGAGAATCAAAGGGGAGAATACACTGTTTAACCCTTATTTACGCCACGTTATTAGCTGCTCTTACTTTTAATTTGCATAAGAATAAATGTCGAGGGTTAAAAATATTATTAGTCTCTTAACTAAAGAAGTACGCAGCGTATTCCGAAGTAAACCCCTGAGGGTATCCTATCTGACATCTGGATGCATAAGACAACCACCTAAAGTATTAACCTCGTGCGTGAAAAATTATTAACTTGAACCATTTTCAATCTCAGTCGAAACAATAATGATAGTATTCCTTGTAGACGTCACGTATTATGACAATGAAAGAGTCGTGATCGTAGCAACAAAAGCAAATTTCCATCCAGCTTCCATCAACATTCTCACCAATACCAACCCCAATCTTCTTCTTCTTCTTCCTGAGATTGGTTGATACAGGCGCGGCTGGCCTCAGTGGTGAGGCCGTAGATTGCTCCGTCCAACTCTTCGTGGAAACGGGATGCCCTACGAATCAATAAGCTTCCTGGACGCGGATATCTTCAAAGTCAGAATCATACCGCTGCGCACCGGTGGAGGGGCTGGTGTTGCCGGTGTTGCCGGTGTTGCCGGTGTTGCCGGTGTTGCCGGTGTTGCTGGTGTTGCTGGTGTTGCTGTTTCGGTTTCTGGTAATCCAGCCTCGAATGTAGGATCGCTTGGCCTTGGCCGCCGTAGCCTTGACTCTCTTCGCGATGTACTTCGCGGGGGTTCGAATGGAGCAGTGCCACCAGCTCATAGCCCAGATGTTCACGTACAGACAAACGCCATCCTGTCCCGCTTGCGTTGGGTCCCATGCATCTCTTTCACGAATGAGTTTCCTCGTCATCCTTGCTGAAGGGCATCCGAGCAAGGCCTCCCAAACTCCGATGGCTACGATGCCATAGACGGCGGCCTTGCCCATGAACTTGAAGGCGGGCTTGAAGATAGACTTGAAGATGGGCTTGAAGATGGGCTTGAAGACGGATTTGAAGACGGGCTTGAAAGCCATGCTTGAGACGTAGATATGTCGTAGATATTCCATAGTGGCTGATGTTGTGATTGTTGTTGTGATATCTAGTTCGCAAGGATGAGGAGTTCACACTTGTAGTGTGGTAGTTGTGTGTGTTGGAGAAAGAAGTTTGAGATAAAAAGTTACTGTCAAGGCTGCGAGATTAACAGCTGGGGCCTGTGCACTTCAATGTGCCTTCTATCGTCTCGGCAACACTGTGAGTTGACAAGATCGTGGTCCAGTCAAACCCTGGTTGACGATGTGGGAAACCAAGAATCACCGGGGCGAACTGCTTTGACCTTTTGTCACTACACAAAAACTGGCAACATGTTGTATGCGTACTTGGTTTATTTAACCTTCTGAAGTGTATTAGATTAAGGCATCTATATTTTCAAATTAGGAGTAAGAAATAACTCTTCACTGCCTTGCCTTGTCATATAATCTTGTAGCTAGTACACCCCCTTTTTGTACGCCAACAAGAAAAGTTGACGGTATCTAATAATTACCACGCTTTCAGAAAAACCACCACATTCCTCTAAAATATTTAAGTTTTATTTACCTTATCCTGGTCCTGTATCTGTATTAAATACTTACTATTAGAGTAAGGTGCAACACGATAATAAGTTAGGTAGGTACCTACCCAGGTATATATTTAAGGCGATCCTAAACCAAAGGAACACAATGATATGCTTATTTTATTACCATAAACTTAATCCATCTTAGATATGATTTACTATCGGGATTTCGTACCGCATATTTCCCTGAAACTGTGAATATCCCCTTTTTGTAGAATTTTGTATCCAAGCATTTGGGCCTGTTATCCTTTCCAATCTGACCAGCATCCGATATTTTTAGTAAATATTAACTTCCTGGGACCTCAAATTAGTTCTTAGTTCTCATTTACCTCCTTAGTGATAAGTCTTTAGACTAATAATAGATGTCTAAGATGCTTAAAGAAAGGCTAGTCATGTTAAGTAAGTTTTGAATAGGCATTTGAAATTTCTTAACTATCTTTAAATTTTCACAACTCTCCTTTAGGCTCATCATGATTATGTCCAACTGTATTTAATATATAAAAGCCTTATGGCAACTTAGAATTCACCTATGATTCACATATGGGGGAATATGATATTTGCATTTATCCGATATGCATCATATAATATGACCAAGAAGATCTTCGCATTACGTAACTAGCGCCCCTCAATTGTGGCTCGAGCTTTACAGGCCTGCAGGCGTCTTTTAGACGTAAATCGACGTCAAGTTTCGACATTAGCTTCGACAAGCTCTCGAATCCTTGAAGTAACGACAAAAAAACTCTCCACTCCGACGCATTTGATGCAGCGTTGAAGAACAGCTTTACCACGACATCGAAACTCGTTGAAATGTTGACTCCCGCGACAACAGCAACGCGCCTTGGTGTTTTAGGCACTCGTGCCCTCAAATTGCAGGTCGCATTCACGAGAGGGGCAACTTGCCAATATTCTTCACTAGCATCTCGACAATGCACCATTCGTAGCACCAAGTCGATTCCTTCCATCGCAACTCGAACAGCCGCTAGAAAGCCCGCACGCAGCATACAGTGCCAAGCTGTTACCCGTCGCCATGCTTCCACTACGGCCTCTGTGGCAGAAGCTGCCTCAGAATCTTCTACTCCAGCTCTCGATTGGAATACCTTTTTCATCTTGCGCAAAACGCGGCGCCGCTTCCAGCTCGCCAGCGGTATTTTAACAATGGCAATAGGTGGTACGGCAGGTGCTATCCTGCTTGTAAATATGGATATGGACTGGCTATTGACCAAGGTCCCAATGGACCCTTTTTTTGCGCTGGGTATAGTGACTCTGAGCTTCGCGGGGCTAGGGTGGTTGGCCGGTCCGAGCGTGGGCTCTGCGCTGTTCTACACGTTCAAGAAGGGTGTCAAGAAGCCGATGGCAATTAAAGAGTCTGAATTCTTTGCGCGCATCAAGAAGAACCGAGTAGATCCTAGCAACAGCTCATTGAGTGGTAACGCCGGTAAGTTCATCTTCGAGGTCTGAGTTGGGATGGAGGGAAAGTTGAGTTCGCTGACATTATTTTGTTCTTTATAGTCCCTGATTTCTACGGCGAAAAGATTTCGAGCGTGGCAGGTTACAGACAATGGTTAAAAGACCAAAGGGCATTCAACAAGAAGCGAACAAGCTTCGTCTGAGAGGAAAAGTGGTCTCGGGGAATTGGCCCCATGCAAGGGAGAAAATGCATAGTCCACATACACTAACAGGATTACGAGTTTCTTATCACATTAGTGAGAGAATGTATCTCAACGTTCAGGTAAAAAGCAAAAGCTTCAAAAACCAACGGATTGGCGTTCGGTGGCTCTCCCTCCAATGTATCAACAGAAGGAACCGGTATGATTTTGAAATGGAACCCCCCATTCCTATATTGGCGTCGTTAAATTATATGCATCGTCGAGACTGAGCGGTTATGTGAAAGGTATTGTTTGGTCGACGTGATATTTCCAGGCCCTCATGCCTCCTTCGATATCACCTACGAAGCGTGCCCCATTCGCATCTAAGCCCATCTCTTTCAGCCTTCGGGTTACCAATTGGGAATCGTTACCCACTCGGCAGATGACATATATTGGTGCATTAGGTGATAGTGATTCTGGGATATACTCTGGCCCTGAACCCTCCTCAGTAGACTTTTTACTACGAGTCTGTAAGGTTGAGAAGGGCACATTGATCGCGCCTGGTATACTAGCAATGTCAAAATGCTCCTTCTCGCGGACATCTAATAGCAAGTGATTCTTATCGGGCTGTTTTGTCAGAATATCATTGTACTCTGTAGCAGAGATTCTTTCTTCGGGCTTCAACACGGCGACTGGCGTGGTCACCCCGCAGAACTGGACGTAATCCAACGAACCAGCTCTTAGTTCTCCTAGAGTTAATGTTGATGCGGAGGAACAAGCAAAACAGTTAAGCCTTCGACTCCTCATCCTAATTGACCGGAATGGTGTAGACGAAGTAGCAGAAAATAAAAGTAAACTGGGCGCGATAGGGTCTTTCAGTGCTGAGCCTGAGTCTTTTCCGACTCCAGCGACGACCAGTTTAATAGCCTCAAGTGCTTGTAGCACGCCCATAATGCCCACAACCGGACCGAGAATCCCTCCTTCGCCGCAACTGACTACGCTGTCGGCGGGGGGTGGCTTAGGGAAGATGCAGCGGTAGCAGGGACCACCATCCATAGACCCTTGAACTGCTGGTGGATTATTTAGGACAATTAACTGTCCATCTGTCCGTAAGGCAGATGCGGAGACGAGTGGCTTCTGTAATAATACGCAGATATCAGAAATTAAGTACCGAGATGTCGGGTGATCTGTACAGTCGAGAACCAGATCGTACTTAGAAGCAATACCCTCGGCATTCTGGGGCGTGAGATGTTCTCTATGGGCTACATATGACACGTCCGGATTAAGTGCTCGACAGTATTCGATTAGGCTGTCTACTTTCATCATACCAACCCTTAAAGTGTTGTGTGCGATTTGACGATGCAGATTTGATATTTCCACGGTATCGCCGTCAACAACTCCAAGGGTACCAACTCCTGCGCCAGCTAGATATGCAGCAGCCGGACAGCCTAAACCCCCGGCACCAACTATCAGTACTGCGGCAGACTTCAGGCGTATTTGGCCTTTGATGCCGACAGTAGGTAGTATAAGTTGACGACCATAACGAGAATATTCTTCTTCGCTCAAGGGCCACTTCCATTCTGATGGTTTCGGGTTTAAATTCTGAGAGGTTGGCTCAAGTTCTTCTAGTTGTCTTCTCAAGTCTTGAAGCTCTTTCTCTGTCTGAGATATTTTGTAGCGGAGCTGCTCTGCTTTGTCGGTTATTGAATCCATGATGTCCATAACACCATTACTCGTTAACCGGAATTTCAGATGTCAAAACCCATGCATCACTAGCGAGGTTGAGGCTGAGGAAATATACCGAGTATTCCGTATATAGAGGTGCTGTGTGTGTGTGCAGGTACCCGGGTCCTACATAAAAATGGTATGCGATTACTTAGCACTTGCAGCGCAAAAAAGGTGACCTTATGTACATCCTAAGCATTCTTGCACCAACTGGAACAGCTAATACGGTTTAACTAGAGGGTATCAAAACTCCACTTAAACACATCCTATAGATTTAAGCCTAACCGAAAATGTATTAGATGTATAGGGTATTAGGTTAGACATGTCGTACATTTAAAGGGATGCCCTAAAAATGGATACAAGCAAATTCAAAAAAAAAAAAAGAAAAAAACTTTTCGTCACTCAACTAAGGTATGTAAACTTGCCAACTCCTAACTTGTGATAGGCCTAGTTTCAATTGACCTGCTAAATAGGAACCTCGGTCAGCATGTCCCATGTGAACGATTCAAATTCCAAGGCTCTGGGTCTCCAGCTTATGTACAGTTATCAACCGGTGGTTCCCTTGGTCTGGGTACCATGGATATCACCGGATCTACAAACTTCGACATAACCAACCGTCTCTTTCTGCTTTCCACCTTGTTTCTGATGCCATTCGAATCATTTGCGTACTGATCAACGCTGGAGCTTCTATACACGTAACGGGTAGCCTCAACCTTGCTTCGAATACTTGCAAGATGGGACAAGCTTGGATCTAGTATATTCAAGCAATCCGGTCAAGGATTTACATATTAACCAACACTAGACCATCCATTACGTCCCCCGGTCTACGAACTACCTCTCTCGGCGTCCTACCCATTCTGGATGGCCAACCGTCTACTGACCCCCACCTTAAATGAAATGGGTGTGCTGCAGAAGTTTACGAGCCTCTTTTCTAAGACATCATCAGCTGAAGCCCATCGGATAAGATAATATAGAGAGGTAGAGTTCAAGTGACTCTACATACGAGAGCATTCGCCCACTGCTACCCAACATAAAAGATCTACTTGCCATTTCATCCAAATAAATATCTGTTACAAACCATAGGACTACAGGGCCATATGGTCTTTTTAACCCGCCGATGTCCCAACTCCACGGAGTAGAATGGGACCAACTGGGAAACGTCGTTTCTTTTACGTACGTCTTTGGTGGTATCTGGCTAAGCGACCGAGTAGTGGAGTTAAGGATTTGGACTGAAATTTTACTAAATTTCACACCCTTCGAAGTTCGAATACTAAGCTATTCGTCCGAATTTCAATCGGGACCGACCCAGAAGCTAGGTACCTAACCGAGTCAAGCCTATCTCGCCAAAACTTATAAAAGACGTTGACATGATGATGGTACGTAGCCCATCGATCGGACTGACTACCTAGACTCCTAACGAATGTGAGACAACCCTTGCATATATATAGCTCGTGATATCTTACATATCGTGAAATATGACGAAGGTAAGTGAAATAGAATGAAGGTAGGCTACACCTTGAATTGCTTGCATGCTTCTAAAAAAGATGGGTAGACTTCGTGTATCAGAAGATACATGCATTTACTCCATCCTTGTACGAATTGGGTCTGTATTACCGTTCCATTTTTATTTACAGAGGTTCATCAAGCCTTTACAGAAGGGACAGAAGGGAGCGGGGGGAAGTTCTGGACCCTACAGTAGCCCTAGACCGGATGTCGCGTTAGCTGCATGTGTAACCCCGGCCTGGCGCAGAAACCGTCACCTGCTCGCAGCGGCGCAAGTTCATCTTGGTTTTTCATGTCCCATCTGTACTTGGTACTAACCGTTTTAATGCGTAAACCCCCTCTGGAACCTTGTCATTATGTCCGACCAATAAACTTACCCGAATCCATCCCCCACTATCTCCTCGTCTACCAGTCTACCTAGTCCTCGTTTTTTTCTAGGAGTTCATTGTCGGGAGTCAAAAGTCATCTGGTGTCGAATCCGGGTTGATTCCTGTTCGCCAGACATTGTCGAGTTAAATGAAGCTCCATACAAATCATCCCGCAACTTTCCACCCACCTTTGGTCGTTAGCTTCAGTCTAATATTGCTTGCGACTACATAGCCTACTTGCGAGGCCTTCTAGTGGGCCGTTGACGGAATTCATCGAATCTTCCGCGCGGGTTTTGTTCTTCTCCTCAGAAATGTGTTGACCAACGTCCTCGAAACGCTTCAAGCTTTCACGCTTCACGCTTTATGCTGCGCGATCGCAGTATCGACGAAAAATATCGCAGCGAGATAAGATTATTCGAGAATAGGTTTGGCTAGCATAATTTTTGGGACGTTGTAGCCTCGTAGCGGGATACGGTGAACTTGCGAACCTGATCGCGGCGACGACTATATATCTCTTTCGACGGTTTGACAGCCACCATTGTTAGGTATGGCCATGATGGACCCAAGCGCTTGGAATGGACAAGACCAGCCCATGTCCTCGGCTGGCGAAGATGACTTTCAACAATTTCTTGAGATGGGAGGCATGTCTAATTTGGAAGACGGGTTGCAATTTGATTTCCATGACTTCAACGGTGTTAATGGCGCCTCGATGATGCACCAGCCTCATGGCGATTCTATTGATACTCCGATGAGTAACTCGAATGTACCAACGATTATTTCGAGAAATGATATGGGGCCGCAGAGCCAGATGTCCCCCATGACATCTGCTCCGAGTCACCCAGGAATTCCAACCCAAATGATGCCTCCGCACCACACATCCTCTGATGCCATCTCCGAGATAGATGCGCAGATACAGTTCCTGCAACAGCAGAGGCTACAGCAACAAAGGAGACAACTAGAGGAACAGCAGAGGCAGTTTCGGGAACAGCAAGCTGCGTTCTATGCCCAGCAGCAGAGAAACATGGTACCGCCCACCCCGCAAAGCCTTGAGATACAGGCAGCAAACCAATTTTTTGCTTCGCAAGACCAAGCGCACTCTTCGGGCATGTTCGATGGATATCATCAACATCTAAAGGAGCCACAAGATGCATGTCACTCCCCCCCAGCCTTGAATATCGTTGGCTGACCGTTCAGCAGATGGCTTTCACCCCGCTAGTATCTCCTGCGGTAACGCCCCTTGAGCCTCACTTTCCAGTTGACCCTGGATTTTCTCAGTCAGGACCCTACTTCAGCCCTTTGACCTCTCCTGCGCTACATGCGCAGAATGATTCTGCGTCAACATTTGACCATAGGCACTCGGGGCATACCACGAACTCCCCCATCGAAATGGATATAGACCCGTCTCTAGCGCAAAGCAGCACAGCAAGTTTATCGAAGAAGGTACGCAAAAGCAATGCCACCAAGGCGAGAAAGTCGAACGTCCGACAATCTCCGATCACAAAACCTCAAAGACGGAAAACGGGTTCGACTCCCATAATCAATGCTCAGGTTCTTAGTGAATTAGCCGAATCTGCAGCCGAGAGCTCAGAACACCCCCCGCAACCCAAGTCAGTCTCGGCAGTGTCGACGGAGGAATCGGAGAATGCCTCAGTATCTCCGGAAGCTCTTGAGATGCCCCCTCCGCCGCTTCCTCTACCACGTTCCGCCAGGCAATCTCCGTATATTCAGCCGCAGACTAACGGAAGCACGGCGCCTTCGGTGTTGCCTACCTCCTTGGGTGGGAAGCCATCGCCCGCAACTCCGGCTTCACTTTTTAGAATATCACCGAAGAGCAAGTCGGCCGATCCGAATAATCCCGAGCACGGCGGTTCCGAACATATAGAAAGCTTCGAACTTCCTGAATCAATTAACTTCTCCAAGCCCGACTTGCCTTTAATCGATACTCAACAACCGGTAGATCTGTCTTCCGAAGTAGAGACGGCAAAGACGTCCACATTTCAGTCTCTTCCATCCCCGGTTTTTCCTAAGCCAACACGCTCGGCAACGGCATCGGCAACGCAGAGTCCTCAGATTACTCCTAAATCTACCACTCCCAACCCTAGAAAGACTCCGTTGATAGCTCCGAGAGGTCCTAAGAAGAGGCCTAGCATTAGTTCTGTTTCACCAGCTCTACGGCCGAAAATATCCCCGAGTATCAAGCCGCTGCTCCCGGGGACACCTGGCTTGTCTGCAGAAGATTCCGCATCGAGGCTACTAGCATCCAAATCGAATTACCAGAACATATTGGAAGGGAATACCGTCCCAGGAGTTTCGTATCCAAGCGAGCTATCCACAAATCTAACTTCGAAGCGGACTTCGCACAAAATTGCAGAACAGGGGCGTCGAAACCGTATCAACTCTGCACTCCAAGAAATTGCAACTTTACTACCAACAAATGTTGCAAGAGAGTTAAGTGAAGGTGATGGCGAGTCTGGGAGCGGGGACAAGAAGGACGGCAAGCAATCCAGCGCGCCGAATAGTAAGGCTAGCACGGTAGAGTTGGCAATCATATACATCAAACAATTACAAGAAGAAATAGCCGAGGCGAATAGGAGAGCAGACGAAGCCGAGAAGAAACTTGAGGAGAAAGTGACGGCAAGTTGACAATGGCCGGATGGCGAGGACCGGGAGGCAGAGCCTCTATTTACTAAAAGCTAGCATGTGTCGGTTTACTTATACCGTTGGCGCACCGGATTGCTATACTAATTAGAAGGCACATTGCTAGCCGACATATTACATGGGAACAATATAATATGAATGTCCCTAGTTATCACTTAATGAAGCTAAAATGTATTGTCATATATTAGGTACTTTGAGGGAGAGTATCATTTTATAATATGAAAGGAGGTGGTTACCGCTGTAGTAGAGCGTTACGACGATCATGGTGGGAAACATTAACGAGGGAGTTAGAAGCTTTGTATCTATATCACGAATGTCGTATGTGTTACGATAGTAAGCTTGTATGGGCCTATGTATGATATATGTAGGTACTTGTTATTATAGAATGACCTATAAAATTATTTAAATTTTAATTCAGATGTTTTGTTTACCTAATTATTGTTTTAAAACCCAATCTACCAACAGTGCATATGAAGCAAGCCAATCAATTTCTTCCTGTAGTGTTATATCATATCACCTAATAAGGCTTGAGTGAAAAGGTGATGCAGCCTAGAAATTACGATGTATGATTGGACGAGGAGGAAGTACTTAGCCCTAGTTGGTACCTGCCTATCTGCCTCAGGCAAATTATGGAGCTTGAATGTAACGCAATGACCTGCTTAGTACCTAGGTACAGATTACGATCTAGGTAGAAGGTAGCTAATGTTTCTGTTGCCACTGCAACGGAATTTCCACTTCTTCAACTCTTTTTTATCAACACGATCAATCCCCCGCTATATTTTTTTCACCACCGTGCGTGTTCCCAATTTTGTCTACCATCGCTAGACCTGCTGGTGACAGTTTAGTAGCTTTGGTGACGTTCCGAGTTAGATTTTCAACGGCACTTAACCGAAAGCCGCGTCCTTGAGTACATTATATTTCGTTATACGTCACCAAGTCAGAAATATCTTGGTGCGCCTAGCGGGTATCCCTCAAATATCAGGTTTAGGTGTTAAACTGTGCGAAATCACAAAGTCACAAAGGGTTCTTCTTATTCCATATACTCTTCAAACTTGTAATATTTAATATAAGATAGTCGCCGACTATCTTATAAGCGATCCGCAATGTCCGACTCAGAGAGCCTCGACTATCTCCAGCCGGGCTTCGATGCGAAGACCCTTACGGTCCCCCGGCTACGATCGATTTTAGTTGCCCACAATGTTTCATATACATCGAGCGCAAAAAAGGCACAATTGATCGAAATTTTTAATGATCAGATCGTACCCCAGTCAAAGAAAATTCTAGCTGCACGTGCACGAGCAAAGCGCTCAAGCAAAGGCATTGTCGATGCAGAATCACAAAGCAGCAGCAATCCCTTTGAAGAGCAGGAAGAACTTGCACCACCTCCACGTACTACTCGTCGATCAAGGTCGCCTAGGAAAGCACCTACTAGAATCAAGACAGAAGAACCGGAAGATCAACCAATGCCGCCGCCAACCCCAAGTCCTACTAAACGAAAGCCCCGGGCTACAAGCCGCCCGGTTCAGGCTTCGGATACGGATACCGGTCCGGAGCATGACAATGGCAGAACGCTCAGTAGAGTCGGACGGCCCGTTCTTGCGCCTCGAATTAAGACTGAGGAATCTAATGAAGGCTTTTTCCGACGTACTTCGGATGTTTTCACCAATGACAACCCGTTCCAAAGTGGTAGTTCCCCACCAGCTGTGGATAACACCCCGAGCGTACGTCGAAGAACAGCCGGGCCTGATAAACCGCGAAGCCTTAGTAGGGGCGCGCGAAGGCGAACAGATGGCCACACTGTTCCTAAAGAAGAGTCACCTGGCTTGCCTATGAGTTTCAATCCTCCATTACCTCAGCAGAAAACATATCTAAAGGCCCCGGAGACGCCTGTTGTCGAGGCCGGGGAAGAGTTTACCCCAGAAGAGCAACTCGATCTTATCTCAGACGAAGCCGTAAATGGGCGCGACGCTGTTGTTACTCGGCAATCCCGACGCCGACCAAATAAGACTGGAGGTGGTACAATCTTTTCTATATTCTTTGTGACACTCTTAAGTGTCTACGCTGGGTGGTATCGACAGGAAAAGATTGCAGTCGGTTACTGCGGCGTTGGTCAAGTTGGAAGCTCGATTCCTAATGAGATCGAAACACCTGAATGGGCGCAGTCGGTACTACCACCTCAAATTACGGTCCCGCAGTCTGTCATAGACACCCTAGAGCCCGAGTGTGAACCATGTCCCTCTCATGCTTATTGCTATGCCGACTTTTCTGTACGGTGTGAACAGGATTACCTCCTCAAGCCTCACCCTCTATCACTAGGCGGTGTGGTCCCTCTTCCTCCAACCTGTGAGCCTGACGGTGTCAAGGTCCGACGGGTACAGGCGGTGGCAGATAAGGCGATCGAAGAGCTTCGCGAACGAACTGCTAAGTACGAATGCGGTGAACCCGTCGATGAAGAAGGTACAAGGCTCGAGACACCGGCGATTGAGGAGCAGGAGCTAAAGGAGATTATCAATAGCAAGAGAAGCAAGAAGATGAACAATCAAGAATTTGAGGATCTCTGGGGATCTGCGCTTGGCGAGATTAAAGCTAGAGAAGAAGTAGAGATTGAAGTCAAGGAGTAAGTAAAGTATCTTTGAGTAATTACTTTTCATACTTTATTCACCTATCTCATGGAAGATGCCTGTATCACAAGTTAAGAAGTCTGACCATTTGACTAACCAGAGTCCCTCCGGCCACCTTAGAATATCCGATTCCGGAAGCGTTCCAAACACCTACTACACGTCCACCTCTCTCGCTCGAATTTCAATCACCTGCGCCGTCCGCAGATCAATCCGACTCGGGTTGGCAAGATATCGATTCCATATTAGCGTCGTGATTGCTCTGATCGTGACAGCGATTTATGCACAGTCTCGATACAAGGCTAACCGTGCGGCGGCTGCTCAGGTGCCGGCCCTGGTTGACCTAGTGCTTGAGAGGTTAGCGAACCAGAAGCAGCTAGGGGATGAGGATATCGATGATCCGTGGCTCTTCCTTCCGAACCTCCGTGACGACGTCCTGAGATCGGTCCATTCGCTCTCACGACGCGAGAAGATCTGGCGGAGAGTTAAGGCAGTTGTCGAGCAGAACAGCAATGTTCGGACTAGCCAGCGGGAAGGACGCAGCGGCGAGGTCGGCAGGGCATGGGAGTGGATTGGCCCGATGGCTGGAGACCATAGCGCTAGGCGACGGAAGAGCGGACGTACATCATTCGGACCGGATGCGGGTGTGGATTCACCGAGTAACGGAGCAGGGGATAATGCGACCCACGCACGACACCAGAAGTGGGAGGAACCAAGACCAATCTATTAACGGAAGGGGTTTCAGACGGAAGCCATGTGGGATAGATGGACGAACAGTTATTCAGTTGGCTGGCGTTTTAGGCTTTGCTTCATTGGTACCTTGTGACTTGACGCGATAGCTACGTGCAATCAATTTATGGCATTCTCTTTTGTAAACAAGCTAGTTAGGTGGTACTCTATAATGTCTACCTACTTAATGTAACCTGTGATACGACGACCTTTCCCCCTCCCCCAAATTCTCTGTCTTGTGTCTTATGCTCTATACGTAAATGGTGGCGTTTCCAACCCGCAATTTATATAGAGGCACAGCCGGCATTACCTCGCAGTAGCTATAGATATCTACATGTGAACTTCATTGCGGCGTTGATTCTTCCCCTTTGGACCTAGGAGACTAGGCTAAGCTCGTTTCGAAACATCTCACGCTCCGTGCCGCGTAGTATGCGTAGCCATGCGTAGCAGAAATAACTCGGCCAAGATGGCCTAGTGTTTCACGGATACGACGACGCTTATTCGTCTACGTCTACCTTTCGAGGGTTCTAATTATGGGATTGGGGTCTAGGATTTATTATTGATTAGGTAGTTTGGGTTTATTTTTGACGATGTATGCGAGTCATGACGGGAGGAGGAGGAGGGTACGGCATTTGCGTGTGCCCGGGTTTGAGATAGAAATTGGGTTGGAATACGTACTTTGGGCTAGGATAGGAAAATTAGTTCATGTCGTGTTGCTGCGCTGGACTCTGCTATCACTCGATGTCGGGACTGACGCCTACTAGATTGGTAACGGGCGAGAACGTGCCTGGGTAGTCTGCATGTCGGCAGATGGATAGACACTTTACAGATACGTAGGATGAATACCAGATCTAATTAACCAAACGCCATCTATAGTTGCTTAGAGTAGGAAGCTTAAACATTTCTAAAATCTATAAGTTACAAAGTCTATTGGAATAATTTACTCAGAAGAGCAGTCTATAATTGGTATCAGAAACAAGAATCTCAAGGTCAGAATTTGTACAATTAATTCTCCCGCTACTATCCAAGTACTATACACAGCACGGAACCTCGCTCTTTGCTTAGAAGCCCGTGGGAATAGATCGCGTAAGAGATATTAGCTGTTAGATACACGCCTTAGACCTAGATAGATACAAGGACCTCCTCCCCCTTCATTATATCGCACAACCACGACGCAACTACACCGCGTTACGTCTCTCTTCTCATCTCCTCTTACACCTTCTCGCTCTCGAGCACGATCGATAAAAACAGACAAACAAAAAAGCTAGATCAGAACACGTCGTCGGGAGCAAAGCCAGTCGCCATCGCCTCGGGGACGGAGTCTAGTGGTATCATGCAAAAGAACGGATAATGAAAAGGGGCAGCCGGAGAGAAATAAATATAAAAATGTAAGTGAATATTGCTGATGACGAATGTCGAGAAAGTACCGTGGCGCCACCGATCTCTAGTAGGACGCACAACGTTCGAGCGGTGTACAGCATGCTGTAATTATTGAAGACCGAATATAAAATTGTATATGTTCAAGGTTAAAAATGCCGGCGGCTGCGCCTTTCAAATGCGAAGAGGGGTTTGCAAGTATGTTGCGGTGGTAAAAGATGATATATCCATAGGTTTATGCTGAGCTGCGCTTAGGCAGCTTGTGGTAAATGACGTCTGAACGAATGTGCGCTTTTCCGATTGACCCCCTTTTTTTTTCTTCTCCCGTGGGCGTTGTGAAGACTCGTCTATCTCTGGCCTGGCCTCCGAGTCCGAATCCAGAACTTTTGCTCCTTAAATGAGAATGGGTATAAGCGAAGGTCATGAAAGGTTTCGTAAGAGTATCATTAATGCGATGAGCAATTGAAAGGGAACACCCAGTCTTGGAGTATGTCTAAGGATTATTTAAAAGGCTGGTTTGTTGTTGTCTCCCAGGTTCAGCCAGCTCAAGTCGTTCGAATTAGATGCCTTATCCAATGGCGGCTGGTTAGAAATACCCGTTGGAGGTCTGTTCGTGGCAGGAGGCACAAGAACTGTCTGATAGATACTCTGGCTATAAGTACTACTTGGAGCTCGCACATCGCCCCAAGCCTTTTTCGCCGTTGCCGGATCCCAGGTATCGTGGACACTGGCTGGGATGCCACTAGAATAACCAGAGGATGATGCATTGGATATAGGTCGTTCTATTTGGCCGGTCATTCCCTCTATCTGAAGATTGTGCTGCGAGATTGTCGGGCTGTTTGAATTGACCTGGTTCAGCTCTGGTCGTCCTTGTGGGACTTGTAAGGCTGGTATAGATAAGGCTGGTACGGTGGCAGAATCCTGCGTTAGGCGGTTTTTATCCGAGTAGAAAGAACTTTGTTCAGAACCATTGCCACGCTGCGAGTTGCCATTCCCGAGGCCAAGAACAGACAGCGCGCTACCATCAGACCAGTATCGATTCCAGCCAGAGCTCCTTCTCATGGTATCATCTACATTATCCACTGCTGGTCGAGGTCGCGGCTTCGGCTCGCTTGCATCAGCAGCGAAGGACACGCCCTTTTCATCCCTTGAGAGGAACTCCGGCTCCGGACTCGTTTGAGGCTGCGGTCGACCAATGGTACTCTTGAATTGCTTACTGAAGATGCTGTTGATAGAACTGCGCTTCGTTTCGTTGCTCGTTTTGCGCTGTACGGCAGGTTTCTGTACCTTACCCATCAAGATGGCCATTGATGAAAATGAACCTACAGAGTCCTGTGGAACGTGCCCTCGGAAATGTCCACCCGAAGTTTTCGCAACTTCCCGTTCGAAGTCAGCCTTCTCATCCGGTATTCCACTAGCTCTTCGCGCATGTCCTGCGTCAACATGATTTTGTCGCTTCCGAAGATGTTTGATCCAGAATAGCAAGCCTAGTAAGATAATCGCGAAGCCAAAGATAGTCCCAAGTACTATACCTAGTAGAGTTGTCGCAGGAAGCCCGCTATCTTCAGCTGCAGGCGTGGTAGAAACAGGAGTAGTGGCGGCGGCAGTAGGAGCTTCAGTCGAGGTAGTAGAGGGCGCGAGAGTGGAGGAAGATATCGATGATGAGGTTGATGGCGTCGACTCGATAAAAAACCCTTTTTGTTGCCCAAGTACAGCCGTTGCATTTTTCCAAGCGTTCTGTTTCGCATTGAACATGCACAATATCTCGTCATCGTTCCCACCTGATATCACTACTAACCCATTCGCATCGGTAGCTATGGAATAATCATTTCGTATGCTTTGCGGCGCTAGAGTCGAGTTATATTTTGGCCAGTTATCCGCAGTAAGCGCTCGCTTCTCAACCGCAGCATCATCATCTTGTAATGCGCGGCTCGAAACAGTCGCTACCACAGGAGCCGCGTCAGCTATAGGGAGACCATTGCTAGTCAACAACATCGTCCTGTTGACCGTGTTCGGCGAGGTGCTCATATCAAACGTATAAAGGTGTTTGCTACCATCATCACCGGCCATGATAGCCGCCTTCATCAACGTGGAATTCTTAGGTAACGGCTCTGCTAAGGTTATTCCTGGGTCAGTCCACGAGGCAACTGGATCAAAAAGCATCACCCGCGTGTTAGTCGGGTTGCCACCGATCATGACGGCTTGTGTTTCCGACCATGGAAGTATTATTGGCGCGATTCCTGGTGGGGAGAGGGTAGACTGAAAGGCCAGCACAGAGTATGGCTTAGATGCCCCAACTGTGAAGGTCTGGGAAGATAACCCCATGTTTCCCTCGGTCGATCCCGAATAGACCAAAATCGAATCGCTGCCGTTGATGTACGCCGCGCTGTGGTATACCCGATTTTGCGTCACATTCACCTCCGGGGCTATAGTCTCCCATTTTTTAGTCGAGTATGTGAACTTTTGAAGCCCCGGGTAGTCGGACGATTTCGACTTTCCGCCAACAACAAACAACCCGGCCTTCGATAAATCTTTTGGTGTCGATCCAACACAGACGCCACCTTCAACCGAATGTCCACTGGCCAATTTTTTCCATTCTGCCCCTTCCTCCAATTTCAACGACTCGAGTCCGGCGGCCGAGTAGGAATATAAAGTATTATCGAATATGACGCTGCATGCGCCTGTTAATGGCAACAGCGGTTCTGGAAGTGACATGGTATGATATAAAACTCCAACAAACCCGATGTGATGACTCCGAATAAATGAGCGACAATGAGACCAAATACAGTGGCCTCCAGATTACCGTCGCTTATCAAAAGGTCATGATCATCTGTTAAAAGAGTGGAATGGGGCTTGGTATTGTTGGTTGCCGATGTTGTATCTTGGTTAGGGAAGTGTAGCACGATGTCTATAACATCCGCCGGGGGAACAAATATGCCACGCTATTAGAACTAGATAGTGATCTCTTGATCGTATTGGAATTGGTGATGAAGAGAAACCAAACTGCTTGACTTGGTTGAGGAACTACTAGAGTAATCCGATGCCGAAGGGAAGCTTGTCACCGTCAATATACTGGCTAGGGCTTTACTCGGTATAGCAAAGCTAACTCGATGCTAGAAGGCCGGCCCACGTAGGACAATATGATCTGCAGAACAAAGTTTGGTGGTTCCCTAAGAAAAAAAAGATGTTTCCGTCCCGTAGTCAAATGGAGAAGACAGAGTGGGAGAAGGGTGGAAACGGTCGATCTATCTCCTGACGGGCGTGGTGTCGCAGGTTGTCAAGGTATCTCAAGCCTAGCGGATCAATATACGCCTCCGGCAGGTCTAGTTGCTTAGCTGCTTTGCCTAAAAGTGTAACCCACTTCCGTAGTAGGATGGATTTATTTAGATGTGCCGCAATATCGAAATATTCATGCGCCAGCCTAGATGTAAAAGGGGAGGTTTACGGAAAGATTATAGAAGGCGACGATTAGAGGGCTGATGGATTAAAACGCTGACGAGCGAATCCTGTGGAGCGAAGGATGAAGGAATTAGGTACAAGGAGAGGATACCACAGCGATGGGATGGTGAGGTCCCGAAAGAGAGGCAAGCTGTAGTAGCAAGAGAGAGCAAGGCTTCGGCGAGCTGCTCAAAAGAGAGAACGTATGAGAGGGCGAAAGAAAGTTACACTCTCTGTTTGCGGTCGAGCACTTCGATGAGAAGGACGAGAATACGACAGGGGGGAGCGGACCAGGACCCCCCGGGCGATTATGGACCTCCCATCTCCTAATCGAATAGGAACGTAGCAATCGTCAGGGGACAAGCGATTAAAAGGTAAGCTATTGAGATAGCGTCAGGTACCTCCAACGACCAAGATACGTCTAAAATACGTTTGGTAAAGCGGGAATAGGTTAGACGCTACAAGGTACCCCAACGGGGCTACAGTACATAGATGCAATTACCCTGTGGCTGGGTATGTAAAGCGTGCCATACATAGTGGATTCAGTACTACACGAAATTTAGTGGTTGCTAACAGAAAAAAGGGGTAGACTTCTCTTTTAACCCCTGCTCATACGACCATCTGGTGGAGAGACTTTCTCGCGTGGTTATGGGTTCGAGCGAAGGATCCAGTGAGCAATTTGACATCGTTTCGCTCAGTCCGAGTTTGTTTGTTTCTTAACGAGGTTATTTAGCATGTTTAGCGGTATATTTTAGTTTGCAATAGTATATAAAATCTCATAGTTAATCTAAGTAGTTATAGTTATATGTAACTAGTTATAAAATGATACATTGTTAGATGATATATCCGTCCAGGTTGTGCGGAAAGTTTTGAATCGCCTCGTGTAAAAGGACGAAAGGTTGGGGGTAGTACCTAAAGAAGTGAAAGGCGAGAAGTGACTGGGTAAAACGAACGATAGAATTGTCCAATGGAACCCAACTTTCATAGCATGATCTGAATTACATCGTTTCTTACGAAATAAGCCTTACCTATTAGGGTTCGAACACGACGGGCACTAACCTATAAAAGAAGGCGTACATATTGTGAAACTCTAACCCCACCACGTACCGAACTCATATTGCAATGGTATGTAGTAGTTGCAGTACCTGTTGTGCGCTAGGCACCTCGTGTGCGACACACGATTGGCCACTGAAGATTCCGGTAGTATTTGTCGGAAATCGCTACCGATTAACTCTGGGTTCCTGGACTCTTGCTTACTGCGCAATAATTGATTAAACATGCAGTTAACATCGCTGAATTCTGCTACTTTCAGCTTAGATATTCTCTATTGCAGCTAAATGACATGGATAGTATACATTTATATTTACGACGTTGGATAGAGAGTTAGTCAAAACTTATAGCGTCTTGAAGGACAAGGGGAGTTGTACCTAAAAAGCCGTTTGCTTCAGAAATATTATGTGGTTTGTCATGTTTGCCTAACGGCCCTGAACATGCGACAACTGCTATTCTAGGCTAAGAAGCCATGTCTCATATTTAAAGTTATGCTGACTTTATACCAGGTAGATTCTATTCATATCGTATTAACTAGTCGAATATCGCATTTATTATACTAGAGAATATATACCTGTTAGTTAAATCATCACTATCCTACCAATTCTTGTCATACACCAACAGACTTTTCCACAAGTACCTAGTCGCAAATGACAAGTGATCGCAGAGGGGGGCCAAATTTAAAAGAAAAATACAGGCATGTCGTCATCCCGTAATGATTTCTTTCAGCAGCATAATGGATCTCTACATATGTACCGGGGACCACGTAAATCCACAGGGTCTATCGAGATGAGGCACGACTGCTGCAGGCTGCAAGCTGCAGGCCACCGTTATTCGTAAGCGCCGAGCTGCGAAACATCACTACGAGTTTCTACGCATCGCTTCACCTCACGGACCAATTGTCACCCTAAAATGTCTTCTTTATTGTAATTCCGCTTACTTCTCCCCGGGCGCCAGAGAACTTAAAAGCGCGCGGCATCAAGTCTTAATGAGCACATTAGATATTGGTTGGTTGCCCTTTATCTATTGGCCCTGGCGTCTTCCTGATAATTACCTCACAGGCAACTGGGTTAGGTATTTACATTCCATTAGCATCAGTGGCCGTCTACGTCAATGATACTAAGTCTACTTCACGAGATAATAGGGAATATTATTAAGCGCGTTTAATATTTGCTTATTAACTGATTTATTTTTCATGCGCGAAGCTTCGCCAAGACGTAGTTGAACCTGGCGGTTTCTGACCTCCAGTCAATGAGAGCTCGACATCCACGTGTTTCCGTACGGGGAGTCTCAGTCTGACTAAGGGAGTCGTCTCTAGACTCGAGAACTCTGCTTCGACCTCTCTTTCTTGAGGCCATGACCTGACTCCTTTCCTGTATATACATAGCTACACGCAGACGTAACCTGCCTAGCAAGATCCCATAATCGTTGTACAACGTAAAGACTCATAAACCATGAACTCCTAAGCCTATGCAGCATTTCTGCGAGAATTCCGAGCCAACCCAATCTAAACCCCGTCATCAGTTCTATTGAGACGTCGTAACGAAGGCGTTGGCTGGTAATTGTGCCTATTACATCTTTAGTTAGCTCAAATATCATCAATGCTACACGGGAGGTACTTACTCTTTTTTCGTTGAACATAAGAAGGGCTTGATCAAAGTTCCAGTTGGCTCCATCCAAACAGAACTTTGAGTATTCCGGAGTCATACCCGTTCGTTTGCAAAGCTCAATGACCATTTGTTGCTGCAAGTCTGAATTCGGCTGTGCTATCGGCTGCACTGCCGGTTGAACTACTACCGGTTGAGCCGTCGGTTCCGGCGTTGGCATTGAGCCTGGCGGCGGATTGAAGGCTCTGACGGAAAGCATGTCGCTGATGACGCGGATAGGATTTCTACCCGGAGCGCCAGGGCCTAGAACGAAAGTACGAGAGAAGCTTCGCTTGGCCGTCTTCATGGTACCAGGCTCTTGATCCTCGAATTCTCCATGTATGGTGATGATCATTCCATCTACACCCACCGGACTTTGACCAGCTGGGTCAGGGAGACCGTGGACAGGATGGCAATCGACAATATACTTGTTAAATTCAGCCAGTAGATCAGGGTGCCGCGTAGGAGGTAGCTGTTGCCATGCGCTTTGGATAAGATGTGTTCCGGCGAATAAACGCTGTATTCTAGTAGAGGTATGGGTGATCTTGTTGTGATTGCGGGAGAATTTAATGTATCCGCCCCAACCGGGTGTCTGACTGTTCTGTGGGTGTGGAGAGCTGTTGATAACAGCCATAGAAAAGGTACTCTCGTTGTCGTAGTACTTAGCCGCCAGACTATGTCGATCAACATCGTACATTGACATGAACTCCCTGATGAAAGCTTCGCCAATGCCATTGATATCTCGAAAGTCGGCACCGTGCTGCGGGATGGGGGTAGGCCGAGATGCGGCTTCCATTGCGGCGACTTGTTCCGGGGTCCTAACCTGGATGCCGCTGAGGTTTTGTAGTCGAGGAAACCAATTTGTTAACTCTGCTGCGTAGCTGGGATTTGCCGCCTCGATAGGGTTGTCGTTCAGGAGGAGAGTTTCGAGCTTCCTAAGGCGATATCGCCACTTTTGAAGACCCTTCAAATCCTTGAAGTGGTTTCGGCTTAAGTCCAAGTTGACTAAGTCAGGGAAGGTTTCAGTCAACGACATGATCTGAAAGACATCATCAATGTTGTTGCCTGCGAGGCTGACACTAACGACAGCGTCTCGTTTATCCTGGGCCGTCTTAAATAACCCATCACAAACAGCCATTAGTGCGCGAAACAGCTTCTCGGGTTTACTCTCGCCACTGAAGAAACCCATCTGGTTGAGCCCGGCATCTTCGCCGAGGGCAGATAGATTTAGTAGCTTCGCGCTGCCGTCGTATCGGAGGCTAAGGACGTTACGAAGCGCTTCTCTTACCTCGAGAGCGGTCGAGGACATGTTAGTCTGGCTAGCCAGGGGCAATTCGCCCGGCGCTTCTGTGATGGTAAGAGTTGTGCCGGCAAATGCGAATCCATTCAGCTTAAGAATTTCTTCCCCGTCTTCCTTGCTTGTTATGATGTATACAAAGTCACCATTGATGTGTGACTGCTAGACGTTAGCAAGGTAATGAAACCTTGATAATGCTCTAGGAATCCGGGATAGGTATGCGGCTCGGTTTAAGATTGTCTCTCCTCGTTTTTGCGAGCTATACGGCATGATAACGAATGCGGAGAATTTGTGTCGCTGCGTAACCCCCCAGATTCTCGGACGGAATGCTATCACATACCTTCTTAATCCTTATACTTCGTGTAGTCTTCGAGACGGCCTGAGCTTTTCGTTCCAAAAAGGTCAGCAACTCTTTGAGGCCGCCTCCTTCGTTACCAGCCGCCTTGCTAGACTTAAGACCCTGAACTTGGAGTGTCATCGTATTCGGCGCGTTGACTTGACGGGTGCTTTTAAAGGCTTTAGCCCCCGCAGACATTCCGGTAGCGATGCGGGAAGAAAGGCTACCACCAGTTCCATTGAAGACTCGTTGTATTATTTGCTGCGTCTTTACGTTTGGTCTCGGTGCGCGTGATCCGTTCGGTGCCGATCGTGTGGATCGCGGTGTCGTGGTAGAATCGTGCGCTTCGGTGCGCTTCGCCTTCCGAGGGTTACGGTTGGCAGCACCGGGAGCATCCATATCAAGGTCGCCATCTTTGTCCACTCTGCCTGAAGTATTACCACGACGCTTAGATATTCCACCTCTAGAAGCCGCATTCGCACCATTTGCTCCACCTCGGGAATTTCGCGGGCCAGTAGGGGCAGATCCCTTTCGGGGACCAGAGGGCGCCATTATTCGTCGTATGAGAAGCGAGCGAAACCCGCGAAAATTCTGCGTAGGGAAACAAATTTAGAAGCGATAAGAGGTTTGAAGGTTGCTACTCTAATAGAAGAGCAAGGAAGTGGTTGTAAATGATCTGGAGATGATTCCTTATGAATAGTTGTGGAAAAGTCGTCAATAATTGACGATTTTCAGGCAAGGCTAGCAAACCATGAATTGCAGATGAACGGATGGCGTTGCCTAGAAAAAGATTGTTGTAGGTTGTGAGAGTTGTGGATCCACCCGAGGCAAGTCAAGAGATTGAAGTAAAGGCAAAAATAGTTTCCCTCGTAGTATTTTTACGAGAGAAATGGTAGAACAAGCCTTTAGTTTCGTTGCATCCTTTGGGTGGGGATAAAGAAGGGAAAGATGAAAGATGTAAAAGGCTGTGACGTCGAAACAAAGGCTGACGAGAAATCAAGACACGGACAGAGGTTGATACCTAGCGCGCACGGACCACTAAAAGATGATTCCCTAGGTCAGCAGCTGCTTCAGCCACGAACCCAATTTTCTAGAAGTAACGACAGTAGGGGCAGCTTGTACCGATAGGGGATAGGTACATAAATGCTTAGGTAATATACATATTAAATGTACATAATTTAGATAATTCAAGATAAAGCCATCAGAATTACATTATAACAGCCACAATATTCACATGACTTCGCGACATTTCAATGCCAACTATTTTATAGTTGTACCCGCATTAACGCGTCTAACCCACATCAGCTCCCAACGCATGTTCAGTGACTCTCAGACAAAGGACCTATCACAAAGAGCCTATTAAATAGTAAATGGTCAATAATCTACCTATTTAGGTAATTATGTGATAGTTACTTATTAAAAAAAAAAAAAAAAAAAAAGGCTACCCTAAACTATGGATTCGGATGAGTTCGACGACGATATTGCCGACGAAGATCTTATCATCGCCGCCAGTCAGGTGCAAGCTCCAGTTCGTAGTCAACCTGCCAAGATCAACCAAGGTCGATTTCAACCCCATGTTCAACGGCCACCAGTTCAGGGGAACAAACCTAATTCAACTCACACAAGCTCCCTGGTATGAATATCTTGATTTCTATTTTCTTGGGCATGACTATGAATAACTTCGAATTATGGTATTATGACTATCACAGTTATCGGCGTTGCTCAACTGTATCTTAGTTTAGGATTTCGAAGGGCCGCACTAATACACATTTCAGCAGCGATCAAATTCTAATGGGCAATCTTTTATTGACCTTGACGACTTACCTTCAGATGCATTCTCAAGTCCACTAGCAAATCCTCAGTCTGTGTCTCAGAAGGGACCAGCAGGATTTCTACAGCCACAACGTATTGGTGACCCAGTCCCTACCTATCGACAGACCACCTTATTTGGTCAAACAATTCAACGAGATCCTGGCCCTGGATCCTCTCAGTCCAATAGAAACCGAGTATTTCGTGTAGATTTACCACCTGAGCCTCCAACTCATCATGAACTAGACTTGGAAGCTATGAAAACTTGGGTTTATCCTACAAACCTGGGGCCCACTCGAGATTATCAGTTCAGTATCGTTAAAAATGGCCTGTTCAACAACACTCTCGTCGCCCTCCCTACCGGATTGGGCAAAACATTTATTGCAGCTACTATCATGTTAAACTACTTTCGCTGGATGAAATCAGCCAAGATCGTGTTTGTGGCCCCTACCAAGCCGCTTGTATCACAGCAGATCGATGCGTGTTTCCATATTGCCGGTATTCCAAGATCGCAGACGACCTTGCTTACAGGAGAGATACCGCCAGCTCTTCGAGCAGAAGAGTGGGGGTCTAGAAGGGTCTTCTTTATGACTCCACAAACGTTGGAGAATGATTTATCTTCAGGGTATGCAGATCCCAAGTCGATTGGCTTACTAGTAGTAGACGAAGCCCATAGGGCTACAGGAAATTATTCCTACGTAAAAGTCGTCAGCTTTTTAAGGCGATTCACTAGTAGCTTTCGCATACTTGCCCTGACAGCAACCCCTGGATCCAAGGTTGAGTCGGTACAGGAAGTTATCGACAACCTCGCTATTTCACATGTGGAGATCCGCACTGAGGAATCCATGGATATCCGCCAATACGTTCACCAGAGAGATGAAGACATTGTTCTGTTAGATCCATCAGATGAGATGAATTTCATTAGAGACCTATTTTCGCAAGCCTTAAAGCCACTCGTGGAAAAGCTAAGTCAGCAGAACATTTACTATGGTCGCGACCCGATGAGTCTCACAGTGTACGGCCTCCTTCAAGCCAGGAAAGATTGGATGGCTCGTGCTGGGCAACATGTCAACCAAGGGGTAAAATTCATGACCATGGCAATCTTCGCTGTTTTAACAAGTCTAGCCCATGCTATCAAACTACTAAATTTCCACGGCATCAAGCCGTTTTATGACAGCTTAGTCCAATTTCGAGATGAAACCGAAGGGAAGGGTGAGAAGGGTTCCAAATATAAGAAGCAGATTGTCGAATCTCCCAGTTTTCAGGAAATGATGAGTAAAATCGCCAGCTGGTCGAAGAAGGATGATTTTGTCAGCCACCCAAAACTCACATATCTATCTGATACAGTCTTGAACCATTTTATGGATGCAGGTGAGGGTCGAGAAAGCGGTTCTACGAATACCAGAATCATAGTCTTCAGCGAGTATCGCGACAGTGCCGAGGAAATCGTACGGGTCCTTAATATTCACAAGCCACTTATCCGCGCCGCAGTATTCGTTGGACAAGCAGACTCGAAAAGATCAGGAGGCATGAAACAGTCTGAGCAGATCGAACGAATACAAAAATTCAAGAAGGGCGAATTCAATGTCCTTGTCGCCACTTCGATCGGTGAGGAAGGACTGGATATTGGTCAAGTAGATCTGATTGTATGCTACGATGCGTCCGCATCGCCGATTCGAATGCTTCAGAGAATGGGACGAACTGGAAGAAAGCGCGCGGGGCGTGTTGTTTTACTCCTGATGCGAGGGAAAGAGGAAGATAATTACGCAAAGTCTAAGGACGGTTACGAAAAAATGCAGCTCATGATATGCGATGGAAGCCGCTTCAACTTCCGTCATGACCTCTCAACAAGAATAGTCCCAAGAGATATCCGGCCCGAAGTTGACATGAGAGCTGTAGAGATTCCCGTGGAAAACACCCAGGCTGAAGGTCTCCCCGAGCCCAAGAAAGGAAAGCCACGAAAGAAGAAGCCACCCAAGAAGTTTCATATGCCCGATGGGGTCGAAACCGGCTTCACGAGTGTTGCTTCGCTACTAGGGAAGAAATCAGAACCCAAAAAGGCAAAAAAGGTCCCCGCACCCGTACCCGTACCCATACCAGTCGAAGAGGATGAGGTTGTCGATATACCGGCTCTTGACGGAATATTACTCGATAAACCCAAAATTGAAGAGTTACATAAGAAATACAAGAGTCTCTCATACCACCGAGACTCGATGGAAGATATTGAGCAAGTGGATATGGCTGCAAATCCTACCGCGCAAAGGACATTACGGAAGACTGTGCATGTGAAGCATGGGGCGTACACGAAGCGTTGCGTGAAGCTGCTTAAAACATTTGCGAGATCACAGTCTCCTTCAGACCGCTTCAATAAACCGTACGATGAAGCAGATGCGCGTCGTTACCGTCGACTACCACTTCCAAGCTACGGACCTGATTCAGATGAAAACGCCGCAGATGAACCAGCGTGTAAGAAGAGAAAAATAACATCCCCCATTCCAGAGGAAGATGTCGAAGTCGATAAGCTGCCAGCCGCCCCGTCTCGTCCACCGCGGCCGAAGAAAGCCTCTCTGCCCGCGAAGCAGAAGCCCCGCGCTCGAGCACGCTCCCCAGAAGAAGCTGATGACAGCGAAGACGTGGAAGAACTTCCACCGCCCCCCAAGAAACGTGCCTCCAAGTCAAAAACAAAAACTTCGGCACCACAACCACGCGGGCGGGCGAAAAAGAATACACGGACCCCAGCAGTCTACGACGAAAGTGCCGACGAAGGCGATGATTGCCGCCGCACCAGTGACCTAGATCTGACAGACGATTCAGACGATGGTGCCGACCTAGTTGGTTTCGTCGTCGCAGACGAGATGGCGACATCAAGCAACCCAGCCCCAACCTCATCTCTGCCACGGAGAAACCGACGCTCAACATCGCCCACATCACCATCTACGCCATCTACCATCGGTAGTCGTCCCGCAAAGCAGCAGAAGAAGTCGCTATACTATGAGCCTACGCACTTCGATACCACGCAGGACAGCGCCGACGACAATATCCCGTCCATGAGCCAACTCGTTAGGCAGAAACGTACTTCAAAAAAGCCCAGTGCTCGCAAGGATTCAGATAGTGACGAGGAGAGCGAGGACGATATCCCCGTTCGGAAACGCGCGCATGCTGCGAGAAAAGGGAACAATGGGAGAGCTGGGCCGTTTATGCTCGATGACGATGACGACGACGGTGATGATGATAATGAAATAGTCGAGGAAAGCGATGGGTATTAACGAATAAATAAATGGATCCCTCTTCGTATCCATGTTCTTCCTCTCTTCTTGTCTTACTCCATCCTATGTAGGAAAGACATGGCTCTTTCTCTAAACCACCTTACCTTACCTTACTTTATCTATCGATACTTAGATACATAACCTACAAGCTACCTCTCTAGGTAACTATCACGATCTTCCTTAATCAAAAAGTGACAATGTCTACCGCCTACTGAGTCTACATCGTACATACCTACCCAATGATATATATACATAACAGGAATATGTAAGTACCTAACATACGTATTGTTCGTCGCATTATATTGCAACCTGGTTCCAGACTGGACATCTATTTGCTACCTCGCTCCTACGTACAACGTGATAACTGAGCACAACACTACGAAAATTAACCCAAGCCAAGCCGTAACATGGTAGTATGGGTGCATCAGCGGCACTCTCCTCATGCAACGCGATTATTCAGAGCCCCTGCGACTACTATACTACCTATTTACTACCTATATTCTTAGACTGCCAATTGTGTTTTGACTTATACCCAACTCCCAACTCCTTTATTCATACCTATCTATCTATCTGTTATAGCGACCCAATGTTAGCATTTCGATCCCCCTTTCTTCTAGAACAGGCAGATTCAACAAGTCATTACAGCTTCAATTCAAGTCAATTCTCTGCTTTTATCCCTTCCCTTCCCTACCAGATATTCAAGATCTATGTTAAATGTGATTCCATTTCAATTAAAGCTACCCTAATCCTAAACCCGTCAATCCCAGCCATATCTGCAAGATCCCAAACATGAACGAAATAAACGTATGTCAACTCGTCCTAGTCTAACTACTACATCATCGTTTCCATGATTATGTCAACGGTATACTCACATCTACTCGACTAGTTAGCCGTCATATCGCTCAAAAATATCAACCCCAACTCCAACCAGGTATAAGAACAATGCTGATGGACGACTTCGGTATATCTCCGTCTCCCCAAGCATCAGAAACAACCAGCTTTAACAACACCTATAATATAGACCAGCGTCATACTCTACTCCGGCAGGTGTCAAACTGATGAGGTTGACGACCGCAAAAATGCACACGGCGTCGTGAACCGCGGGTCATCGATTCGTAACACGTCAATACGCCAATCCATCCGCTGTCGAATTTCAATGCAAAAGCGATAATATCAAATCCAGTTTCGGGTTCCGATTACGCTTTGCATCTCAAGCAGCCACGCTTCTGCCCACTGCAGTGCCCCAGCGAAATCTTCTCAGAGTTCCACTACCGCTTCTAATCACGTCTCTTCCACAATTACTTCCGTCGGCCACAGCGCTGGCATTAGTACCCAGACTGCCGAGGGTTTCCTGGCGGCCGACTTCTCTTCCGATAACATAACCTGCCCCGAAACCTACGACGGAGACAAGAACCACAACACCAGCACTTACAACCCACGTCAGAAGGGTTGGGCTAATGAGAGCATCCTCGCCCGAAGCTACACTAGTCTTCTTCTTCTTGGTTGCTCGTGGCGATTTTGTAGCGGGTGTGGGTGTGGCTGTTCGCTTAACCTTCTCGCCCGCGGATTCACGAGCTGTAGGCGCAGGTGGGTTTGTTCTAGAAGGCTGACCAGCTTGTGTTTGGGCCGGTGGTGGTGGGGCCATTAGTTCGCTCTCGGGAACGAAGCGCAGCTCCATAGGTTGGCTACTAGTGGTTGTAGGAGAACGTTCATCCATTTGCTTTTCGCCATCCTTGGTTCGCTTACTTGCCGCAGCTGCACAGCTAAGCAGGGTCGTCAAACTGGCACGCAGTGCCGCATCGTTATCAGCCTGATAGTGTGGCGACATAAAATTAGGGGCGCGACGGTCGATTCGAGTCTGGGATCGCTGGCCGAAGGACGGCCGGTGATGTTGAGGAATGGTCGAGCTCGCTGAGTGTCGGTGGGTCAGATGCGAAGGCGGGTGCGAGAATGCATTTGGTTGAGGTTGAAATGGCTCCGAAGGGCGTTGAGCCAATGCCGTCGCACGATCGTCGTCACTCGAGTCATCTTCAACAGGTTGAGCCGAGTGTCGCAGAGGAGTGGTCCCAGTAGGTCGAGGGGAAGTAATATTCTCGGCGGAGCTGGTTAAAACTCGGTCATCCTCGCTCTCGCTCTCTTCGTACTCCTCTTGACTGCTGTTTGCACCAGCCTGACCAGCTCGGGCGACAACAAAAGCGGGTTGTCGAGCGTCGGGTCGGGCATAAGACTGCGGATGTAAACGTCGTCGCCTTCGAGAGTTGTAAGAGGAGCCCACTTGTAGCCCCGTAGTGACGATCTCGTCTCCGATAGACGAGACGGAGGACGAGGAAGGGTGCGATGCCACCTCAACCCATGATTCTGATATAGTTAGGTTTGGTTTATGGCAGTGTAATAGGTTAGACTCACCATCATTTCGTTGGCGCTGTTGGTCGGATGCAGGCCGCATTGCACCAGAATTAGCGACCCGCTGAGAGTCGTTGCTACGTTGCCAGTTATGGCCCGACATTTTGTTTGGAAAATAAATGAAAATAAAACACGACGGCTTAGTAAAGATAATAACAAAAAGGTATAAAAAAAGACGCCCTGGATAGATGCTTGGATAAACCGAGATAGATGATGGGCAACGACGGTTAGGCAGTTGAATCTGAGAGTAGCAGTTCTATTGACAGGTACTAATGACAAGTACTAACAATGAGCGCTGTTTACCGACCGTCGGCGATTAGGCTTAGGAGGCTTGAGACTTGGTAGGTTTTGGGGGGATTTGGGGGCATCAAGTTGCCGTCTCCAACAAGAGGCCAGCAAAGGAATGCCCCGCGCTCACTGAAGCACTGAAGCACTGAAGCAGGGATCCGCTGATATGCGTTAGTTTATTCGTGCCAGGTATTAGGTATATTGTATTAATACATGCATAGAAAAGGTAGAGAGGTTTATTTTATGTACGTACGCTTCCAAGTTTTAAAATAAGCTCAGGATAATAATCGAGAGGATCGAATCAACTTGAAGATTCAATTTGAAAAGAGCCAAGGGATGAGGAATCTGGGTTCATAATAGGATGGTTGACGCGTGGGATGTTCCTAAAACGAATGATACTGGTTAGGTGATAGATACTGGTGGTAGGTGGTAGGTGGTAGGTACTAATGGTCGAGGTCACACGCAAAAAGGTAATGAGTCGGGAACAAGTGATAAAATGACAAAATGACTGAATGACTGAATGGTGGAATGATAAGAAGAGAAAGTGAGTTTCCCTAATAAGCCCGTCTTTGTTTCCAAAATGTTCCAATTCTCCTTATTGCCTTATTGCCTTAGACAAGAACAGAGACGGAAGTCCCCTGGATGGATTATGTCTTAAGTCCGCTATCGCAATCGGCCAGTTCCAGTTTATGGATATATGATTTTGGCGGGGTGCTAATAATAATACTTCATGAATGGTAAGAAAGGGACATTTATCGTTGCTGATGACGATTCCAATCCCAACCAACCGTTAGAGGGAAAGTAGAGTACAAAATCTATGTACCTACCAAATCAGCAACTATATCTACATCATATTTGGAATAGCGTCTTGGCAGATCTTGCCGATAACGTACAATATAAGATGGGTCCACTAATTTATTTGAACTATTCAAAGTGTTACATATTATCACTTGCACTTACCCAAACTCTTCCAAGTCTATCTAATTTATTTGTACAATAGAGATCATCCGATATAAACATCTGACTGCTCATATATCTTCATATATATATGTCTACCTAGGTACCTATTCATATACTCATTAGGTTGCAGATAGGTATATACATAGGTAAGTATAAATGTACTAAGCATTCCCGAGACAGAGTCAACACTAGGTTTGATACCATCGGACATCGGATCACGGGTCGGGCAGTGCAGATGTCACCAGCCCCCTGGAGGAACTGCAGGTGGTCATAGATGTGTCAGGCACATCCACACTACGCCTTATTTGGTACGCTAACCCCGTCTTGCCTATCATGCTTACACAGATTGGTATAGGTATCTAGACTTACATAGTTCGAACCTCCCTTTATCAAGTGACTTCGAGTCTCTCGTTAATACTATTAAACTTCTGATGTTAGACTTGTTTACCTCATAATCTACATACCTGACTAACAATATCCAAGGCACTCAAGTTACCTTCGTAGAACCAACAAGAAATAATCAAAACTCACAACTTGGTTCTGCCTAATGTCAAAACATATAATACAAGATAAATGACTGTTCCTAGTAAGACTATAACCATAGGACATACATACGAAAAGACAATATATTAGGTAGGCACCTAGGTTACTAATATCCAGTCACATCACTAAAACTAAATGTTAATCATTCCCATTAATGTCAGCTTTGATCTCACCTCTCGCATATATAGCTTATTTTCTAATAAGCTGACGAGGCTAATAACCCCAGCCTAGAAGTAACAATACACCAATAACAACACCTAGCCAAGAAGCTGCTAGATACCATATTTTATACTCTTCCATTCAGCTACTTGTAAATAAAGGGGAGGCATACCCTCCTTAAATAGATCCAATATCTAGCGGGTTACCATACGGGATAGCCCTGAATACCTAATAGGCTTCTTCACGGGCAAATACTCCCGGCAATAGCAGGGTGAATCTATAACGTCCAGTCATTAATTAAGCCTAGTAGCTACAGATACTTGTTTGTTATAATACGAAAAAGTGTAAACACTATGTCGTTGCATGAATTATGTGTTAAGAATTGAAGCAAGAAGTACGGAAATAACTTCATTACTTCGCAGGGAACTTTAAACCGAGCTATGAAAGCTTGAGCTATATACAAGATACCATTTGTTCTAGATGTCTCGTCTACAATCGTGACACTATGGCCCTAGCTAACTAACCAATGTAGTTACAGGTTTGTTATCAAGCCCCACGTCGGGCTACCCGGTCATCCTAATAGACGAATAATCAAGATCAAATCTACTAGTAGGGAACATATCTTGCAGAACACTTTGAGTGGAGCAAGTTAGAGCATTACTCGTTAAGTCATGCATGTAAACCTCATTCAAATACTTCTCTGCGCAGAAGTTGGCAATAGTCTAACCTAGACATATCGCTGAATAGAAGCGATGAGTTCCGCCATAGTGATAGTTGGCCTAAGCCGCACACACCACGAGGACCTTCCACTTAGTGCTATTAGAAATTTACCCTAACAACGTCGTCTCTCTCTTCCGCTCTCCACTACGCCCTTCTTCCCCTCACATCTCCCACCCAATCCAAAAGAAGTCGTAGTCGAAATCGTAGTTGTAGCCGCAAACGCCCATACCGAATCCTAACTAAGTCATTAATCGGTTGTAGCGAATTTTTAGGCTTCGCATTACCATCTGCACGTGCACCTGTAAGTAGACTAGGACTAGCAGGCAGAAATGAAAGCCGCAGAGGAAAGTCGCGGTGAGCAGATTATCCGCTCTCACGCACATCGCGCATTCGTCGTAGATAACCCAAGCGGGAGGATACTGTGATAGTGGGGAGTAGACCAGCACGGAGTCGCGCGTGAGGATCCAGTAAGCGTCTTTTCGTTTTTCCGACGATTTCGTCATCAGTATGAGCGCGTTCTAATGGGTTAGGCCTCTGTACTCGAGGGTTGGTGATAAAGAGTATTGTATTTTACTCTTAACGTACGTTAAGGTGTCAGTTCCGCTTTGCCATATTTAAGACCAGGACTTTGAGTGCCTTGATAATATCCTCGCTCGTAACGGAGTCGCGTAAGATATTATTTCCTTGTTCAGAGGCGAGGTAGTTTGTGACATACTTTGTTGCGGCATCGTAAAGCTCCTTAGTTACTATGAAAGTCTCGACTTCCTCCTCAGTTGGCCCAAGCCGCACACACCATGAGGCTGCCCTACAGGGCTATTATCGTCTCCTTTGTCTTCGGTATATCTACTCAGCTAGTAGGGTTTCTCCTTGTTGTCCTAGTAGCCCCAGTTATTATTTATGTTGGTATAGTTAAGGGTTTATACGTACATCTAGTGGGTTCCATTGGTAAGAAGTGTTTCTTATGTTTAAATCACCAATGCCACTTTTAGAATATGCAGTGTAGAGGAAAGTGTTCCGTTCGAAGTTGCTATTGTAATCGTATTGACTCTGGGTGTCCGAAGGAGGTTCTAAATTTCAAACACTTAGCCATCCCGGCCGTCTTTGTTGCCTTTGTGTCTGGATAAATTCACCAGGATGGTTACTGTTGTGGGGGAGTGAGAAGTGTTGCTATTTTCAAGGAAAGTATTTTGCGACAAGCGGGCTGGCAGTAGTGACGATCAAAACCAACACCAAGCAAACGGTGGCGACCACAGCTACCGCATCAGTAAAGAGTATCAAGGAGACGGCAAAGTCGACATCAAGTGGCGAATATTGGCCAAATGGGTCGACAACGCCATTTTCGGCGACCTCCATTCCAATGTCCAATATCCCCCCACATCGTTGGACTTTGGATCGCTATCAGAGTGTTCCGTATTGGAAGTATTGTTGATAATAGCTATAGTTCTATTAATAATAGCTTTGAATATGGTCTGCACGGATTAGGGGTATATATTGTTCGTCGTAGAAGGCAATGGATAACGGTTTCCTTAACGCCTAATGAGTAGGTGATAGTATGACAACTATCCAAGCCCAGGACCCAGTAAGGTTGGACGAGGAGAGTTACACCTTGGCTGGGCATCAAGAATCGGGAATCCTGTGAAGCATCAATCCGGAACTAATGTGCGGATGATATTCTTCAACTGGGCCTCAGATTCTGCGTTGAACAGCCACAGATCTTCCCAAAGACACCCGTCTAGGTGAGGATTAGGTAGGCATGATAGTGAAGTTAAATATAAGTGTTTGTTTCGAGTACCGTGTTGTGAACAATAGGTATGTAGTCCAAAGGAGTTTGTATGCTGACTCTCAAGACTAAAGCTGTAGAATTACTAAGTAGACTATTAAGTGTTGAAGAAAGTAAACTTCTTAATATAGGTGAAGTTGGGATTGAAATATGTTTGTAGGATGGAGAGTTGAAAGTTGGAAAGGCAGATGCGAAACTGTCTAAGGTTAAAAAAATTAGAATGGACCGGGACTTGGAAGGAACAAAGGGTAGCAACAGTCAGAGAATCAATTTGAACAGTTGCATATGAGCCTGTTGTATCACCTTAGGGTAGGAACCTAAGGAAAGAGCTATAAGTATGTTTGGATACGAAGGTGCGAGTTTAGAAATACGCGTAGCACGGCAACTGCGATAGCCCATGGTGAGGCATTTGAAAAGTCCAAGGGCCTACATATATGTACCTGTTAATAATAATATCAACTTAGGTATGTAGCCTCTGTATAAATAGTGCGTGTCTATCGGCATAGCTTTTCTATAACGAACCCTCATAGTTCACTGCCTCCACCCAACCAATAATTGCGATTTGGTATATAGGTACCTAGGTAGATATGTAGCTGTGTATTATTGGCATTATAAACAATCACTTAATAGTTCTTAACATCTAAAATATTAACAACAACTTGTTCCATAAATAAATAGTCTACAACAAAGGGTATATATAAGGATACATATAGGTTCGTAAACACTTCCAACAAGGTACCTTATCAATACTCTTCGCTCTTATCAGTGTTTAGAACAAGAGACTGGTTGTGACCTTTAAAGTCCCTTTAAATCTCAATACATAATAAACAGGGCTATGGCGCCCAATAATACTGGTGTGGATAGGGGATCATGAATAACTAAGGGGTTATATCTTAGAGCCATAGGTCGAGGTAACATGGAAGCTTTGCGACCTAAGGCCTTATGGGATTGGCACAAGAGTAGCTGGTTAATGACTACGGTTTTGAATAGAGAAAACTCTTAATTGAACTAGCTATTACAAAGTATTGAGCACATTTCACATATACTGAATTAAAGACTACACTTTTCATGAATTGGTATAATTATTTCACTTCTAACCTAAGGAAGTTGTAGGGGTAGTGACTATTAAGCTTGTGGGGTGTACAAGGCAGAGTATACTCACCGAGATCCGACTGACTAGAATGCCAGAATAATCGTAAAGAAACCGTAAGTCATTCGCATTTGCAAGAGAAGAACTTTTTTGATGCCCTCGAACGCCGTCATAAAGCCCTCGTAGTCTAGAAGCTTGATCCGCCTCCAGATGCTGGGAACGCGTCCCGAGCATAGGGAGGTTCGTACCAACTTCGTTGACTGAAAAGCCCTCAGAGCCCACAGAAGGAAAAGCCGACTGGATAAAAAACTGATATACGTAGACGCATATAGCGCCAGCACAGATGACTGCACTCAGTTTGAAGCCCTCGAACCCTCAAGCCCTCAGAATCCACATGGAGGTTACCCTCCGATCAAGCCGACAGGTCAAATCACAGCCTCTTATAGAAGCCTAGCCCTCAAAGCCCACAACTCCAGAGGAGTTTATAGTTTCGGAGAAGCCGACGAACCCACAAAGCCAACCGTCATGTGTGTCAAAGAACCCTCAGAATAGAGTCTAGTGCGGCTATGCCACTTTAAAAAGTGGTCTTCTTGCCTTGGAACGACGCGCCACCTCGAGAACCAAAACCACCTCGTCCACCACCGCCACGACCCCCGAAGCCGCCGCCACCACCACCGCGGCCGCCGAAACCACCGCGTCCACGGCCACCTCCGCGACCACCACCGCCACGACCTCCAAAGCCACCGCCACCACGGCCGCCCGAGTTACCATCACGGGGGGGTCGCTGGCTGGCGAAGTCAAGACGGACAGCGCGGGAGTTTCGGCCCTCACCGATGTAAGCGCCATTCTTGGCATCAAATACGGTCTTGGCATCTTCAACGGACTGGAAGGATACGTAACCGAAACCCTTACGGTTGCCGGAGTCACTACTCTAATATTAGTATCAAGGCACGGAGATGAGAAATTAATAGAGATACGTACGGGTCGGTGGGAAGTCGAACACTCTTGACTTCGCTGACCTCGCCGAAGAATGCAGTAACCATCTCCTCATCAACATCCCATGGGAGGTTACCAACAAATAAGGTATCGCTCTCCGGGCTCGCGACATCGCCGTGTTGGCGGGCACGGTCGGCGGCACGGGCGTTGGGGGTAGCATCCTCAGCGGGACGGGGCTTAGAAGGGTCCAGTCTCATGGGACGGTTGTCTAGTTCAACGCCGTTCATCTTGTCGAAAGCAGCCTGAGCAGCCTCAGGGTTTGCAAAGTCGACGTATCCGAAGCCACGAGAGCGTTGCATGGCCTTGTCAGTGACGACGCGGGCGTTTGTAAGGTCGGCGCAATCCTTGAATGCGTCGTATAGCTTCTCGTCATCAACAGCCCAACCGAGGTTACCGACGAAGAGAGTAGAGCTCTTCTCCTCAGACTCCTCGTCTGTCTTGGTCTTCTTGAAGGGTGTAGAAGCCTCATCTTCGGCCTTGCGCTTCTTCGGCTGCTCAGGCTTCTTTTCAGCCTCGGAATCAGCTTCGCTGGAGTCATCAGAAGCTTCCTCTGCATCAGAAGAGTCGGAAGAATCAGAGTCGTCAGAGTCTTTGGCCGATGACTTGAATTCACGTTAGCTAGGCACAATAGAATATGTTTCGAGAATTAGCATACCTCTTTCTTGGCCTTAGCCTTGTCTGCAGTAGGCTTAGCGTCGGCAGCATCATCACTGTCGTCGCTGTCGTCGGAATCGGATGAGTCGTCTGACTCGGACTTGGCGGCCTTAGCTTTGGCCTTGCCGTTGGTCTTGCCATTGGCAACGGGCTTAGCAGCCTTGCCGTTAGCCTTTGCGGCGGGCTTCTCCTCCTCGGACTCAGAAGCAGAGTCGTCAGAGTCTTCATCCGAAGAGCCGGAAGCATCATCAGATGCAGAGTCGTTGGAGTCAGAGTCAGACTCAGAATCCTCGGACTCGGACTCGACCTTCTTCTTCTTAAGATCCTTGCCCTTCACAGCCTTTGAGGCGACATCCTTGGCAATCTGCTTGGACTTAGCCTTGGGGCTGTCGGTGGCTTTGGTAACGCCGGCATTCTTGACAGCAGTGAGGGGCTTGGAAGCCTTCGCGGCTTTGCCGTTTGCTTGTTTGACCTTGCCCATTGTTAAATCTAAGTGAAGAGATTGTGGTATTGTTTAAGATAATCGTCTTCGACGTGTGAAATGTTGGAGTTGAGGAAAGAAAGGATTGTTGGAAGAAATGAATTGAGAGCTGTATTTTATATATTATATCTTGTAGAAGAAGGCGTGGTTGGTTAGCTCTCTAAAAAATTTCGAGGGACCAGAGGAAAATTTCATTCTGCCGGTGGGGCATATGCGGGCGGTAAGCCCTAGCTTGCGTGATAGCTTGATTTGAATTTTGTGATAGCACGGCCCAACAAACCACATTTGTTCATGCTAGTTCACTTAGTTCACGGAAGTGACGCTCCTCTTGTTAATCCCCACTTTGTACCTAGATACATAGGTACTTAGGTATCTGGTACGTACAGTTTTTATCAACAAATCACGTGATTATACTATGTAACATGTTGGAATTGCTTGATTGCTGACTGGGTGGAAGCTCTATTACGAAATAACGGAGACTGGAGATTCAACCCGCACTCGACAGTGCTGAACTACCGCAACTTAGAACTGTCTTCTTAACACCCAATCAATCGCGGATTGAATTGTCTGAGACTCTTCATAACCAAGATGCCGACTCCCGAATCCGAAGCTTTTTTGGCGAAGAAGCCGACCGTCCCTCCTACCTTCGATGGTGTTGACTACGACGACAACAAGCGATTGAAGCAGGCGCAAGATGCCATAATCCGAGAGCAATGGGTTCAGGTTATGATGGGACGACTTGTCCGAGAGGAACTGGGTAAATGCTATTACCGAGAGGGTGTTAACCACCTGGAGAAATGCGGTGCTCTACGAGGTTAGTTAAACCCGTCGTCATTCTAAGCGACTCGAGAGGTTTTGGACAGGTATTCCGACATATCAGTATGAAATACCAAGGATATTTAATTTGAAAAGAGAGCACCGGATTTGCTTATAGCTATGAGACTAATAAGACAATAGAGAAATACCTCCAGATGCTCAAGGACCACCGGGTACGAGGTTACCTATTCGAACAACAGAACTACATCTCGAAAACTTCGTAGACGGAGAAAAAGAAAGGCAAAATGAGTTCTACGGCTATCAATGGTATAAATTACATTGTGAAGATGCATGGGGTACGAGGACTGCTTTGGACATAGCTCTTTACATGAGGGTGTATCCGGTGCGATGCGGACACTTGTCCGTCCGCGGTAACCCGTGTATTGTACATATTCAGCAGCAATCTCAATGTGAAAACGACATAAATCCCGCCTAATGATTTAAAAAGCAAATAATTTGGTTATACTCGTACCTAAGATATCTACCTTAGGTACCTAACATAAAGTAATTAGCTCATACCTGTAAAGAGGCTGGTACCTAGGTAGGTAGGTAGGTAAACTACATACTTAACATAAGGCTCTTATCTCTATCATAACCGGGTCCGTAGCCGCCCGCTCCAATTGCCAATTACCATCGGCGAAAACTAACCTAAAGCTCCGACCCTTACAAAATTTCTGGAGCTTCGATAATTCGTATTCTAAAATCCATACCTTATCCCACCAGTACCTGCGCAATCCCACGCAAGTAGCAGCCAACGGAATTCGCCATGATCTGCCAGCGGTGCCTTCAGCGAGCCTCCGCGCTTAGCTCGCGTATACCTCTCAGATCCCCGGCCCCGTTCCTACGGCCGTTCTCTAGCACGATTGCGCGCCGGACGTCTTCTCCCGCTCCCGAATCATCATCGCCGTCTACGAGCGAATCGCCTGCGTTCAGCACGCCGCTAGCCGACGTTGCTACCGAGGAAAAGCCTGCGCTATCGGCGTGTCCGGAGGGAACCGTACTGACAGGCCTTAATTTCTTCAAAAACCGGACAGATCCCGTTGCGCTGGCCGACGATGCGTATCCGGTGTGGTTGTGGAAATGTCTAGAGGTGCAAAAGAAGGCGGACGAGGAGGCTGACGACGATGCCGGTGATGAATTCTGTAAGCCCCCTCTCTTCTTTTTCTCTCCCTCCTTTTTTTCGTTGCCCTTGCTTCCCTTGCCCTACCCTAGTCTATACACACCCTATATATTCAAGCACCCAAACTCCTGGACACCCCCACTAACCCTCCCCCTCTAGCAAAATCCAAGAAACAGCGACGTCTAGCCGCCAAGCGACAACGATCCATGGAAGCCCGTCTTCTAGCCGAAGGCAACCTCGAAGCCCTAGCGCCCAAGATCCCACTACAGCACCAGAGTATCAACTTGCCCGCCAACGAAGAGGGCACGACAGAGGGCGCCGTCGCGGCGCAGCAGGCGAGAGAGGATCTACGCAAGGCTATGCGCAAGGAGCGGAGGGCCAAGATCAAGGAGACCAATTACCTTAAGAGCATGTAATCTATGGCTTATGGCGTGGTCTGGACTGTAACCCACGAACTCTACTTCGGAGTGCCCTTATGATAAAAATGGGCGAGAAGGGGGGGAAACGACAGACCAGCGAGTTCACGCGGATAGCGGAGCTAGACGCTGCGTCGCTTTTCTACCCGAGATGTATGTACTATACACCATTAAACCTGTATACAAATCAAATATACCAAAGGACAGATACTACCCACTATAACAGACAGTTTAACGTCATGTATATCAAATCCTCGGTGTCACGAGTACGGGACAATAAGTAAAAGAATATTTAACTGATTAATTGAGTATTCAAGCTACCTTGCCTATGTAGCACTAAGGGGTATCGTTCCGAGCCATGTTCTAGTCTTACAATGCCATTTTCCTTTTCATCAAGTAGACGTCAACGCCTGAGAAAGAACCAAGAAAAATTAGGATTCCATCTTCCCCTATTTTCCAACACACGCATTCTATATTATGCGTTCTAGCATTCAATCTTCATCTGTTAAGCCCAGAGCGGCTTTCTTGACAGCAATCTCCTTTTCAAGGTTGGCCTTTGTGAGAAGGACACGCTTCTTCAAGATTGGCGCTGTGACTTCAGAGAGTTGGCGTAGGGTCTCGTCGAGCGACTTCTTTAGATGCTCAATCTCGTCAAGCTTTTCCTTGCGTTCTCGCTCTGCCACTAGCTGCTCCTCGTCGACATCGTCGTCGTCACCATCCTCCATATCTTCATCGTCGTCATCGTCATCTTCATCTTCTTCTGATATAATCTCTTGCATGGCTGCGGGAGTATTCGCTTCGACTGTCATAGGAGTTTGTGCTTCTAGTTGCATGGCTGGCGTGGCCGCTGTAGGCTCTTCATGATGCATCCCGCTTTCTGCGAGCTCGGCTTCCATGGCTGCCAACATCTCATCGTCTTCAGCATCGTCTTCCATGTCGTCCTGAACACCTGCATGATCTCCAAAATAGTCCTCCTCAGCTTCACCTTCAGCATCTTCTTCGTCGTCGGAATCTCCGGAGTCGTCGTCCTCATTTTGGATGATTTCAGTATGGGATTCTAATGCGCTCGCGTCGTCCTCGAGTAGTTTGGCTACTTGAGTAGCGGTACTCTGCCACTGCTTTTCTGATACAGTTTTTCTGAATCGTCGATGGACAGCATCGTGCATGGGAGGAGTAAGACCATGAGGCCACTTATAGTCGTTCTTAGCAGCCATAGGTGGAAGCGGGATCGTCTTGGCTTCAGTTTCGCTCTTAACAGTTGCAAAACATAAAAGCATCTCGACAATATCAGAGTTCTTCATCATGTTTTTGCGATCCCAAGACTTCATCGCCTCCGTAATGGTCGGTAGTTGGACAAGAACTGCCGCGTAATGGGTTCCGTCGATGGTGACCATAGCTCGTCGCTGCTTAGCATCGAGAAATTGAACACCAAAGTCCGCGCCTCCATTTTGCTTGGGCAATCCGATAGTGCCTTCAGCCAACGCCTTTTTCAAGTACTCTGTCGCGGCTCCTGGCAGGACGCGAAGAATAAATGTAGTTTCTCGGACAGGATCAACCTCACGGTCGCTAGCTTCAGAGTCGTAAGCATCTCCAGGATGGTGTTGAACAGGTTCACCTCTAGGCTTGAACTTGATGGTGCTAATAGGCGTCGATACCACATTTGATGCGCGATCTGGCTTTGATATGGTTGGTCTAATCTTAATCGTTTTGCTAGGCCGGTTCGATTCATGCCGAGTGACGGATAGTGGTCGATCTTCATCGCTATCATAGTGGCGCTTCTTCGACTCAACAAGCTTCTGCGTTGGCTTGGACGTCCTACCGGCTTTGGATTTGGTTAAGGTTGGTGTTTGGGCGACGGGTGTAGCGGCTGGTGTAGTTGGTTGACTACTGATCTTGATCTTGATTTTCCGACTCTCTCCAGATGGTGTAGGGGTGCCAACATCGCCGCTGAATGAAGGTTGTCGCGATGCTGTATTGAGCTTGAGGATAGGTCTCGGGTTTTCAGGATTCGATGGAGGTGGCATCTGTTGCGACGTGTCAAGCTTGAGGGTTGGCTTTACGTTGATAGACGACATGATGAAGAGAAGAGTGTACTTGAATGGGCGAAAGTAATAACTATGAGGTAGTTAGACCCTCAGATGATGAGATTTAACCCTCTATGATATGGACCAAGCCAGCATCTATAGAAGGTAGCCGGTAGATGCTTTGTTAGGTAATGAAGAGATGACATTGAATCGGGACATGCGCCGCGGACATACAGATGGTGGGGCCGTGGGTTCAAAGTACGTAGGTACCCAGGTAGATACCGCGTAGGTCCATTAGGTACCTAATGGACCTACTGGAAACAAACGAAGGTAAAGTTAGTGCCTGCCTCAGGTGCCTAGCTCTTATGTACATATGTACCTACATATACGTGTGGGTCAAAGTGGAGCTTCTTTAGCTTTGCTTTCCAACCTTTAACTCTCCCAACTTTCTAAAGAATGTGCAACTTGTAATAGCACGGATGCTGGCTGATATGGCGCACCTGCAACGGGTTGGCAACTACTGCTAAGACTTGCTGATCAGATGGATAATCAGACAGTATCGTTCGAATACGGCTAGTAAAATATTTACTCGATATATTCTCTCGGTTTTCCTCGAACTAGCATATATTCAATTTCCAAGCTCTATGCTTCAAGCTCTACGTTGCAAGCTCCAAAGCTCGACTATACGAATCGGCGAAAACCTCAATCCCAACCTGGCCACTCTGTAGCTACTTTGAGATCAAGTACTAGTACTACATTATTGGCCAGTCATACTGAGCCAGGTCAACCTACCATTGACAAATCAATACAAGTTAATGTACGAAACGAAGTCCACGATTGCCGATTTGAAAGAAAGCTTACATCCTATAAAGATCTTCGATACGACCTCCTCAATCCTTGTCCTAGTGTTCCAAGCGTCCGCTCCTTACGATCAGATAATACTAGGCGGGGCGACGAAATTCGTCCCATCCAACACTCTTGACGGTCGTGCCTCGCAATATCAGATAATAGGAGATATTCACAATGTCATCATACGCTCAGCAAGTCCACCGCGCGCCCACCGCCTCTGAGATCCACCACGCTCTGCTACGTCCAGCTATCCTACAGATCCTCCGCGCGCAGGGCTACTACTCATCGACACCCAGCACGGTTGACGCGCTAACCGAGCTCGCTGCAAACTACCTTACCGCCATTTCGCGACGCACCGCGCAGCACGCGGCACTTAACAACGAGGTGGGCGCGCCAGGCCTCCCCGACGTAGTCGATGTGCGCCTCGCCCTCGAAGACTGCGGCGCTCTGTGGCCAGAACGCGACTTCACGGCTCAAGAAGTGAGCGGGGAGGAAGACATGAGAGGGATTGACGAATTCATACGCTGGGCCAAGGGGAGTAAGAACCGGAGGATTCGCATGGTTGCGGCTCTGGACAAACCAGCTGCCGGCGATGTTGGTGTAGAAGGAGTAGAGGAACAGCGCGAGACGGACTACTTGAGTGGTTTGTTCTGTACAGACCCCATATATACCGTGCTTTATGTTAACAAATACAAACCACAGCGCTTAAGCGAAAACACAACAAGACGGATCAAGACTCTAAGTACGCGGGTACGATCTTGGGCCGAGGCATCGTCGAAGGAGAAGTCGTCCCAGAAGGTGGAAGTGAGAGCAGCATACACGCCTGGGCACGTAAGATGCACGAGACGTCTCAACGCCCCCCTGAACCCGAAACCGTCGACATCGAGTCAAGGCCGCCTAGCTCGGGCCTGAGCTCACTTGCCGACGAGGACGTAGCTATGATAGATATGGAATTCTGAGCTACCCTGATTGCTACCGATTCAGATAAAATTCTAAACCCCGAGAGGTACTAAGGGATATCAGCTCTAGTCTGAATACGATTCTCGTCTTATTGTTTCTATAACACACCGAGCTATATCTTAGCCCCAAGACACGATACGAAGGTTTATCTATACATAGGTACCTTACGCATGTGTTCTGCATGACTTACGGCGTTGGCATCAGCGGGTTTGAGGGACCACGGTTTGGCGTTGCTATTGGTATATGAAGCATACTCTGCTTGGGTGTGCGTTTTGCACAGTGGAATACCCCCCTAATCCAATTTTAGTCTAAAACTATCTACTTCCCCGTCTATTGTGACTACCTCCCCTAACGAAGGAGGTAACATTGGCAGTGATGTAGTTTCTATATCACTCTTACCCTTAACGTTGAGATGGCCGAAGAAGGAATTGGCGCCCTTGTGCTTTGAGCGTTGAGTTTATCGAGATAGACTAAGCCGCTTGGCGGTCGAGGAATGCGATGATATTAGGTACTTAAAATACCTAAGTTAGAGAGGTACATATAGATATCTAGTCGTGTATCTTGTAATACCTCGCTTCAAGACCATTATCAAGGTCTTATTCAAATCTAATGTCTCGTAATAGAAAGAGCCGCGGAAGGCTGGTCAGCTGGTTTAGGAGAAAGGTATAAATCCGAAAGAGCTTAACATATGTATATAGAACATTAGAACTATACGTTTTGAAAGTACGCATCTTGTATATTAGAAATGATATTGTTATCAGCTACTAATGAGGTCTCTCGTAAACGCGGTCGTAGATATATTACCGTCTTACCTGTAGCTCCAAATAGTAAGGGTTATTGATATACCTGTACGTACTTAGTGTACCTTAGAATGAAAATGAAAACCTACCATATAATCCTCTTACACAGCAGAATTTAAGAACAGTAAATTGCCAATCGGTATGGTGGTCTTCAGTTTAGAGACAACTTGAATTATTCATATTTTATCGTTACATCTTTTTTACTCTCTTTTAACTCTTATATCACGATTTTTTATCCTAGTATCAGGCTAAGCCATGCATCACACTACGAAGGGTCAAATATACAACTCTAGATCCTGCGGGATGCACAGGATGTCAAACCAGGCATAACGGACAGGAAGCCGAGCCCGGCAGAGTATATGTGGCAGCGAGAGCACGTCAAACAGACTATTTTGTGGAATTGGCCATTTACTTGTTCGAATATGGCGAGTACATGGCTGCTTATATGTAGGTATCGAAAATGTGTAGGGTATAAGTCTACCTTTTATGCAGAAACAAAGCCACTTAGAACGACTAATAGTACCTGGGTAGTGGCAGCAATGACAAATAAGATAAAGAAGACGAAGAAGACAAAGAAAAGAAGATAAAACTAGGCGCAATTGATAGAAATAAGAAAATATAGTTACCCACCCGTACACAACCATCTCATTGCTATGAAGGCTATCACATTCGGCGATACCATACTATACGAACCGCGCTATATCTTACCGAAGTAGGTATTATATACGTGACAGACTTTTGAAATGAAGCTTAAATGAACCTCCATATACTCCCTATAATCTATCCCGTCGCTAAGGTGAGCGATACAAGACACCCGTGAGCGCTCTTTGCCGTCAGAGCCACCTGCGCCTGATAAGGTCTCTCGTCTTCACTCTTGATTCCGCTAAACTCTTGCAATATCCGCGATACTATATACGAGGCCTCCATAGTCGCCTTTTGCTGAGCCAAGCACTGTCGCGGTCCAGCTCCAAATGGCACGAATGTAAACGGGGGAGGGCTATACTCGTTTTCCCAGCGCGAGGGACAAAACTCACTGGCATTGGGACCCCAGACTTTCGGATCGCGGTGCAGCGTAGCGAAGCAGGTGTCGAATAGAGTGCCGGCTGGCGCGAACACTGGAGCTGTGCCGTCTAAGCCTCCTCCGGTAGGTAAAATTGTGTCTTTTAAAGCAACGCGGTTCATCTGCGGAAATACGGGGTACAGACGAAGAGCTAGTCATCACGTTAGCGATATCTTCCAATATAGAGCCAAATATTATGTTAGCAGGCATACTCTCAGTGATGACATGTTGTAGGGACCTGATCCGCGGTAACTGGTCGAAATCTAGCGGCTTGTCACCTACGGTCAGAATTTCAGCTCGCACTTGGGCAGCTATAATAGGGTTGCTGGCCAAGTTACGGATAACGTGGCTAATTAAAGAAGCGGTTGTTTCGGTTGCTGCCATCATGGCCTGCACTATTTGGTTCCGCAGAACAGTCCTATCAGCAGTCGCTTGTGCCATGTTGAAAAGCAGAGTGCGTCGCTTTGTATTGTCTTGGCTATGTTCGACCGAGTTGATTTTGCTACTGTACTCGATAGCTCTATCGACATATATATCGGCGAATTTATGAACCTTGTCGCATGCCTCGAGCCAGGAACCCTTTGGCATCAAGAAGCTCAGAGGTCCCAGGGCGATGCGTATTCCACAGCCATTGAAGCCCGCCTGGAATGCATCCAAAAAGCCTTTTGCATGCGATGGGGGCGTGCCCGAAAGCATTCCGATAGGCTCCCCGAACAGAAAAAGCGTATTTAAGTCGAGATACTAGTACGCATACGTTAATACACCAGAAGCGTGGGCAGAGATTCACAAGACAAACCAGTCTTAAGAGATATGGTTGTAAATCAAACTTGGAGCCGTCCTTTGGGATCTGTTCTAGTAGGATCTGGAGGTGCTCTTCAAGGGGACCAAAATTAGAAATATTGGACCTGTGGAAGCCGGGTTTGAGTAGGCCGTGGGAAATCTTCCAGTCAGAGCCGTCAGTCGTGATAAATCCCATGCCGCAGAAAGGGCTCATACTGTGTAGTCGCAGAGGCTGAACGCCCCAGTCTGCAGCATTTTTAGAGAAGACTGCCCGTAGGTTTTCTGGGTGGATAGAGGATATGCCATGCGAACCGAAGTTCAGGCTTTCAAATGTATGACCATATGTATCGTATCGCCGTTGGTGCTCGACCAGGAATTGGTTCTTGGAGATAGCATCTCCGGTTCGCAGAAATATATCCAGACCGAATAAGGGGTCCTTATGCTTGTAGCGAGCTGCGGGTTGGCATCCATGCTGTTGGGCCGTGAGTCGCAGCGTGTAGGTTAGATACAGGCGATAGGCAACAAAAGCGGCGATAGAAGAAGCCAGCAGTGCTAGCAGTGTCACGGCAGTCATGACGATTTTAATGTAAGAGGTAGTTAAGAGTATAGCAAGTATGGTTAGGGAGAAAAAGATATGAATAATTCTCACATCCTTTATACGTAACCTTCTAACTAATATTCATTGTTTTGGCTATGAAGTAACCGTTACCAGCTTCGACGAAGACATAAAAATCATTTATTCCGATTATTGAGGGAACCGTTTAGGAAGTGTAAGCGTTCTGAAAGTAATAGTCATGATGCGTGTCTGGATTTATAGTTTTATCCTATTGTTAAGTCTACGGTTCTATTATTGAGCTGGATTTGAAGTTTGCTTGACTCCTTGAGGCTTAGTAAGCATTTGGTCCATGTGGTATACAATTACATGCTGTTTCGGCGACATTTTGAATATGGCCTACCAGGCAGAACGGAGTCAAAATAATTAGCTGTACTCAATTAAGCATCTATTGTTTAACAAGATGTGACATATTAACTTGTCAGCATGTTTAAAAACCCCCTGTAACGGCAAGGAGGTATGTTTGATGGATTTTTGGTATCATACACACGTATTGCTCTTTATATCCCCAAAATTCAACCCAAGTTCGAGCGAGTGAAATCCATACGCCAGCCGCTTATCCTGAAGACGAACCAATATATTCGTCCGAAATGAAATAGTCCCTTCCTCCTTTGGCCCGCATGGGCATGGAACTGGTAGTAAGATTTTTAGTTGCCCAAAACTAAGAGCCAATCGAGTGGGCTCTGGCACCAAATCCAACGTCTGGTATATTATGATACTTATACGCCAACATCTTGCTGCGTATCCAATTCCCTTCTTCTACATCACGATACATTTTTTATCTTTACCCTGGCCTCTCGGGATGGCAGTTGCCCAAGTCACATCCATCCAGCCATCAGTATCATCCTTTTTCTTATTCTTCCTTCGTCCCGTCCATCCTCGGAGCTTAGCATCCTGTATATTTTTTAATGCTCCCCTCCTAGCCCGACTTTGTCGGCGATTTAAACTAGTATGATGGCGTAGTGACGTTGAGGTAAGCTGCGAAGAAGGAGGTGGCGGTGGAAGTAGGTGCGGTTCTCCATTGGCTACGCCGGAGATTGTTTCTAGACGCTCGACAGTGGGGCGCAGTAAATGTGCTCCTGATATTGGTCGGGGATGTCGAGGAACTGGCGCATGCAAGACTAATCCCGCCTGTTGTCTACTCACATCTAGCTGGCCGGGATCATCAAATGCACCAGTTACACCCGTGGGCGTGCTAATTATAAGCGGCTGGGCCGGCTCCGATGCTGGCTGTATTGTAGGAACACTACCTCGTCGAAGTTCCCGAAATTGGCTACCTCGACTACCTACAGGTACGCGCGGTAGGTGGAAACCACTTGACATAGGACGGGACACATCAGAACTATTCTGCCTACTATGCAAACGTGTCGTTCGTTCTGAGTATGGCGTTGGAGGTAGAGCCGCAGCTATAATATCCTCGTTGGTCCGATCCGTTGCTGGAGCAGAGCGGGGATATCCGGTAAAAGAAGCCGATGAAGCTGTATCGGGTCGTGGTGGGGCCCTTGGCCAAGTATGAGTATTTGAAAGCTTGCCCGTGACTGGGCTGTTACTAGCCTGCTCGTTATTGCATCCCGGGACGTTCGTCATAGATGACGGGGTAGTGGGGTCGAGAGGATGAGGAATTACCGACCCTGGACGGGAGCTTCCTACGATTTGATGCGATCCAGACGAGGCAGGTGTGCATTCAGTAGCTGAAGACTGCGCTACCGCTGACATTTGGTATGGACTACGCCGCTCCGGTGTTAAATTTACCGTAGCTTGACCTTCAGATACGTGAGAGCTTGTAGCCCTGGAAGGAGATCCAACGGGAGATACATCGTAAATATCGTCATATTCATCATCCGCTTGGAGTCGTCGTTCTTGCGTGAAAGAATGAGCTGACACAGGTCTGTAAGAATGAACCCCAGCAGGCCCAGCAGGTCCAGCAGGTCCAGCAGGTCCAGCAGATCGACTGGCATTTATAGAGGCATCTGCGACCTTTTGCTGCGAAGCGTGAGGATGCCAAGACATGTGGGATGACCTGTCCCGTAGAGGAGTTGTCTGTAGGCGAGGTAACTCCGGACGGCTGAAATTAGGTGTCATGGTCATTCGCGGTGGTAAGTTAGATGAAGCGGACGGGATCGGCGGAATCGGCGGGATAGAAGATGGAAGTGGAGGAACAGGGGGGATAGAGTCTCTCCTGCTACCAGGTAGGATTCCAACACCGGGAATGGCGGAGTGGTGTATGGAGTGACGCATAAAATCGGGTAAATCACCAGGGTCCTCCTTAGTATATGGTGGTGGTGGAGGTACCCAGTTATCAGCATCACTTTCATGAGGATGCTCAGCCCTTCCGTCAGCTCGTCGATACTCAACTCGACCAGCCACAGGCTGCGGGTTCCGTCGACGATTCACTGCTGCCGCAGTTGCAGCGCGGCGTAGCGTTGTTCCGGATCGTGGATTGGCATGAGCATAAGGAGCATCGAGTGCTTCTTGGGCCTCCTCAACAGAGACATCTTCTGTTTCCTCAATCGCAGCTGCGTGGGGATTAGTACGTGCTGTGGCCATAGGTCGTGGTACTAGCGGATCCTCCGAATCATCATTATGAGCAGTCGACGGACGTAATAATACATCAACTTGACGAGACGTAGTCGTTGCCATAGTCATCACACTGGCCCGGTTCCCTCTCCGCTGCGCCACGGTTCTCCGCCTAACAATAGCTACTTCTGTATCGATGTCGCGATGCTCCTCTTCTAGTACTTCCGGTTCGTTTGCGCCAACCTCAATTGTAATTTCCTTTTCTTCGCCATCCACCAAACTGTAGTCGAAATCAAGGATTGTAATTCTACCTCCATCCACGAAATCGATGCCGTCTTCCTCAGTTACAAGTTTAGGGGGCATCACACCTCGAGCAGCAATAATCAATCGTTCTTGTGAAGACATATTGCCAAACCCGGATACCCATTTCATATGGCTAACACCACATAATTGTGTAATTTTGCGCCCGCACACGAATGTGTTGCGATACTTGTCGCATAAAATCTGCCACTGCGGAACTCGGCCACCGTTGACTTCTTGTACTCGAGTAGATGAGCGTGCCGAAACTCCGCTATTCATACGGTTTAATGATGGGGGTCCATTTGGATCGGATGCCGCATGGTTGGCTTCCGGAACTGCTTCTAGGTCTTCGGGCACACCGTACAACCAAACATCTTTCCCTTCGAATCCAGCCGAGACGAGGTCTCCTTGGTAATTGGCAGCGGGTAGGGTACATGGCAACAAGGGTCCAGGCGAAGGAGTATTTGGGACCGGCCCTGTAAAATAAGTTGTTCCATTGCGAAGGTCATCAATCCGCACGGCGCGAAAAGTCTCAAAACTTCTGTCATAAGCAAACGCCCAAGTTGCCTCCATAGAACCTGATTCTTGCAGTAGGACAGCATGGCTACAGTCCCGGCTCGTGTTAGGAAATAGAATAGAAGTAGTCCACAGTGCACTAATGTTATTTTCTTCGGACATTTGATTCCCGGGATCATAATACGGAGCTGTCAAGATGACCGTATTAGGCGTGTAGGATGTTGTTGTCGTGCCTAAAAGCTGTGTTCCATCGAACGAAAAAGCGAGAGAATCGACACCATCACATTTCACTGCCCTTCGATCTGTTGGAAGAGCCCCGGGGCTTATAGAAGACACTTCAATGCCGCCTTCGTACGCAGCTGCTAGCACACTTCCACACGGAGACAGGGCAATCGCACGAGGAGCATGGTCCAAGATCAGTGACTGCGTTCGGCGAGGTGGAACTTTTCCCAGGTCATATAAATCAACCTGCATGTCAGTAGATAATACTGCTAAGAGACTACCATCATCCAAAATGCATGCGGCCGCTGGGCGGCGTAATATTTTAAACTCCCGCTTAACGGCCAGTTCGAGTTCTCTAACATCTAGGACAAATATTCGAGACGAATTATATGCGAGTAGATGATGACCCCTAGGAGAGGAACTGAATTGCATTCCTTCGCCACCAGGGGCAGAGGACGATCCGATACAGTTCGAGATCAGCCTTATCGTAGTTGTCTTAGGGCGTAAGTAAGCCTCAAAAAGGTTTCTCTTGACTTCTCGGGCGAATAAGCGGCGGAGATTAGGTAAGTTATCATCATCCGACTTTGCGACAGGTGCGACGGTATGACTGGCGCCGTAGGATTCGCATCGAAGGAGGTGATGTGCGTAGAGATGGGCTTGCTGGGAAACACGCCTCCATTTTGAATTAAGAAGGACGAGAGATGCGAATGAGTCAGGGTCGGTCAATTGAAGTATTCTAAATTAATCAACATGTCAGCTGCTAATAATCGATGTAGCTAATAGTAATTAATAGTAACATCAAACCTACTGCTCTATAATCTCATCGGGAAGTTTGTCAAAAGCTGAAGGCGAGAGCTTGCCGCTGGAAGCACTTGGCTTTTCGTCCATACCGGACGTTTGAATTTCGGCAGACATGAGAGAGTGCTACGAATGACACCAAGGACAAGAAGTTATAAGTAAGAACGTCGCGATATATTAGAATAGTAGTGCTACGCCATGGTTCAGTAGAAGTTTATTTTTTATTTGGTATGGTCGCATCCGAACAGAAAGGGGAACAAGATTATCGTTTCTCATGAACGACTTGTCTCGGCCTGTAGTATTGCACAAAGTTGAAGCAGATCGAGCGGGGAACCAATAAGAATAGAAATGAAGACGTGTGACAAAGAAAATAAGAGGTGACGCGGCAGATTAACGCTGGGGTAAGATAGAATATTGTAAACCTTCTCGCCTTTGCGCGCGCCCCCTTGTGATCCTTGTGATAGGAGACGATGAAGGACGATGAAGGACGATTAAGGACGATTGGGGGGGCGGAGTAACAATTGGTAGCAATAGTTTTTTAGCAATGCGAGCAGGCAATGGTAACAATTGGTTCTGACCTGATTAAGGCAAGTAATAAGGTGCGTAATGTACCCCCATGTCCCTTGTAGGTTCTCATGTACGCCGTAATACGCTGTAGGTAAGTGGTACCGGCATATATTATGGGCATGTTTAGGTACCTACCTACCTACTACCTACTAACCAAGCCTTGCGCAGCAGTCAGCTCCCCTCGGAACATGTCACCTAACCTAGCCTTGTTTCGCAACTACCTAATTTAGGCGATGCAATGGGTAATGGGTGCTGTACCCCGTTATTAAGCCTAAACCCAGCTGAAACCATAATGGCCTTATAAAAGATAGGCCTCATGTACACTTTTGGTTGCACCTAACTAATCAGAATAGATATATCGACCAAAATGGTAAGAGTTATCGTTAGTGCATCGTATACAAGTCTATGCTTTGTCTGTATTATTACAAAAGGAGAATATATATTATATTTGGGAAAGTGCATCAATATTTCTTAATATTGACTAGCCACATGCTTTGTACCAAATCACTCCGGGTACTTGCGTCTTCATATATCACATCTTGGCAGGTCTTGAGATAGTGCATGTACCTACCTCATGTGTATACATATATGTCATATGTGGGCTTTCTCCGCAAGCAGACGTGCTTGCTCATGTACATGGGTATAGTAGCCCTGTTTAAAACATTAACTAGCTTGATCGAAACAACTTTATTATCACTTAAAAATGTAAATCAAACAGATCAAATTCTAATACAAAGTTTTAAATAGTTATTCATTATAACTGATAGAATTGATATTTCTGTCTTGAACTACTACCCAGTTAATAACTTTCTTAATTAATACAACATTAAAAGTATGTACTGATACTAAACGTTAATCCTGCGGGTACTTAAGATATACGATCTAGCCAACCATCTCCATATAAGGCTAGATAAGTCTATTTTTGGATCTAAAGTTCCTCATATATCAGAACCTTAAACCCAACTATACCCGTTTATCTACTCGTAGCCCGTCGAATTATACGACTTAAGGAAATTTGATCCTTTAAATACACTTTCGGTCGCATTTCTCCCATATTTGTATTAGCAGGCTACCATTGATATTACTAAGATGTTGCCTTATTCTGCACCTAGGAATAAATACCCGTCAACCGTCCCCAGCTAGTCAATACGATTTACAGTTTACCTAGGTGTATGTAACAAAACCTCAAAAAGCGATGTGACCTAAGCTTAACTTCACGACCCTTCAAAATATACAGGGTTGCCTTGCAATACGCCGAGATTACTCCTCTGAAACTGCTATAATCAACTTGATGACGTATGTAAGCAACATACCTAGCTAAAACTTATCCATTAACTAACTAGTTAACTATTAAGTACCTATCAACTTATGTAAGCTAGGTAGCTATTTCGTACCTAAGATTTCAAAGTCCCTCTAGTTAATCATATATCAATCTCAAATGTCTTAACTATGCCATGGGAATAAGGCACACGCGCATAAGCTGCCTTTATGCAGTGGCCTTACTAAGACACATAGTCCTAATGTCTGATTATATAATACAAAAGACACTAACAACTTAGCTACCCCGGGGAAATCATGGGGAGCTTACACTAAAGCTCTCTCTTAATCCACTTCATGACTTTAGTATGATGTCAGGTCTATAGCTAGCAACTCAGCTTTATTGTTCAAGACATTGACGTATACCATTTCGAGACTTACGGATTAGGAAAACTAGTCAAGTATTCTCGTAATAATACTCGTAATAATATTATACGCGCTCAAGTTGTTGATAGATATTCTAAGAAGAAAATAGGCATTTCAAGACTCCGAAGCTCCCGTTCTCATAACTTAACCCCGACAGACCTCATTTTCACTCAACATGGCTACTGCTAAGTGTAATACTCTCAACGTCTCTACAAGAGACGTTGCTGGGTATCTTCCGATTGAGAATTATGGCATGATTGGGAATATGAGAACTTGCGCGTTGGTAAGCATGGATGGGAGTATAGGTGAGTGGAACCCTCTTTACCTACTCAAGTTTAAATATTTTATTAAATATCAAGAAAGCTAACAAGAGAACGCTTTGCCTAATAAGATTTCATGTGCTGGTGAGGTTTTCTTATTATGGTGTCTTCTCAGGTTTATACTCGACCTGAATCCACCAAGTCTCTCGCAAAAGGGGGGGGGTTCTAGAACATGAACCAAGGCAACCTATAATTAACTGTCTCTTACTATATGAGCAATTTTAGAATAATAAAAGGCAGTTTTGATGTAGAATTTAAGCTAACTCCATCCATAGGCCAGACTTTGACTCCCCATCCGTGTTTGGCCGTCTCTTGGACAAGGATAAGGGGGGCTACTTTAGTATAGCCCCCCCTGAGCCTGCATCATGCACAACCAAGCAGCAATACCTCCCATCAGCCGCCATCCTACAAACTCGTTATATTAGCGAAGAGGGTGTCGTCGATGTTGTAGACTTTTTCCCTCGTCCCAAGGAGTCTACCGTTCTGTCTACGAAATACAAGCACAGTGCCTATCGTGAGGCTAGGAGTGTATACGAAGAGCTGAAGAGATGGCTTGTTCGGCGAGTCGAGTGCATTCGCGGTCAGATGTCATTGGGTCTGTTGTTCCTCATCCTTATCATAAAAGTCGGGCTACTAATATGCGTTAAGACGTGGACGTCTTCCCAGCGTTCGACTATGCGAGGGAGTCTCATACGACTACCATACTACAAGACGTGCAAGGGATTGACAGTCCCCAGAGCAAGACTGTCACTTTCCACAGCAAGAGCCTGAAGCTTCAGCTTGATGTCACTATCGACTGCGGCGGTGGAGAGTCAGATACTTGCCCAACTCTTCTTTTCAAAAAGGTGCAGAGAGAGGGTATGAAAGGCGAGGGGGTTGTCGCCAATTTTACGCTGCAAGAGGGCCAGGCAATTTCGTTCGTTATTCGAGAAGATATACAAAACCACGTTACGGAGAACATCACGAGTCCGATCCTTGATGCTAAACAACATGACACGCAAGCGTACTGGTTTAACTGGCTCTCTAAAAGCAGTTATAAAGGTGCCTGGCGCGAGGTGGTCATGCGAAGTTTCATGATATTAAAGTTGCTAACCTACGAGCCCACAGGAGCCATAGTCGCGGCTCCTACATTCTCGATACCCGAAGCGATCGGTGGAGTTCGGTAGGTTCTATTTCTGTTATGTAAGCTACGAGGAAATGACAATAATTAACTAGGTATAGAAACTGGGATTACCGTTTCTCCTGGGTTCGAGATTCTAGCTTCACAATCTACATCCTACTGCGGATGGGGTTTACGCAAGAAGCGGACGCTTATATGGAGTTCATCAGTGAAATACTACGGAAGACTACGGCGAAGGGCAGCGATCTGCCGATCATGTTTACTATTAGGGGTGAGACCGATATACCGGAGCAAGAGCTTGACCATCTCGACGGCTACAAAAGTAGTAGACCGGTCCGAATCGGCAATGGAGCCGCATTCCATAAGCAATTCGACACATATGGCGAACTTATGGACGCGATATATCTTTACAACAAATATGGAAAGCCTATATCATGGGACACTTGGGTTTCGGTCCGCAAAATGCTTGGTAAGACGTATAGCCAAATATCCCCAGATGGAAAATATAACGACTGACTTTAGACAGACCACGTTTTAACAATACTTCACGGTATATAAAACACCACTATCTAGAGGAAACTAAGCACTAACAAGAGAGCCTCTAAGAACCGGATATGTCGATATGGGAAGTCCGCAACAACAAGCAACATTTCGTCTACTCGAAAATAATGCTCTGGGTCGCTCTCGACCGGGGTCTCCGCCTCGCCGAGAAGCGCTGTCTTCCGTGTCCCAACCGCGCAAAGTGGCTCGAGGCTCGAGACACTATTTACGAGGAAGTCATGGAGAAAGGTATCTACATAGCAATCCTTCTTTTCACATCTCCACCCTCACCAGCATACCACGACTAACTCAGAAGATTAGGCTATAACACAGAAATGGAAAGCTTCATCCAAAGCTATGAAAACAATACTATCCTCGACTCGTCGATCCTAATCGCGCCCTTAGTCTTCTTCATCACCCCCAACGACCCGCGCTTCCTCAACACCGTCGACCGCATCCTTCTCGCGCCGGAGAAAGGCGGGCTAACAAGCGCAGGCCTAGTCTACCGGTATAACACGGAGCTCGCCAACGACGGTAAGCCCCCCTCTCTCCCCTCCCCCCTAACATCACCCACCTTCCCACCCCTATACGTGCCTAATCTACTAACACAACTCACCCACCCCAGGCGTCGGCGGCCACGAAGGCGCATTCAGCATGTGCACCTTCTGGCTCGTCGAAGCGCTAACCCGCGCATCAGTCTACGAGCCGCGGTACCTCGAGCGCGCCGTCAACCTCTTCGAGAACATGCTCAGCTTCTCGAACCACCTGTCCATGTTCTCCGAGGAGATCGCCCGCAGCGGCGAGCAGCTAGGCAACACGCCCCAAGCTTTCAGCCACCTGGCCCTTATCAGCGCCGCCTTTAACCTCGACCGCGCCCGAGGCTACGCGAGGAGGTGAGGATTCAAGAATCGGCCGTGACGCCCAGATTGGTTACTTCCGTAGTACTGTCGCACTAGGGTGGCGACGGAGAGAGAATAGGGGCTGTGGCGAAGTGGATGGCGATGGGAGGAATATGAGCTAAGATGCTTTGATACGTACCTACCTAGGTACCTAAGGCTAGGTATTTTAGATATTAGCAATAACAGGATATTTCCAAAGCGGGCAAAGTCAAGCTACATACCTCTTTAAAGAAGAACCCTCGTAGTCGTGAGACCCGTCAGCGATTAACCCAGCCGACCTAACTGTACAACAAATGGACCGCCTGTGCCATTTCCAAACGCACGTAACTCGGGTAGCAAGAGATACAGATGCACTCGCTCGCCACCCTCTTGCGACCATTCATACTCCCTAATGACATCACGGAATATTCCCTAGCATCGAGGGACCAACCGTTATGATTCTAGAACGAACAATATCATGTGCTTTCGAAGACCCAAGTTATCGGGCCAACGCCTAGATTCATCCTGAGAGCAAGAGTTATAGGTTTAGAATGCAATTCGCATGTCGAGGAAGCACGAAAGTACAAGGAACAACGTTACCTACGTACACGCATAGGGGGGTACCTAACGTAAATATTGATTTTATTTGCTCTAGCTACAATAGTTCCGAGCACAGAAATGTAGGTACATTTGGCAGTTTCTTGCTCACTTATTGGACATTCTTAGGGTGGTAAGATAATCAAAGTTAGCATATGATCTGTTGCAAGAGTGAGAGTGTACCAAATGAATATCAACTAAACGAAAGACTCGCATTCGGGTATCTTCCACCAATATTAGGCCTTGGTAAGAGTGAATATGACTCGCTGTGTTAGATAGCGCGACAGCTTTTCAGATAACTTACTATAAAGGCACCTTGCGTCCTTAGCAGCGTATAAAGCGCAGTATTATCGAATAGTTTTTCTCAAACGACCATACGATCAGGTAGCTCGAGTGATTGCTTACCATTTTGATAACCCAATTCCCGAAAGAATGACTCTGCATGCGACGTCCAACCCTTCCTCTACTCATAGTTTTCATATATGGTAGGAGTTAGGCTAGGATGACTGCCTATTGTTTTTGACTGCCACGATGTGGGAGTACTGCCAGTAGGTCCCCCTTTCAAGACATTCCTGAACTATGTCTTCCTCCTCCCACCACCATCGCTCGGCGTGGACAAATTTCCCCCATATCTCTTGCCACAACATTCTTGAGATGAGACATCGGAGCTCACTTTCTACTGATGTTTGGTCCTTCATATCTTCCGTCGTAGTAGCGCACTCATGCACCGCACGTACGGAGATAGTTGTGATGGTGCTTCCGAATCCACGAAGTTTTGCAACAGCTAACCAGGCGGGAAATGTGTCACTTGGTAACGTAGTACGACACTTCTTTTCAAGTTGTATCAAGAGATTCTCAAATAACCATTGCCGCAGTTTTGGACCCATTGAAGATGAGACTGGTTGGGGGTCTATAAGGGTTAAGTGTAGAGCACCGCCGGGGGCGAGGCAGCGGTAGATATGACGGAGAAGTGGTGGGATCTCGCTCGAAGGAAATAATGCAGGCATAGGTAGACATGTTACAGTTGAGTATAGCTGCGGAGCAAGCGGCCGAGAACCTGCCGATGCAGATATTGCTGGCACAAGTAGTGGTTGGACGTTTGGAAATAAATTTGGTGATATTGGCTTTGGCGATAAGTGTGATATCGAGGCTTGCGGGTGTAGAGCAGCAAGAAACGAAGCAGATGCTAGTCAAGAATATGTTATTAGGAAAACTTCAAATAAAATGCCTCCTCAATAGGGTACATACCTTGAGATTCGTAGAGTGCAAGGATCCTAGCAGATCCAGGGGGCTTTGACGAATCTGGACTCCCGGGACAGCTATCTGTGCACTCCATGAGCGGAACATATCCCTCGTGTTGTAAGGCAGAAAACATCCAACGTTTCTTAGTCATCTCAAGTTCTTTGTAAACCGTTGCGTCTGAAGAATGGCCCATGCTAGATTTGATATTGGCAAGCATAAGCTCTGGACTTGCTGCTGCCATCATTCGAACTTCACGTTGTAGCGCCGCAAGACTCGGAGACATACATCTGTCGGAATCGTCACTGATCAATGAATTATGTAATCCTTCTTCGTCGGATTGGGCTGTCGCTTCTCTGTTCGGAGTGCAATCCCACTCGTGGGGGGGCTTCCAGGCGTCCGCATTTCCTAGCCTGTCGATACCATTCCATCCCGGTGTATATATGCCGGTATTATTCTGGAATTCGATAGGAGGTGGCGTATGCGGCGACCTAGAAGAGGGCCTCGTAGATCCAGGATCATCAAATGCTAAGAAGTTCCTGGGGAAAAAAATTAGGATAATTTGGGTCACCACGTTATAAGCTTCGTAAACTTACGTTCTCTCCGAGAAATCCGGTATTGGTGGTGTTGGGGCCTTTGTCTGGCTAGCTGAGATGTGGACTTCGGAAATCAACTGGTTGATGTCCGTGTCTGGATCATGGGGCGAGTACACGACTTCGGTAGTTCTTGTGATGAATGAAGATGGCCCTAAGGTCTGAATCAAATACTCCGACTTCGTACTGGTAGTGGCGTCGCTCATGGAGGCCCCGACGCCAGTGCTATTGGTAACTGCAGATGGATCCGTCCATTTCGACAATGTGGAATCTACCGTAGCTGAGAATTAGTGATTATATATATCATCTAAAAAGATTTAGGCTTCCCACCTGGCGACGACAGACTAGAGACATCGGCCGCTTCCGAAACTTGGGTAGGGAGATAGCCTCTCTCGGCGGGTTTTACGGTAATCTCCGATTCATCCTGATGGTGAAGCAGAGTCTTGACACCGTAAGATGATGTTCGGTTGATCTTGTTAAGATTACGAACTGGAGGCGCGGGTGATGTGGTCAGGTCCTTCGACTTAGGCGACGTTGGGGTCTTCCTTCGGCTTCTAGCCGAAAATATTCCAAACCCCCGGTCACTAGAAGTTGAGCTCTCAGTCGAAATAGATTGACGACCATTCTCAGACTTTTGCTTTCTCTCTTTTTCTTTCATCTTAGCCTCTTGCTCTTTTCTTACTATCCGCTCGCCCACCAACTCCCGGTTGGGATCAGTCCAGAGAACGTCGAACATGATGGCTACTTATGGTCAACTTGCCATCTAAAAGCTTCCTGTAAAGAATTGGTATCCGTCACGGTATAATCGGTATAATGATGGCAGGTTTGGTGGATGGGGACTTTCAAGGACTCGGTGCAATCGTGACACAAAGGTAGTGTAATGACGGGCCAAATTTTCATCGGCAGTCAAGTTAACTTCTAAGAGGGATTGAATGAGCCATGTTATTATTATCTGGGATTAGAAGAGTCCTCTTCATAGATCCCTTTCGTGTTGGTTTTAATCAGGTATCGGATAGATCGGATGGTTAAGGGGCTGGCTGATTAGGGGGTCAGAAGAATAGAGGTTCACCAAGATGGCTGAGTTTCGTGTACGGTAGTATTGGTAGAAGATTCAAAAGTCCCGCCACTTGCTGTTGACGAATTGAGTGCCTCAATTGTTAGAGTGACACGGAATTAGTGATGGGACTCGAAGTGAAGTAAGGATGTAGAAGGCAGTAGGTAGGTTTTGTAAACCAAGACATATAAAGTGGAAGATAGGAGAAGTGATGAGACTGGATAACTACTACCTGAAAACACCTGAGAATTCGAAGAAGGTTGGAAACTTAGATTGAAAGGTGAGACAAATTTGAAGCTGGATCAAATTCTAAGCCGGTTTTGCATCTCGAAATCATGGCAAGTACTCATAGCAAGTACATCACCTTCGTACCTGCTCGACCCGAGAGATAGACCGCGGGAGCCTGCACTAATAAGATCGAGAGATGCACCTTCCCGTACATTTTCTCTCCAAATGCCTCTTTGACACTTCCAAATCCGCTTCGAATTATCCCCGACCTTTCCGGAATGACATATCTAAGTGTCAAACGATAAACGCCTCTACTCCACTCTGGTGTTTGTTTGTGTTTTTTTTTTTGTGTGCGTATGTTTTTTTTCTCATCAGTGGATCCGTGTTCAGTTTTACACCTCGGTCTTTTAGGCTGCGGCGAAGATCGTGGTCTTTAGGAGGTAGACATAAGAGTGCGTTAAATTACGTGGAACAGATAAACCAAATCACTGCTTCCAGGACCGAGAGTTCTTCATCAGGATAGCATCATAGAGCAAGTTTAAGGTTATTAAGCTCTTTTTTTCTCCTTGACTTCTTTTTGTCCTCTCCTTAGTCATGGTTTATATATACCTGTTACTATGAAGGATCATCCTTACCTAATAGACGGCATGGAGTGCGTACACTCGCAACCAACATATTGCCTGGCCAACCTATGAGGCTTACGATTAGAACTTTAAGTAAATGCTCTTCGTCCCATCAGATCTATTCAGTAGCTTATAAATGCCCACCTACACACCGTTTTAAATCTATACCTCTTTAACTCAAATCACATTAGCCGTCACCTACGTTGTAATACTTAATGGCCCTTATTAAAGATATAACTGCCCAAGCTTAATATACATATGATCCTAGATAGCTAACAGTACTACTAATGGCTACGATGAATGAAAAGGTTGGTTCTGTAAAGGGTGGGATATAAGAAGAGTCTCACCTCCTATCTGGGCAATCTAATTACTATCTTATTCAACCCTCATAGCAACTATGCCACAATTCTATCATCTTAGCCAAAGACCCGAAATTAAAATATATATCTCTATTAAATTCCTTACTATAATTAAGCCAAGAGGATGAAATACTTTCAAGATAGGCCGAAAAGTCGAGCTAAAGCGTTACGCCACAAGGTCGCCCCCTATTATATATGCTACGGAGAGATAGAGTGTTCCAAAACGCATCGCAATTTTCAATTCATTTAGAGCACTACCAGAAGCGAAGCGAAGAGTCTTAACGTAAAGGTCTAGTCTCTCACGAACACGGGAGTCCCAAACGACCCCACCAAGCACCCGACTCCTTGGTTTCCAAAAACAATGTCCTCGAGATCCGTAGACTGTAGCAGGATCGCAGCAAACATTAGAATGCGTACCAGGATACCCGAACCACGCACGTTTGGAGAAGCGCTGCAGCGACCCACGCATCGAACCCATGGATCGGGTATCTGTGGCTGGAGACAAGGTGCTCGAGCCGTCACTACTCCGCAGCAGATCTTCAGATCTAAGAAGTCGGGGCCGTATGACGGCTTTCAAGGCAAGCGACCTACTTGGGGGCTCAGGTGTTCCCGCGGGTACTTGCTGAGGTAGATAAGCGATGTGTTATTCTGTTCTGTAGATGGTTGTCTACGGGACGAGTTGAAAGACGTTACATTAGGTGCATATGTAGGGGCCATCCCATGCGCTTGCTTGCTTTCGTACCTGCATATTCCTACGCAGGAACAGCATCATGGATCTATAATGGGTGTTTGCGATTGCGCCTCGGTTTGTGTGTTCCTATATACGCCTCCTTATCACACATATGATATTGTTAATACCCTACCTATCATCTCGTATAGTTAGAGGTAATTAATAGAGTAGAGCTTGGGCTAAACATGTGTTTTGACGTTCTCTAGTACGCGGGTAACTCGGACCTTCATCGTATAACCTATGGAAGCGAATCCGACGAATCTCTTCCAATTCCATGGTTCCCACCAGAGCGTGTTTGCTAGATGCTCTATATACGAGCGTACAGTACGCGCATGCTGTGGATGTATTCGGCCTATCGTCCATCTGATAAGCGCATAGAGATCTTTTGGGCATATGGTAGAGACACTAAGTGTCTAACTGTCGAACTCAAGGCTCGAGCCAAAAGAGCGCTTCGACAGCACGGACGACGCCACTGCATACACTAATCATCTATTAGGAATAGCCGAAAGTGATAGCCTTACGGAGATTGACGGTCATGATCAAGGGATATGCTTGCAGCTTTGTAATTCTCTCGAAATGATGACCTAGTACATAAGTTTAGCCGTTGAGCATGTGAATTCATAATTGACATATGTAACGAGGCTGCTAGAGGAGACGAGTAAAAGGGAATATCTTGAATTTTGCACGTCCCTTGCCACCCCCCTGGTGGTCCATAATCAATTGCCAGCGGAACCGAGCACTCTGATCACTGCTGCATCTGGGACGCGATGGCACGTCATGACAGGTCCAATATTAGGTCCAATTCGCTAGACCCGAAGCCACGGGCCATAGCTGCATGGAATACGGATTGCGACGGTGAGATTTCTGCGTTACCGAGAATTTTTCCTCCTTGCGTCGGTTTGTAACCCTACTTCTCCTTTTGACGTTTCTCCGACAGCTGGACTAAGAAATATTTAACATTCTATGGGAGACTAAAAAATAACGGCATTATCATTCCGTTAGGCATGTCAGATCTAAAAGAGGGAAAGAAATCTTGTCTTCCTCATTTGGGGATAATGTCCATCACTGCAGAGAATTCGTATGTTATTTATGCAGGTACATGGTTCTTGGGGCAAGTAGCTTTACCCTTTCGAGCCTGAAAGCTCAAATTCGTGATACTTGATTGGCTAATAGATCCCCAGGGTGTTTCATCAAATACATCGTATGTCCCTATGAGAAAGTCGAACTTAACTGCCGTAATCTTGAAACTTCTTATGGGACCTTCCCTCCTCGGACTTCTATCCTGCAGGTTTTATAGAAAACAGGTTTGTTTTAATGTGGAAACTAATATTGGGAAGGGTTTAGAATATCCTAAAGATGTATGCCGACAGTAGAGGGTTGTTGATATAGCCAAGTAAACATTAATTCTAGAAAATCTTCAATCTTGCTACGCCTCTTACCTGCGCGAACATTTCAATCTCGCGTAGTATTTATTAAGATTGTAAAGCTATAGTACCACAGTAGCAGATCAGCCTTATGGGCGCTATATTCTTACTGGTCCACCTCGCTATAACTTATATAGCACATACTATAGCTTACCTACCTTTACCCCAACAGCTAGGTACGCCAATATGCTAAAAGGACCCTTGTGTCTGTCATCAGGAACGCAATGCCTTAATGTATGTATGCCAAGGGAACCCGACAGGCAAGTTCCGCATCCTATTATGATCTAGGCCGCCTTAATGCTTCTACGGTTCCTACGGATACTTAGCCTAGCATAACTTACATGGGAAAATCACCCTATTCATACTCTATGCCTTAGGTTAGATAGAAATCTATCAATGCTAGCATTATACCCAGGTAGTTGTGCTTTTCAAACAGTATTGATAAGTCAATGTCTTGAACAGTGCGCCCGACAGAACTAGGATAGGCCAGGAGAATACTCTCCAAATCACACACGATGTTACGTCTCTAACTAGATATTCTTCTCCCGGCGAAGATCTTGCCTTTCACCGCCACCTCCTCTCCTTCTAATTGTAAGTCGGTAATATCGGAAATAAAGAACACACATGCAAAGAGGAACAAGATACTAATGAAGCATGCGATGCTCAAAGTTGTATCGCTGGGCTAGATCTATCACTATACATATTGGGTACCTGCATATGTGGCCGCTCAGCTACACATCATTAGACCTAATAATTCGTACATTACAAGCGTAGTATACGAGTATTTAACTCGGTACTCAAGTAGGAAGGTTAATAAGAAGCTTTTGGCCGCTCTCGACCCAAGAAAGCTTGAACTTCTCCATATTTTGACTACTTTAGCGTTAAGGGGAAATGGTCGACCAACGAATCTTACTCCTCTCGTCCCGCTATGTCGAGGGGCAATACTACCTCATAGCGGAATCACACCTATAACCCAAACTAAGCTTCTATCCTAGTTTGTCCCGAGCCATCTAACTGACCTTGGCAAAAGGCGAAACTCAGGGGCGCTGCAACAGATTGACTAAATCGCGTATCGTTCAGTTAATAATTCATCGCTGGTAGAGTTTATATAGTTACAAGGTTTCGGTATAAGCGAAAGGCATCGCTTGTTAAGATACATATGTGCGCTTCAGAAGGGGGATAAATAATAAAAATATAAACCAAAATCTAATATTTGACACCGTTATATCGTCTACCCTTTCGCATCCTGGTGAGATTGCGACGTCCTGCTGCTATTAGCTAACTCCGTCATTGATTCGCTCTCTATGTCTTTATGTGAACTTCGGCTTGTAAGCCTGAATGCGAAATTTCGTTTATCCTGGTGTTCGTTGCCGTACTGGCTCAACTCGGGGCGTCGTCCGGTGATACGGACCCGGATATCTAAAAATGTCATCCTCACTGCCTCCCAACTTGTCGCGACGTATATCAGGCAGTTCCAGAACCCCTGAAGTGGTAAGACGATTGCGCTCATAATCTCGAGGGATGCTAGCACGCTATTCGTATTGACGATACTGTACACGCGATTCGCTGTCGAAGGAAGCCAAGTAACAAGGAGCGCCGTAAAGAAGAGGATGGCACACTTGCTATATGACCACGCAGCATTATTGGCCTCGAAGTTCGCCCTTCTCTTTTGCGATTTTGCTCGTGACTGGGCTGCGGCTGGTGTCTGCGGCACGTTGCTCTGAATAGGAATCACGACGTCCCCCTCTTGTGCTTTGCCGCTACCTTTCGCATTATTCGACGATATTGTTACCGAGTACGACGGGTTGCTCTTATTCATGCCGAATCTTCCAAGGGGTGCGAGGTCGATTCCACTTCCGCCCTCTCCAGCAGCTTCGGACGTGACTGTTACTTCGGTCGTCTTCACTGAATAGGGGTCGTTCATATTCAATGCATCGGGATCGTGGGCGCTGCTGCTAGCGCCAAAATTTCGTAGTTGCTTGCGCTTCTGATATATGTCTTTCCCTGCTCGGATATAGATAGCCATTGTAAGTAAGATAACAACCCTGAGTAGTGTTAGCAATGCCAATCTTAGAAGCATTAATTCACGAGCCCTTACCAGACAGGACCGTAGAAAGTAATGATCCGAAAGATATCCCATCCCGAGCTAACCCAACACCATAAAGTGGCATTGCCATACATCCTTCCAGCCGACTCCGTTCTCACAAAAACGTAGGTGAGCGCGGGAACGAATGGAACGCCGTAACATATTAAGAGGTACCTGAAGTTGGTATCGCGTGAGTTTCCATGCTTAGCTTTTAAGGGGTAGCGGTTGAGCTTGAACTAACCATTTTTCCATCATACGGAGTTTACCGGCGTCAAACTTGTAGTAAAAAGTTAAGTAGACATTAAATGCCATAGCCAATGTCCAAAAGGCATCAGCGGGCAGGAACCTTGGATAGTTTAGCAGGTTGAGCAAATATGTATTGGCAAATGACATACATTTGTATAAGAAATCCTTGAAATTGGCATCCAAACGTATCAATCTCCATCACGTATCTTCTTGACATCAATGTTCCAACGTTGGTCATCATATTACCGAAGGAGGCATAAAAGACTAGGCGGTTAATAGGCTTGTGGAAAGCCTTCGAGAAGGTGAAGGTAATGATAACGAAAAGACATCCCAACAGCGAGAATACGGAGCCAACTCGTTCAATGACACTGATCGCCTCCAGCTCCCCTTCTGTTAAATCACGCCCCATTTTCGTATAGTAGCTAATCTCAGATTCGAGGGAATTGGGGTGTAGTTGGTTCGATGGTTGGGCTCTGAGCTAATATATCGTACGAACAGGAACGGCCCGCTACCGAATGGGTAGTCAAATAGAGATATAGAGATGTTAGATCTATGTTTGCTTCACTCGATATAAATATGAAAGCTGCATAACTGGCCGAAGGAACGCCTGAGCCATTAATCAACGTTTTACTTTCCAGCAGGGCGGGCGAGTTGACATCATCCACGTGAATCGGATGTGCTAACTAATATAAGTCGTCAGATATCGATAGGGTTGAGTTAGTTAGATGTGTTTACGATTCATGAATCGTAACGAAGTTCCGCGGCCCACTTGTCCACCCATAGTATCAACAGTCGGGTCTCAAGAGAGTCTTATAGCTCTAGCGTCCACTTACACCGGACCTCGTAAACGTATTCGAGATAACTGGCATGGGTCTAAGCCTTGCCTATCGATGTGGATATTCTGTAGAACATCTTTGGAGGGACAGAATAACTACTAGATATGTATCTCCTGAATTCTGACTAGGATGCCACGCGACTAATAAAGAAAACCCTGTGTATATTTTATGGCATGGTCCAAATGCTTGGCTAAAGCGAACTAGAGAAAGGGTTTCGACTCCCGGGAGGGTTCCTCAGATACTAAGACCAATCAAATAAGAAATTGAACAGTAAAGAGAATTTGCGGCAAGTATTGAGAAAAGGGCCCGGGCATGACAAGCAAGGATAGCAAGTTGACTATTCTGGGATTTGACCAGCAATACCAGCCAGAGAAATAGTTACAAGCTGTACATAGACAACCAGGATGTTTCCGTCCTGACCTGTAGGGTGTTGACGCTGACGTGCGTCTGTGCCCACTTCGTTGACAGACAGAAATTGTACTACACAGTATGCAAGTGTGGGCTTTTCTCCAACTCATCTCGAGCAGCTAAGGCAACCCCAGGATATGTGGATAATAGTCGAAACATATCCAGGTAAACCCGGCTCCATAGTCCCTTAGTAACATTTTACCCCAACTTGGCGGACGATGGTGTCCTCGCCAAGCAGACGGTTAGCATGTCGAGCGACAGGAACTAGGAACAGTGTGGTTAAGAGAAGCGATTGAGAGTAAAATACCTATTATGTAGATAAGACTGCTGATGATGATAATATGTAAAGATTATTGGAAAGTGTGCAGAAATGCGCCTCTGTAGTCATCTGTGGATGACACGAGCTCAGTAGAGTAGGGGGAATACTACTGTGATAGGCAATAATGGTTGCTATCAAGAAAGCCATGTTATTACCGGTGATTCCGACTGTGGATAGGCTGGCTGGCTGGCTGGCTGAAGTAGGCATTACTGATAGATACTACATAGTATTAGAAGAGGACCTTTCCAATGAGAACAAGCGAATTGATGTTTGCCCAGGCCGCGTATCTTCAGTTTTCCTGCAACAACGATATGGATGTGTACGTGTTTCAGACGTGAGCAAGCTGTTCTATGTTGCGATTGTTATGCTGATGTAATTATACTTGATTATAATTAATGCTCACGGTTGATGATCACGGTTGGAATAAGTGCTGACGCCAACCGTGGTAAGAAAAAGTTGGCTTGTAAATATACTAGTGTATGCAGTTAGCAAGACAGGGAATAATCTGTTTATTACCTAATATGTACCAAGCTATTAGAGTAGATTCGTCTATTGAGTAATATGTAATATGGCACGTGCACGTTTTATTATGCGGCCCAAAACTTAGAGGATTTTGAATGAGGTCAACCACGATTTCGCAATCTCCACGTGGTAATCTATTATACATATCTACCTAACCTAGGTATATACTAAGCTCTATTTCAGGGGCCTTACTATGGTTTGAGCGTTTACCTGGTTCATGCTGCTTCATCGCCAGGAGATCCCTAACATCTTAAAAGAAAAGCTATGGTTAGGGTACAGGGACGAGATCAAATAGATCAAACCCATGACCAAGACTTATACACTAGAAAAGACCTCCAAGTTAACTTCTACATAGGAACTAGATAGGTAGTGATAAGTCTACGATATCAGGTATTTTCTTTAATCGTTCTCTTTGTCAGACTTTGGAATCGCCTAGCGTTTGTAGGCTAATATAGGTGCTTGCAAGCTATTTTCGTCCCGGTTCCGGTCCGAATTGTCTATCGAAATTAGTGTTCCTTATACAACTTAGACAGAGCTATGGTTTATTTACTTGATCCCTACTAGATACCCAGGTGAGCAATACAGCTACATCTCGCAAGAACTTATATGTACTCTTTATCTTGGTTGCGCACCACGATATCTAGAAAATATTTCTAAACAGGTTTCTCCCGTGAACCCCTCGTCTAGCGCCAAGAACCCTTGTCACGTTAGTATTGAAATAACTCCCGGCGTCGGTGACTTCTTTTTGATACCTTGGGGATCTGGGGGAAGTATTCAAGCTGTCTCATGGCCCAGCCGCCAAGCAGTTAGACATCTTTTTGGATGTCAAAGCGTATGCGAAACCTCTTCACTTATCGCGAGAACACACAGGGCTGTGCAGAGCACTGCATAATCCGACGTCGTTGTCTTTATAAAATCTCCGTGACTAGTAAACCCACCCGGGGAATCCTAGAACTGCCGCGGGTACTATCTCGGACCCCCGATGCAGGAGCAATCACATCTTCAAGGTTGTGCAGAACTTCGTATCCTATCGAGATTTGGATATAGCACGATGAAGGTAAGTTGGAACGTCCGTGCGATGTAACCGTGTCGACAATAGGTTCTATCAACTACCGTACCTGCCTATCCATCATTTTCGTGATGGCAAGAGGTAAACCGAGCGCGGTTAGAATTTCCTAGAGAGAACCCGATGGAACTTCGGGATACTATCCTTTACGATGACGATGTCGAGGTTTGCTAAATATTGCTTATATTGATTAAGAAGCTGTCTCTTACGCCCTTGGGTGAAACATAAGAACAGGAGAAGTTATAGGCCAACAATAAAAGCGAGCTTATATGTAAAATGGCATTACGAGCCTTTCCCAGCATCTCAACCAAGCATATTACACCCTCACTCAATACTTCTTCAAACCTAGGTCCGAACAATGGACCTTTATTTCTCACCAACCAACCTTATCAGCGTTGAAACTATGTCTCATAATAGATATTCGCCTAGATTCATAAAGGTCCATGGCTTTCAGCAACCGACACAGGTGTCAGGCGCTATTCGTTCGTTCAGTTATGACTCTCCCCACCTTCACATTCTCCATTGTCTCCTAAGTGAATCTTGAGAACTGTTGCATGACTACTGACGAGTTCTTCCGGACTGTCTGAGGCCCTCTTTATATACCAAGTTAAATAAGACGACTCAAATATCCTTACTATGGAAAACTTCTAGATCTCGCGGTCCCTACGGCATCAAATTTCCGCGGGTAGTTTTCGTAACCTACGGGGGACATCGTTACCTTATGTACGGAAATATCTTCCTTTATTTTCTAGAACCTGCCTACTGACTTTATAACACCTATGTAGTTGGCTTGCACCCTTTCAGGAGATAGAAATCAGAGAACTTCTAAGATGGAGGAAGCCCCCTTTAAGAGTTACCAGGCTCCTCTCAGTTGTCCTAGGAATCGCAGTGTCAATATGCCTACCAGAACCTCCCCAGCAACCTCAGTCACTGGCGGAACTTACAGACGTTTCGCCTGGAAGAACTGGTCATATCAAGAAAACGTTCATCAAATAGCTTAGAGAGGCATCATAGAGAGAGAGTATTATAGAAGTCATGGCAAGGAAAAGGAATGATAATAGATTCCGGGGCTCAACGACTTGTGCTAACAATAGGCGAGGCCCGCGAAGTGTAAACTTCGATGATGATTACCCCATGGGCGGTGTTAGCTCTTCGGCCGCGAATGATCGGCACTCATCGAATAGAAGAAGCAGCCAGAACAACTACAATCCGCCGCATGGTCGAGGGCGATCGCCATACCGCGGAAGTAACAGGAAAAACAACCATGCCCCATCCTTCTCGCAGGACCAGCACTCGCGCAACAATCACAATCCTCACCACGGCGCACAAGGACACAGAACCAACTCTCATAACAACCCCAACGCCAACCCTAACAACAAACACAACCGCCGCAGACACCCCAGGGCCGCAAGCACAGACAACGCCGACGCCGAGTTCGACGAGAGCACCAGCATCGACGACCCGTTCAACTCTTCATTCTTCTCCCCGCGACACACCCACAACGGCGTCTACAAAAGCAAAAGCAACAACAACATCCGGTCCTGCACAGAATGCAGTTCCGTCCGCCGCGCGAACCTGCGCTTCCGGAACTGGGCCGTGCGCGCCTTGACCCGGTGCAACGAGCGCTTCGCCGCGTGGGCCAACGAGGTGGGAGTCGAGTTTGGGACGGGGGATGAGATGGACTGGCAGCCCGAGCCCGTGGTGCGGGTGTTGCTGGTCAGTGGAGACGTGTCGCCTACTTCTACTGCTTCTCTGCCTCTTATTACCCAGTTTACAAGCATGGAGGGCCAGCAGCAGAAGCAGCAACAAGAGCAGATAGGTCCGGTACCAACACCTGGGCCGTGGGCTTGGCCCCCTTGGTCTGCGCCAACAGCATGTCCGCCGCCTGAAGCCGTTCCGGCGCAAATACAAGACGGCGGTGGGCTTGCGACGTCCCAGGGAAATATGCCGTGCGATGGGCTATGTGGGGGCGATGGTAATGGAACTTTGTCGATCTCAGGTTTCGGATCGCTAGGTGTTGGCTGTGGCGAACTGTCGGGGCCTTTATCGAATCTCAACCCTGACGTGGGCCTCAACCAGTGAAGCATAAGGGATCAGGGTAGACCCTGGGGAAGTCCAAGACGACTAAATATGTGCGCGCAAAATTATCTAGACAACTCTCTAGATAGTCAACGATCTATCAAAGTAGATAGTAGTAAGTAGTAGAGCTAGAGGTATGAATGTTTATGTTAATCATTTGAGGAGATATTATTCACTAACACCTGGCCCTACTAGACGTTGAGTATCGTAGAATTAAGCTCACGCAAATAGATAAGGGCGCTGGGGCATGTAGGGTGAACACAAGTGGAATAGATAATGGTCTTTTTCTCTCGTGTACTATGCTGACGGTTGATAAGAGAGTAGAGCTACTGGTCTCGACATGCTAGCTAGAATCACAATGATATAGGCTGAGATACTAGATCTTGACAATACGGCGATGATATACCTTATAACAAGAGATTGAATAGACAAACGTGTGGATCGAACTGCTTGCGTGGTATTGACCAGATAGACTTTTCCCTATGGAAACTGATGCACAGATGAAATATCAATAAACCGACCCTCCGAACGCCTAGTCGCCGTTGCCTGATGGGAATAACTCCATCCCACGAACCACGTGGATTATGATCGTTACATCAAGACCGTAATATAACACAAAATAGGTTGCCTTCCTCTTAGCCTATAAGGTGCCTACTTCGCCTCTTGGTATTGTCCAATCACGATACAATGATCTCGTTCATAGGGTTCTAGTTACGATAGTTAGTGGTAAGCAACTTTGATAAGAGGAACAGAATTCGTACCTAGTGTCAGTTGTTCCTGGGGCTTGATACGCTCTGCTCTCAGCTTCTGCACTTCCTGCGCGAAGACTGCTTCAGGGGCAGCTGTGCTGTCAATGCAGTTCGCCTTGATAGAGATAACTACACCACCGCCAACTTTCAGGAACATGTGTGCGTTCAGCGCAACAATACGGGCCTGATCAGGTTGAGCAACATCGGCAAAGATGCAGTCGACCATAGGTACGAGCATGCGATACTTCATGGGGTGTCGTGCATCCTCGACAATAGGGATGACGTTAGTTCGGTTTTGGGCCATGTTGACCAAGTCTCGGCCAGATCGGTGGGAGAATTCAACGGCGTAGACATTTCCAGTAGGGCCAACAATATCGGAAACGTGAGAAACCGAAGTACCAGAGGCAGCACCCAAGTACAGAACCTTGGACCCGGGCTTCATGTAGATGTTGTCGATACCACCGATAATACCGGCTGCCAACTTACTTCGGAAAGGATTCCAGATTCTGTACTCGACTTTGGTGGTAATAGGCGTACCATCCTCGGCCTTAGTGGTATTATCAATGGTAACCCTCTTCTCGCCGTAGACTTCGATGCCAGGGGCAACGCTTCGGGTGAGCAAGTGATCCTCCTTGCCGCGCGAGACGAAAACGCCTTCGTGACGGTGGGGCTCCTAAAATATAGTTAGTATGATCATGTTCACGAGCCAGCATATAACGAGGCCTATGACTTACAACAACGACTCTGGCACCACCTCTTGCGCCGCCTCTCCCGCCACCGCGTCCAGCACCGCGAGGGGCACCTCGTCCTCCTCTTGGGGGACCGCCGCGACCACCACCACCACGCCCACCTCGGTCACCGAAGCCGCCTCGGCCACCACCTGTAAGAGTAGTTAGTTAATAAATAACATTCTAAAATATAGAGCTCTTAGGATTCGACTTACCTCGTCCACCACCTCCACGGCCGCCAAAGCCACCTCCACCTCGTCCACCTCTGTCGCCGAAACCACCTCGGCCGCCTCTATCACCAAAACCACCGCGGCCACCGCCTCTACCTCCTCGTGGAGTAAAACCCATGTTTTAAAAATAAGAGTATAAGTTAAGTATTATTCTTGCGATATTTGCGATAAGTATTATCGCGTCGTTTGTCGCGTTAGGGGTTTCGCGAAGACAATTGGAGAAAAAGTTATGTTAACTTTAAGCTCCCATAAAATTTCCTTCGAGCTTCAGAAGAAAAAAAAAAATTTTGGAGCTAAAGGTACCGCTGATAGAGTTCAATTGAGAGTTTACATGGCCCGAGCTCCTATCATATTAAAGCCGAATATTTACCGTAAAGATTCATGATAAAACTTTGTTATCGATAAAGGAAAAGGCGCTTTGACCAAGTGGGGCTCTCTACATCCAAAAATTTGAACAAAAGCAGAAAAAGTACGTACCACTCAGGGCAGTAAGCGAGGGCACAATTCAATTTCCACAATTTGAACTTCCCCGAACTTTGACTTCGCGAAAATCTTCAATCCAACAAACGACATCGAGTCCATCTCCCACCTCAACACCACACAGCAGCCAAGATGGTACGTTTAGAATCCCGCTCGAGTGAATTCGTCGAATGCACATTTGTTTTACGACAACCGCAATTTCAAATTCGGTATACGACTTGAGTGCGCACAGTTGACGACTTCTCGCGATGCAAACAAAAAAAAACACCCACGAATACAGGAAATTGGGTAGCTAATGGTGATATATTCGCATAGGTTCGATACGCTGCCACCGAGATTGACTCCGCGAAGTCGGCCCGCGCCCGTGGCGCTTACCTCCGTGTTTCCTTCAAGAACACCCGAGAGACCGCTCAGGCTATCAACGGCTGGAAGTTGACTCGCGCCGTCAAGTTCCTCGAGAATGTTAAGGAGAAGACTGAGGCCGTCCCCATGCGACGATATGCTGGCAGCACTGGCCGAACAGCCCAAGGTACGAATATCTTATCTTTACGGATTTACCTCTACAAGACTTCAGAGTATTGGTGGGGCGGATAAAAAAGAATTCAATAATATTTGCTATGCGGTTATAGCTATTGCGATAGACGAGAAAGCTAACATGGTCGATCCAAACAGGCAAGCAGTTCGGTGTCTCTAAGGCTCGATGGCCCGCTAAGTCTGCCGAGTTCCTACTCGGCCTTCTAAGGAACGCTGAGTCCAACGCCGATGCCAAGGGCCTCGACACCAGCAACTTGATCGTCAAGCACATCCAAGTCAACCAGGCCCCCAAGCAGCGAAGACGAACTTACCGAGCTCACGGTCGTGTACGTATTCCACATTTCTTTCTTCTGGCCACTAGGTTTCACAGGGCTAGAAGAAGTTTTACATAAAGGTGGTTTTGCTAATAAGCCATAACAGATCAACCCTTACATGTCGAACCCGTGCCACATTGAGCTCATCCTGACCGAAGGCGAGGAGGTTGTGCAGAAGTCCGAGTCAGTCGTCGGCCGCGAGTCGGCTCACCTGAGCTCGAGACAACGCGGTGCCCGTATCCGCAAGGCCATCACTGCCGCATAGATTCCCAAAATAAGATAACGGGGACGAGGCGGTGAAGGTAGGGGGGTGTGACGATTAATGGAGATTAAAGGTTCGGGGTTAAAGTTGCTTTCAAACTCCAGGTGTCAAGGCGGTTATCGTAAAGCATGGGTCTAGGTATTCTCTGGCATGCAACTCCGCGAAATCAAAAATCTTCGTGGATTTTCCCCCAAATAACGCGCAAAAAAGTTTCTGAACGATCATCTCTTGCGTCTTCTGTTTTTATTGTGACAAATTGCTAGCCCTCTACGTACTTCTAAACTCTTTACTGTAGTCCGTTCCCTCTATCTGTGCTCTTTGGTCCGTCAAGATTGCCAACCATCAGCCAGAAAAATAAGGTAGAATAAGATACGAAGTATATTCTAATCCAAGGCATTTGTGCTTTTATTCCTTATATGCCTCTCTTCTTAAACCACTTGTATGAAAAGGCAGATGTCCTCCTCTACTAGTAAGTAGCAAAGCTTACGAATGGCTTCCTCATTTATATCTTAGGTGAAGAATTACATTAGCGTAGTTAGACCTACTGAGGCATTCCAACTACCATCGCCTCGCTACGCTTAAAATCCCACATTTACTTGAACTACGAATTAGTATGTTATCACTTTTCAGAGGAAGCATTTCATATGGGGGTATAATCAGTCATTATTACTGAATGTATCTCATCGGGGGTCTACAAAGTATGTAGTACCCAGAGACAAGCAAAAACTAGCAAAACATCTCAAATCCGCACCGTATCTCTCAAGAAAGATGAGCCATGAGCAGTATGTCAGGCAAAAATTATAATACAAGAAGCAGTCCTCCTTATGCAAAGTAACGTTCCCCTTATGCAAAGTAGAGTCCCTCTGTCCTCGCGTCTCCAGAACAGAGACAAAAGTAACCAATCGCCCATCCCGTATGGCTCCCAAGGATCCATGACTCGTAAAAATAGTTCGTAGAACGGAAAGGGGATATGTAAAAGTAGCGAGCTCAACGCAAGTGCGCTGCTGTTGCTGCTGCTCGACGAAGTGAATACACACAAAGTATTAGTATGGCCCTCGGTTGCCAAGTGCCTTTCCGAACCTCCGATATTGTTCTTGCCGGTATGCTGTTTTGCAGCCCGGTGATGTGATGCAGAAATCAAATTTTTTTCTTCTTTCAACGCCGCCGCCGTTGATGCGCGAAGATGGAAACTGACGCCTGATCTGGTAGGTATTAATCGTCGATGTCGATGTTGACGTCGACTTTCTGTTGTGTACAGAGTATGACTAGGAAAAAACCAAAGAAATAGTTGCCGAAAAAAAGAACCTCCTGAACACCTATGTGCTGTGTGCTGTATGCTGTGGACCGTATGCCACCTGATGCGCAGATAGGTGAAGGTGGTCATGCTGAAACATAAGAAATTGAACTGGAAAACATGAAGACTGAAAGTGGAAAAGCCTGCTGTGGTCGATGCGTGAATAGTACGCAAGCTCTTGCGAGGCGGGATGTAATACATATTAAGTGTATCGTAAGTAGTTCCGAATAACCAGTTTAATTGCCATTGCCATTGTTATTCTCATCATCGCTCTCTTCCGGCGGGAGTTCATAAAGCAGATCGCTCTCGAGCTTCCTCATCTCACCATTGAGGGTCTTTTTGTCCTCGATCTCGTAATCACGATCAAAAAGTGTAGTATCAAACCTGTAAGTTTGGAGTTCCTCTTCAGGAGCAACTATCTTGAAAGGATCATCCTCGATGGTGCCACTGAAGCGACCGTAACCGGGACTAGCGATGCCGTCTTGCAAGGCAGATCGGATATGATGGACTCCGTATGCATGGAACCAGCCCGCGCGCAGTCCAAAGACGATTCGCATGGAATGCTCCTCGCGAGGATCAAGTAGTTCGCATACTCGGCCTAGATGTCTGTCGGTGTTGACCTGCATGTAATCGCCCAACAAGCGTTGTTTACGAGCATATTTTTTGGACATAGTCCGGACACTTTCTCTGAGTTCAGTCGGGTATTTCAGATTCTGAAAGCGTCTGTCAGAAACGAAACGGGTGTCCGGTAGGGATACGTAGCCGCAGGACGTGAATACAAGCTTTCGGAGCTTCAGTTCCTTTTTGATATGCAGCTGCGGCTCCATGGGGAGCAGCTCTTTGAAGACGCGCTGTCTGATTGTTGGGCCCGGTGTCAGCATGTCGATGATATGGGACCAAGAAAGGGCCAGAGGGTTTTTAATCAAGCCCGGCTGGTCTGTGGGTAGTGGGCCACTGAGGGACAAAGGCCACGGTTGGTAATCCGCATCATAATCTCTCACGCCTTTTTCTTCTCGGAAGATCGGAGGACCGGTCAGAGAAACCGTTTCCAGCTCAAGAGACACGAGTTCATGTTTCTGAGCCATAGTGTGGATGATTCGATAGAATACGTTCGGAGCGAACCAGCAGTTCTTGAGAGACAAGTGTGTAATGTGAGGGAGGATGAGAAGATTCTCAATTCCTGAACAGATCACCAGTCGATGCTTCTTCAAGAATGGCGCCGGTAAGACGTGCTTGTTTCTTTGGAGCCAGCCGGGAGCTAGCTCGCCACCACAGAGCCACTCGAAATGAAGGCGCTTGATTCCTTCCTGCCGACCGATATAATCATTGAGTAGCTTGAAGACTTCAGGCAGCGCGTCGGCAGGGTAAACCTGTCTTGACTCGTACATGGCTTCGTTGTGCATGATTATTGATCTCCAGTCAGGGACAATACCCAGAGACACTTCCCGAAGTGTAGGTACTGACGCCCACAATTCATCCAAGCACAGTAGATGTATATGGAAGCTTGAAAGACGCGCGATATTGATCTTGGTTAAGGATTCGTAAGATTTGCCGTGGTCCATCACATTCACCAAAACAGACTGCACAAGTGCTTGCTGTGCTGTAACATGTTGGTATATGAGTCTTATCTGGGTGAATGTGAGTTGATCCGGCTGCAAACGGTATTTACTGTGCTGAGAAGGAGATCGGGTGACCCGGCTCTCTCCATAACGGCTCACGGGAAGGGCAGCTCGTGGTCGCTCCTCATGGATAAATCGCTCCATGGTGGTTCCTTCGCTCGCTATGATAATATTTATCGTATTCGATATATCGCCAGGGGCAACTCCCAGAGCAGCTAGTCGCTTTTCCATCAGTTCTACCTGATAAGGCTTGCTGTATTTCGTCTGAAGAGACGGAAGAGACGTGTCTACCACCTCTCGAACCGGGTTGGGTTCGCCGAAAACTGGTTGCGGACCCGGGGGTTGCCGGGGATTGAGATCCGGACCCTGGAGATAGCCTAAACCGCCACCGACTGATATAGCGAGTTCATGGATCTGCGAGACTTGGTGCATGATATTGGTGATTCCTCTCACGCGCTCCAACGAATTGGTAATCCTTCCTAGACGTGATCCAGCACGACCACTGCCGTAACGAACGGGCCATCTGTAAATACCCCAGTCGCGGAACTCGATGACATCCTCCGCGTCAATTTGGGGAGTTGCCAGCTCTAATTCACTTAACTCGAAAGAAAATCCGAGGCGAGAGACGAACGGGGCCGCGTGGTTGAGAATGTTCGTTTTCATGATGTAGTCCGTCATGTCATCTGCTGAATCATCGTAGTTTGAGCCCACGTCGATTACCAAGTGCTGGAAGTATGCATATTGCAAGTTTCTGTAGAATTCCCGGTTGACAAGGCGCAGTGTCTTGAGAGTATCGCGCTTGGGCGGCAAGTACTCTACGATCATGCAGAATACCTCGACGGGCACGCTACCCGAAGGCCAGCCAGGCTTGTCTTTTCGAGCAAGTTAGCAACAGTACTAATCTATACACATGAAGGCTTTGAATGGTAATAGAGGTAGGTAGTAGAGATAGGTAGTAGAGATGTGTAGAGATGTATAGAGATGTATAGGGACACGTGATACGGAAGTAGGGGAAGGGGGAAGGGGGAAGAGGGCAGCATAGTTGCGCGAAAAGGCAGTGTATGCATGATATGAAACGTATTTGAAGAAAAAATGAATTATAAAAGGGATAATAGAAGATAATGATAGAAGATAATGATAGAAGATAATGATAGAAGGGAATGGTAGAAGGGAATGGTAGAAGGGAATGGTAGAAGGGAATGATAAGGATAGATGTAGTAGTGTTGAAGAAAGTGTAGGTATAGGATAGTGACAAAAAGAAATGTTACTTACAGAGAAGCGGATCCATGGTAGATCCCAGTCGTAGACTGGCACGAGTAGCTCTTTAGTTGATGTTCTAGGAAAGAGAAACTCGAATGTGCGTGTGTGGTCAATAGTTGGTAGTAACAAGATTTGTAATTGATGCCCTTGACCTGTAATACGGAGCGTGTCAGGTGTAGCTTGGGAAACTTGGGCAAAGACAGAAAAGAGTAAGAATAAGCGTAGAATCAATTTGTTGATGCGTGCTTATGAAAGAATGAAAGAAAGAAAGAAGACTCTGTTAAGGAAAGGCTAGAAGGATGTCAACAACACGTGTGGTGCGTGGTGTATGTTGTATCCTTCTGGAGTAGATCCTTCTGTTGCCAAAAGGTATGTGAAATGAAAGTGAGAGTGGGAAGGGAAGAAATTCCAAGAATGAACTGCAAAGAGTTCAGTGCTTGAAATAAGGTGGTGGCAGAAAAATTGTGCTAGTGCTGAAGGTGGTGAGATAAAAAAGGCAGGAAGGGAAAGGAAAACAGTCAGGAACAACAGAAAGAACAGAATTTAGGACGGAGGGGCTGTTGTCATGGACAGACCTTCTTGTTTCCACCTTACTCGACTGTGGTTGGTGTGAGGCAACTGACAAGGCGAGAGCAGGTGGGTAGGAACCTGAGAGGTGTTTCCTGTTTTAGATGCTAGATCCAATATATGAAGTACCCAGGTAGCAAATTAATGAGGTTTATCCCTGACCACTATAGCAGGAAAGAACTCATGGATAAAATGCTGAGCTTGTTTAAAGAATGGGAGACGAAATCAAGCAGTGGTGGGAAACAAGTACCTCGCTCTTTTAGTAACATCGCCAATGAACCAAACTTACCAGGAAGTAAAATAACAGGTACTTAGGTAGATGGTAACTGAACAGTTATTTGGCATACGGCAGTGATTTGATTCATTATTTCATATTAATATGCTCGAAACGGCGAGCATATATCGATGCCTAACTCTGATTAAAGTATTAAGAGGCTAAGCTGAGGCTTTGAGCCTCAAGCTTGGCTTACGCTAGTTATAGGAATGTATGTGCATATTGGCACGGACTTGAGAACTACTAGCTAGGTAGGAAATAAGTAAAGCGTTGCTCATTCAATGTTTCACCAATACGTCAACCCCTCTTGTCAATGCGTACAATCTTGGACTCTAATTGCTCAGATAAATAAATAGCATTGACATACCTCCCGTACAATCTTCTAAGTATGCCTAGGTCAGGGGAAAGCTATGGAGAACTGATGTAGATAAATAAGCTTTAAGGCTGATGGCCATGTTGAGGGGGTCACTATGTCGTTTATGGCATGGTAAATGGAGGCATGTACTGCGTGTAAACAGTGGACAAATTTAAAAGCCACGTTATTTTCAGGCTAGTTATGTGTAATCGAACCTATCATTCTTAAAACAATAATTACTTCTACTAGAGAATCGAGTTAGATTTCATGAATTCACTTCTTAAAGACGTAAATAATATTGTCGATCGGTTGTGCTGCAAAAGTTCAGAAGGCTCTGCCCTACAAACAGCTATACGATCGATTGTAAGTATGATATATTGTCTTTTGTTGCCTCAGCTTGTGAGTCTGGTCACAGGAATTAACAGGCGTACTTTTATGTTCTAAGCTGCAAGGTTATGAAAAACTTGATTAAGAAGAAAAATAACTTGATTAAAACTACCTAACTAACTTATATTACAAAGAATAGCACATTAAATGTCCATCGGAATTAATCTGGTGTTGTAGGAATAGGTGCGTTGCTGCCGTCGGCATTGTTGTTATCACATTTAAGATGCCGGTGCCGGTTCCGGCGCCGAGAAGGCCGGGAATTTGGGCCGGAGCCGGGGCAGTCGCGGAGGGTTGCTACCGCATGTCCCTTGGAACTGTGGAACTGTGGAGTTAAACCCGGCAACACATAAAGCGGAGCTAAGAAAACACTTCGCCAGAGCAGATGACTCACCAAGGCGAATTTTAATACCATCATGTTACCTAGGTACACAATATTATTTATTAGGTACTATTTACATACTCCAGACACCACCACTATTCATAAATGTGGCTTATACCCAACAAATCGACCAACATAACAAACATCAAGGTGAAACAGTAAAACTCGGTTATATAGAAAAGGGCTTTCGGTGTCAGAACCACAGAAAAGCAACGCTGCTAAACACGACACGTCTCCTTAAGGAAGTTCTTAATGCAGGTCGTCGGGTGAAATCAGGCGCAGGCGCAGTCGCAATTTCCAGATCTGCACCTCGCTACCGGCCAGACGTAGCAATTTTAACTGCGGGTGACTGAACTGACTTGGGTCTGTCCGTGGGCCGCCGATATGTAGTTCGCTTTCCCCCCCCAGCGGCCCACGAACGTCTGCTGCAGCGCTGCAGGTCGGGCACAGGCAGCAGAGCGTTTCCGACGCGCGTGTACCTTGCAGGAACCGCTGTTGATAATGAAACCTCATCTAGGTTCCATCTCCAGCCCGAGTCTACGTACGTCCGGTTACTGTAGAGCCTTGGAACAGCAGTCGTGGAATTCTGGGAATTGGCCACATCATAGAATTTTTATTTCTCTCCTATCCCCACATCGCAAGGGCAAAAGAGAAAAAAAAAAAAGCCCAACACACCTGAGTTATGGATCCTTCTCTCTGATGTTTGCTGGTTGTTGAGTTAGTTGGACCCTTTTTCCTCATGGGATTCCCAATCACAAACTTCCTAAAATGCCGAATTTTCCGATTCGGCCAAACCCCACTGACTGCCCACTGAGCTCAATTTTTTTTCTTTTGTTGTGCACAACTTCTGTCGTGCTGATTTAGACGAGGGGCGTGTAGCTAACATATACCTTAGCTATAATTGCCCTTTCTTTTTTACAAGACATACACGTGTAGGCCGTCGACAAGGCAAAGGGGCCAACTTATTATACATGTTTTTTTTAGAAGTTTGGCCCCCTTGTGGTATCCCTCCACTAGGGGATGCAGGCTCCGGATTCCGTAAGGCGAAATGGGCGTATTGCATCTTGCCGCGACCCCTCTCGAGAGGAGTCGCTCCGCTCTGAGAAACATATGACCCCGTGTCTAGCAATCAGCACGAGCCGGATTGGAGGATTATATGGGCTGCCGAATCCTACGGTGCTTGGCGTCGCCGTTCGGAAGTTATGGCTGGATACGGAATAATTACGTAGGCCGTTTAGGCCGTGATATTTTGCTCGAAGGAATGGCGGCCGAAAATACGTGCTGTTTCTTACGGCAGGCCGGTTAATCAGGTTTGGTAAGTTAGTAGTAGGATGAAGTAAGAACTAGTAACTTCAAAGTGCAGCATTTTAACGACTCTTGGCCTATTTAGTTATGGTGTCTTAGGCTCAAGACCCTTGATTTGCTAGGTTCATAGGATCCTAATGGTCGTGCATCTTGCTTGCAGCAATGAAGATCCCATGCTATGAGTCGTGTAACGTGAGCACTAAATAACATATCTGGAAGTACTCTTTTGAAAAGATACAACATGTATAATATAATGGGGGATGGAGGCGTATGTAGTAGTCCCCTTGTGCATAATATTAATACCGTTCCCCGCATCTAGGTAATACCATAGCAGATGGCAAATAGGATTGGTGGAACTTAGAAGCATTCAACTCCATGGACTGGCCGAATAGATCACCAATAGATCACCAAGAAACCACCAACTAGGTTAGACTGCCCACTTCGCTTTCACCGGGTGGGACGGCCCGCCGATCTAGTCTAACATCACCAGACTAACGGACCGATGTAGATGTGTAGATGGATAAGCTACTTGTGATACGTGACATGACATACATTCATACGTACATTCAAGACCATAGAATCGATATACTAGGTACTCAACTGATTCTTATGGACGACAACGCTTGCGAAAACCTCACTCGGAGTTATAACATTCTGGAATAAGAGCTCTGGGGGGGTATGAGTATGACCGAACGCCTACAAAGTAGCACAGACAGCCTCCACCTGTAAGTTAACATAGGATCCGTACATGAAACAGCAATCCAACTTTGGCCCTTCCTAGCCAATGGCTAAAACTCCATCGTGATGTAAAATCGCACAAGGGGTATATAAAGTCCATGAATTAATCAATCTTTCCCAACGAGGTTTGCAAGTTCCGTTGCCCTCCGCAAACCCAAAATTTGACGACATAAGCCACCAGTGAAGTAACAAAGTAAATGAAGCCATGAGCATAATGGCCATATATATACTGAAGAGGGTATTGCATTATAAAAGAAATCCATGTTTTTCAGCCCCACGCATCTTCGATCTCCCAAAGCTTAAGATGATCAAGCTGGCCAGAGTCTGAATAGCGTCTAGCAGGAAGATCTGTCCTTGGGTTAATGGATGCCGAACTACGATCTTCGTATACGCCATCGAACTGAGCCGGCGGTAGATTGGCAGCCTGATCTTTCCACCACAGGTGGAGGACATCCTGCTGCCATCTATTGGTATCGCGGACCCTGAGACGGGAATGGAAAGTAGACCACAAAAGCTCGGCCTCCATGGGCGATAAATGAAGCTTATGAAGCAACCAGCGATTAATATAGCCCCTTTTGTCAACATCTCCAGCCTCTTCAAGTAAAGAATGGATGTTGACCTCGCGGGCCGCATCATTAACATGCTTTTGACGGGATGGCATTCCCGGGGGAAGTGATAGGGCGAGTCGGAGCGACTGTTGAGCTGTCATGGGGAATGCCTCTAGCAAGTGCGTAGGATTTGACAGTAGTTTGGGGAACACCGAATGCGCCAGGGTCTTAGGTTGCCCTCTCGCGTGCGTGTCGAACGGGACATCATCTAGCTGAATATCGTCCTTAAGGATGGGATTGACTCCAAACCCTTCCTCCTGGAAAGGTGTGTTCTTGGGCATTACTCTCTTTTCGCGGCATTCGTTCTCCAATCTTATAACATCTTTCGTGAAACGATCGATATCAAACCGAGCCTTCCGCTCCAACTTGTCGTAATCCATTAGCATTTCAATATCGTCTTCCGACATTACTCCCGATCGCTTGAGTTCGAGAGCTCGGTTCTTCCCCGCATCCCCGTACTTCTCCAGCAGCTCGATACTATCAGGAGATAACAAATGAGACTTTCCTGCACTCAGGGCTTTCCTTTTCATTTGGGTATTTACTAGAAGCTCCTTGGCTAACTGTATGTTCCGAGAAGCCTCTCGAAGATCTTCAAATAGAGGATGTATATCCTCCGGGCGATCACCAGTGATTCCTCGCAGTGCTGAGACCTCCGAGGTCACCGAACAGCTTTCATCATCAGTCTCGTCATCAGTTTCATCTACGCCCGCCGCGACGGTATAGAACCTTCGCTCTTCTAACTCCAACTCTACTTCGCCATGCTGGAGTTCATCCAACATGTCGTCGAAGCGTTGTTCTGCTTCCTGACACCTGAGCTGGGCATCTTGCATATCCTTGAAGAGATGATCTAGCTCTGGATTATTAGGAAGTATAGCCTGCACGGCAGTCATAAAGGCGAGGCTAGTTTCATCCTTCATGTGGCGTAGATCTTGAACTTGGACTCGTTTCAGATGAATGCTGTCGAACATTTCCCATAGATTAGTCCTCCGGTCTCTGAGCCTCGAGTAGTGTTCCGTTAGGCGTCGGAGACCGCGAGAAGCATGGCCGGACACGTTGTCCTGATCATCGTCCTCATCCTCAGAAGAAGAATCAGCCAGTCCAGTCTCATCTTCCTCGTAGTCGCTCTCCTCACTCTCTGCTCCAAACCCCTTCCAACTGTACGGCTTAGGCTTAGGGCCCCTGGCGTCAGGAAAACCTATCCGTCCCGATATATTGTCGTGGATTCCATGTGGAAGTGGTCGTAGTTGCCGACTCGATGGCACACGGAGGAGGTCCGGCCGATTTTGCGAGTCCAGCGGATAGTTGACACGGAGAGCGTCGGAGATGAGAGACCTCCTATGGATTTGGGAAGGTATAGACGGTGACTTCACACGTCGAAAGCGAGAAGAAGGTGAGTGAGATTTGCTTAGGTTATGTTGCCGGCGGTTTAAGCCGGTTCCCTCCGCAGCGGCGATGGTTGCTGCTAGCTTCTGTGGCAAACTCTTGGAGATGCTAGAGGACGAATTTACGGAGGGTAGAACAGGGGGGAAATGTGGTCGGCGGGCGATGCGGGCATGCGAAGTATCAGACGTGACGGACGAATCGTCATTGTCGTCTTCGGAATCAGTCCAACCTTCGGACCCGGTTGTTAGGGTACGGGATAAATCTAAGGGTATGTCCTCGGCCGACATGATAGATAATTGACTACTAGATTCAGTGGAGGGGTCGTATAATACGTCATGATGGCGGTCATATTCGAGGGGACGAGGTTCGAAGCTTTCGAGAAGAGCCAAAGGATCATCAGCCAAATTTACATGACGATGGGCGACGCTAGTAGCCATTCAGGACGTTTCAACTGTGAATTCCGTAGCAGCATCGTAAAGGGAAAGAAATGGATACGTTATTCTTTTTTCTTTCTTCTTTCTTTATTTGTTTTTCTGGAGACAAGGCTGTTGTTATTTCCTATGGACCAGGGACCAAAAGAATCGATAGGTGAGCAGGTGACGCGGAAGTGATGCGAGAGGGTGTTTTGATGCAGATTGACAATAGGTAAGGCCAAAAAAAAAGGAAAAGAAAACACGAAGGCTAGATTCGAGGCCAGTTACACAAAGCCCACCCCCCTAGCACGGCGGCGTAAGTAACTTGAAGTATCAACTATTCGTGGCCGTTGCAGCTATTGGGCTTTATTTAGGGAAGATTTAGCACGTGGCGCTAAGGCTTGTCGGAACTTATTCAACTTGTATCCCACCCTTGGGGCCTATTCTAGCATCTTACCTGCCTGGGCCTGTCTAAAAAGCCACCTAACTAGACTGGTAGTATCTCCCGACTCCGGCTCCCCCGGGCGGGACCCTCAGAACCTTAGCGTAGACCCACCCACCACAGCGATCAATTGAAAATACCCTTACCCTTAACCTTTAACCCTTAGTCTCTGTCCTTCCCCTCCCCTCCCCCTAGCTTGCCCTATCTGCCCTACGATCAAATGTCTTATTGAATTATTGAATTTAATGTAGTTTCCTTATCTACCTAATATGTGGGTAGGTGCATTGGAGTTAATCAGGATAGATAATTAACAATTACTAACTATATAAAGTTATAGTAGTCGCTATACCTTTTATAGATTAATAAGTTAATAAAAGTGGTAAAAAAAAGATTGGAGCTATCAAACTTCTACTTTACACGTGCATGTTTTTCTCCAACCCTCCAGCCGTCCTGCCGTCTAAAGCATCTAAGCGCTTAAACATCGTGAACAAGCGAAATAGTTGGGAAAACACTATGAAGCAACCCCCCCGTCTCATAACATGACGAGGCTCTCAACATCCACGAACGATTGTCCATGTCTGATGACATATTATAGCTTGTACACAAGATGAGCAGTACTTTAAACAGAGCCTCATCTTGTCATCCTAGATGCATCTGCCCGATTTCTCCTCACGCACCCCTCCGGTCCTCGCACACACCCTAACTCCTCTAACTCATCTGTTAGTGGTCATTGGTTAGTGGGGGGTGTCGTTTAGAATATGGAGACTTCTGCATTGCTACAATACATGGCCTAGTTGTTTGGCTAGGCCGTTTGCGGCTGCTACAACGTATTCGACAACGTACCCTACAACGTACTCTTGCAGTAGTGTTAGTGGACATCCCAAGTGGCATTCTAAGTTACGCCAAGTGGCTGCCGCTTGATGGTCCACGATTCCTCTATTTGCTCCCTTTTGTCAGGCTGCAGAGGTTTAGAACTCCCCTCCCCTTGTCGAAAAACGAAAAGTAAAACGGACCCTAGGATACTTACCCTGGGAAGACCCAGACTCCCGCTCGCTCGCACTCCCGCTCTACTTGCTCCTCTTTACTCCTCTTACTTTCTCGATAATAGAAAGTAACAAGAAACTCCCAGACCGGAGAAGAATAGGCGAGTATAGGTGGGCCGGCCCGCCAAGGGAGTGAGAATTGGAAATTCCCAAAAAGTTGATAAGAACGCACCACACCCCCTCTCCATTTTCCACCATGCCTTACTAGTCCTTTTTTTTATGAATACTGTTGTTTATGTCGCTTTCCGTCGCGACAGTATGTCTCGGGTTTCTTTTGTGTCCCCGTTCTGATAATTAACCGCTTAATTCGGCCGTCCGCTTCTGTTACCTTTCTCTATCCTCGTCCCGCGTCCCCGTCCTATCCTCGATGCGGGCACACTCTCACTTACATCTGAATGTCCCTCTCCTCTCCGGAGAGCCCTGAGGGAAACTCCTCCGTCCGTTATACAAACGCCGAGGTTGCAGCCACTACCATCCCCTTTGATGATTGGCTGCCCACTCTCATGCCTACATGATAGTCTTTGCCTACCTAGGCCTTACAAGCTTCCAATTCTAGTTCACCTACGATCCCTGGCCAGTTCGTCTTCTCATTCCCACATTGTCGACGCTATTTGATTCCTACGAGAGCACTGCATCTTTTTCTTTTGCCGCGAAGCTGTCACGGCCAATGACCTTTAACCGACTTTATCACGAGACATAAAGTGTGACTTCGAGCCGTCAAATCAGATAGATTTCTTCTGTCCTTAAGAGACATTTGACGTGCTGGCGTAGTGTTCACCAAAAACTGTCCCACACTCTTGGCTGTCTTCTCGACCGAAGCCATCCTTATAACGGTCTAGGGTTATTCTTTTAAGACGAGAGAACGTATCAGTGACAGAGCCGCATAGCTGATTTAAGGCTCAGTTTGCGTCGGCTTCGTCTCCTCTTCCCCGATTTGCTCGTGATTGCTTCCTCTGCCCACGACTTAGACATTGCGCATATTTCTTTGCCTGTTGACATTTCCCATGAGAAGTAAAAATACAAAATGTCACAATGCAAAAGCAGAAACATAAGCAAAAGTCGTCGCGCCCTTGGAGCGAACCCAAGTGGCACGACCAATATCAGCAATGGTATTCGGAACGAGTAGGCCGGCATGGTACGTTTTATGGTATCCTGCGAATTCCCGGCCTGGTTTGTGCTAACGAACCATTCATCAGGAACCATAGAGTATAATTGGATTGGGCCAACCCTCCCTAACGCTCCTGACCAAAGTATCCCACGGTCTGACGCTATTAACAACCTGGTTGACAACCTGGCTGTAGAGGTCGGTCATCTTAGTGTCGACCAAGGTATATACGACCAAGGCCAGTATCCTGATTATGGGGGCCACCATGCCACCACCATCGATCACGCTAGCTATACACACGATGCACGCCAGCCCCAAGATTCTAATTACCTTGATCATGTGCAGACGCAGCAGCAAAGCAGCAAAGGAAAGGGAAAATCTCTTGAAGTTGAGCAGCTTGCGGATTATGGCAGTTCCTCGGTGGATAGCAACCAACCACAAGTTACCCGTGGAGTACAACTGGCAATGGGTGACTACAGCCAAGGAACGCGCCCCCAATGTAAGATGCAATCATTACGAGCCGACCACGAGAGGCTAATGATTTTAGATACCGGTTCAGATTATTTAAGTGCTGAAACTATCGTAGCTGGTACAGCCGGAAATGTTTCAGAACCACAAGTGAATCGTTACGACGAATCCGAGGAAAACCAGGTTTTTAACGACGACGAATATCAGGAAGCTATCCGCAGGAGCCGCAGCGAGTATTACGGAACTCAAAAAGCAGGCGAACCATCTTACTCGACGCCAGTGGCAGAAGCAGCCACATCATCATCCTGGCCTACTGCCGTTGACCCTAATGCATACGAATTAAGTCCGTACCACGTCAAACTCTAGCTGACACAGTGGCTGATACTTCCAAGCAGATCCATCCCTAGTAAACGGAGACGACCTACCAACACCCCGTGGTGGTTCGCCAGTTTCGGGTCCTATGATCCCATCAACTCTATCTTACGCCAATTACATTCAGGGAACACCAGGAATGGAAGAAATCCTAGATAGCCGTAAGCCCACTTTCAGACTTTCAATTTTTCATATTTGACTAAGTAGACAATAGGATACAGAGTAGAACATTCAGCGCGGTTTCAACCAGGCGAGGTAAGTAGTGCCCTTTTTTTCATGTTTATTGAAGATGGGACAATAGCTAAATGTGTCGTATAGGTGTTCAAGATTCTTTGGTCAGAACCTCTCGGCCAAATCGGTGGCGACGACCCAATTTCCGATGTAACGAAAAGAAGGACCGCGGCTGGTAGTAAATTCTATGTTGGTTTTCGTAGGTTCATCATTGTCACAACGGACGAGAGCCATCATAGCACTTGCGTGTAAGTTATCCCACCCCCTTTTATGTTTCAACCTACTCACAGCAATAGGCCAATCCTAACGTACGACCGAAGAGGATGTCTAAAGAAAGGCGTTAGACCTAGCAAACATGGAATAATATACATGGCAGGGAGTAAGCCTAGACTTTTAAAGAATGAACCCGAACTTGGCTTCACCCCCGTAGCACTTCAGGTCTACGCGGAAGGCGAGAAACTTGCCAAGGAATCTCGAGTCAACTACTCCAAGTTAGTCACTATTGAGCACAACGTCAAGGTCTTTTTCATCGGCTCGATTACCGGAGAAGATTTCGAAAATGTCAGCTATGCTGTTGACGTGTGCTGGGATAAGAAGATGCGTCTATCGAAAAAGTCGAGGAGGTAAATCCGCTTCGCACCTAACAAACTATACGTTCATCCACGGCCTAGGCCACCATGGTATTGAACGGCACCACCCTATACATACGTTTTACACAATCTACCCCATGGCTTTATTGCCTATAACTAGCGTTCACCGACTTGGAGATCGGTAATATTATAACAAATTACGTTTCACTTCCAACGGCGACCCGTTGCCACCACATTTTTAGCGAGATTTCCACGATATAGATATTGGAAAAACAGCACACTGGTACGCAAGGACCAACAACTATTAATAGTTAGCATCCTGCTTCCGTTTCTACTATGCAGCACCGTCCACTAAGACAGCATATAACATGGCATACCGGGGTTTTCAAAAATTGGGGGGTGGCAGAATGACGCATGAATCTAAGGAATTATCATGACATTACGACTACATGTCTTACGAATTAACCAAAAGACAGACGGGGCGCAGGATACTAACTTGCAAACCCGATTTTTTTCTCCTCTTTTTTTATACTACTTAGCTTTCTGCATCTATCGTTGACACATTTTTGGCTTGCTTGGATTAGGGGTTACCACTAATAGTCCATCATCTACTCGAGAAAATACAATTCCCAGCTTTCATTTTACCATGTTGCTTTCGTACCGTATTTATCTACCTAGGTAGGTATCTATCCGTGCAGGTTTTCTGTCGTATACCTATGGATATAGACGTAAAGTCTAGCTAGAATATCCGTCGTTTTTATTTCATTCTGTCATTGCAAAACATGTATATGAGAAACTACCTAACCTAAGGGAATAGGGTTTGTATTTTGCCGTTGTCTATCTTGGCGTGTGCTCTGTATAATACATGGCAGGTATGTCAAGCGAGTAAAACCCGACAAATCAAAGCACGTGCAAATCTATTCGGCCATCGTCTTCGTTCATGTTCTGTATATTTAACAATTGTGCTCGACCTTATGCTATCTAATTACATGAATACCGCCGAAACAGTCCAAACCTCCAAGCACACACCCTCAAACCAAGAAACGCCATTGGTGCCATTTACTTGAAAGTCGCAGGGGTGTTTATTGCTCTGAGATACTCCGTCGGCATCGTTCCATACAGTTCGTATTTCATCCATCCGGCCACCCTCTTCCACTCCATTTGTGACTTATGCTCTTGAAAGGAGAAGTAATAACAATTATTCGTAACCGTGAACCCGCAACCGCCGGAGTAAAGAGGAAAAGAAATAAATCAATGTCGTCAATATGGATCTATCTCCTCCCCTAGCCTGGTTTTTTACATGACGAAGAACCAGAAGCCATGTTAAACGGCAACGATATCCTTCCTTTACCACCAGCCTTCATCATTTGCCTTGCACCACCAGTTGCAAACCGGATGAAATTAACAATCATGTACCTTAACTCATCCCCTATTCCTCATTTCCCTATCCCGACCCTTATCCGTATCAACCATCCCCCTTATCCACATGCTCATTCACCGCCTACTCTCTCCGCTGCCCTCTCGACTCACGCTTCTTCTTCTTCTTGTCTTTATCCTTGTTCTCCGCATAATCCCTGACATCTGTACCGCTTACCGTGCTAGGCGACAAGCCGGGGATAACATGGTGGTACGACTTAGTTCCCGTATCGGCGCTCTCGGCGCTGACCTCGCTGGGAACCCACCCGCTCGGCGGCGGCAGGAACCGACCGCTCACACTGCTCTCAGCCATTTCCCTCGGCTCCTCCTCGATCGTGCTCGCTCGCACCCCCGATGACACCGCGCTCTGCGGACCCGCTCGAGCGCGCTGGAAACTATAATCACGCTTCACGCCGCTGCCGCTAGCACTACCGCTGGCACGGCTCTCCTCGCGCAAGCGTCGGGCCTCAGCGCGTTTCTCACGATCTGCATTACGATCCGCAGTGCTGTATACCTTGCGAATACCGCCGCTCTTATGTCGTCCGCTGTCAGCCGTGGTCTCGCTAGCGCCGCTATGCTTGCTGTGCCGATTGCTATGGAGGTCACTACCCGCCGTCGAGCTTTCGGGGTTCGTCGAGCCGTCCCAGGTGCTGCCTTCGCTTTCCTTGTTGATGCCACCGACGCGGGCAGCCTTCTCGTTGCGGTATGCGCGTAGCTGATCCTTTGCTTCGGCCTCGGCTTGTTCGTCAACTAGGACGCCGTCTTCGCCGACGCGACGGCCGGCCTTCTCGCGGTTCCGGCGGTCCTTTTTCTTCTCGCGCTCGCGGTCTTTGCGTTCGCGTTTCTGGCGACGGCGTTCGCGCGCAGAGAGGTCGGAGGCGCCTGCTGTGATTCCGGTGAGTGTGCTTCCCGTGTCGCCTGAGATCTGCGTTAGACCGCCCGTGTACTCGGTGCGGCCGTCGTCGACGTCTTTGTACACAGAGCCGCCGCCGAGTTGAGTGGTGGGGGTAGCGTTAGATAAGATAGTGCCGTTGGGGCCCTTGCGGCGGAGAACAGTGGACTTGTAGTCATCCCAATCATCTTCCTTGAAATAGAAGCCACCGTTCTTAGCCCAGAAGAAAAACCAGATGCCGGTGCACACGAAGGCGGCACCAATGAGACCGAATAGCACGAACACGAATGTATTGTTGATATCTTGAGGCCGCACGGCACCCTTGTGCGGGTCGACCTTCTGCTCGCCATTATCGTCACCGTCTCGTGCTAATAGAATTGAACGGGCAGCTAGGGGCCCTAGTTGTTGTAGAGCATCCGTTGGAGAGCTGGGGATGTTGGTCGTCGAGCGGGAGGCGAGGTCGTTCGCTGTGCTCCGAGCTGCGGATAACAAGCTACGCGCGTGTGCCGCTAGACTTGGCAGTAGAGGTGCCATCTTCGTGGCTTATGAAAGTGTCGAATAAACGACGTTATTATTTCTGGTTGGAATGGGAAGTAGAATTGGTGAAACTAATGACTCGGCTGGTATTCTACTGGGAGAACCAGCCAAGCTGATGTTGGAAAGGTGTCTTGATTGAACCCACCCTCGTTACAATCTGGAATGCACGAGGTGAGAATTGCTGGAAGTGTTGTTGACAGGTGCTCGCTCATGCACCTTGTTGACGTTACGTTGTGAGCGGTTGTTTTTGGTGAGTAAGGAAAGAAAGAAAAAGGTAAATGTTGCACGGTTACAACGAGGCGGTTGTCCGGTGGTTTCTATGGCTGACAGCGTGGTTTCGGAAATGTGTGGCTGGGGCAACTGGGGGGGAGGTTGGTAGAATGATGTCAAAAGTCAACAACTTGGAATTGACCCAGCAACAAGTGGGTCTATTGCCAACACACTTATCGGTTGTTATCGATAATTGATAAGATCCTTGGATTATTAAAGAAGTTAAAGAAGTACCTACCTGTGTACCTAATTTATCCCAAAGAGGATAGTGGGGTTCTCTTCCCACTTTAGGCCACTTAAGGTCATTTAAGCTCCCGAAGCTGATCGCAAATCGCAACAGAGCTGAAGTTTGCCCAATGCTTATTCGTGCGTACCTTTCTGTTGGGTATTATTGTCCTATCCCCATTACATCTACATTACAAGAACTACACGGAACAATTCCACGCGTCGATTGGTGAAGCGTCTGCCGATTTCTTCGTCTAAAGGTACACCTGTTAGCGCCCGAGTCAGCTACCAACCGTACGGCTAGAATAGATTAAAGGGTCCAGTTCATGCGAATATTAGAACCCCGAATCTCTCCGTACGCTCTTGATAAAACCCAATCGGTATCGCTAACCGCTCAAAAGGCATCAGCGAATAAACTTATTGCGGCCCGCCGTCCCTCTCGCTACCTATTAGGCAGTATGTTGTAGGTAGTACTTCGTATATATATTTCGTACATATATTATAGGTATATATGTAGTAAGCTCCGTACGACAATGGAAAGGGAGAGACGTCACGTTTCAGATTCGCCTGAGCCAAGAGAACAGCAGCAACAGATTAATCGATAGCTAAAGCCAGTCGATCGACTTAGTGAACATCATAGCATCATCGTTGTCGCTAAGCGCTGAATCCCGATACCCATTAGCCTGGATATTGTCCCAGGAGCTCGGAACCGGCGGCCAGCTAGGTCTGGTTCTTTGCTATATTTATCAATCGCCCTTCAAGGGGACTATGTATGGCATAATAGGTGTCAAGGTGTGTTTCCTTTTTCGGTCACTATTTCAGGCCTTTGTAGATCATACGGAGCTTTATTACGGTGCTATCGAGAATTCCGTTTTTTGAGTAAAGGAGTAAGGGGTAGATAGATACCTTGATACCCTAATACTACACAATTCCTAAACTCCCCAACTCCCCATCTTGAGCTTGAATCCTGTAAGACTCCCCCATAAATGCCAAATTACCCCAGTCATCCTATAGGTCCTTCGGTAAGAATACATATAACCCAAAGACTCTATTATACTTAAGGACTTTATGCATAGTATTATCGTGAACAGCACGTAAACCCGACTTCGAGATCGACATAGTTAAGTCAGCATCTCCAATCCGAGGAAAGGATATGAAACAAGCCAACCCCAATCCCACAATTCCTCTGGACCGACAGGCCGATAAGTCAGACCCCTATGTATGTATGTAGGTATGTATGTATGTCAGCTATTCGTCATTCAGCTACGATCATAATAATACTCGCGCGACTAGCTGCCGTATTCGATAAGGCGTCATTTTATGTATCATTGTCGGACAACAATAATACCTCAAGCTAATATCGCCCCGACTGGCTGACTGGTTGACTGGCTAGTACATAGCGAGCGAGCTCGGTTAGTTCGATTCTGCACTAGAGTACATATATATACATACATTATACATACATTACATATGTAAATGCAAAAAGACGTGGCACAATCTACGTGGGGAAACGGGGAAACCCTGCCAACCTGCATTCCGCGGGACCTTCGAGATGATGGGCTTACGGAGTACGGACGACTCCCTTGTGTGACAATGGTGTCGTCAGTCCCTTACGCACGGCGGGATGGGACATATTTGCACTTGATTACACGGATTACATGGGTATACACTATAGACTAAGCTGCACAAGTGACGAAATCTTTAAGACATAATTCCTTCATTAAGCAAAAAGAAAAGGGAATATCCAACATGACCCGCGTAAGCTACCTCGAAATCATCCACGTACATACGTATCTATACATAGATCAATAATTAATGGACATTCCGATCAAGTCCCAAAGGCCATCCCAGGTCGTGCGATCGTGACGAATCCCTCCGCGTGTCGGCCGTCCACCAGTCAAACCCCAAACCATGCGAGCTACCACGAGGGCCCAGGCGGATCGACCGTCCTTGTGCTCCTCGCACCAAATCCCAGTGATAGCAGGCCAGGCCACACAGGGTACAAACTAACTCCTGGCCCTCTCGAGTCGACCCATCCATCCAATTGAAAACAACTCCGTACCGAAGGAAGACAACAACAAAAATCCTCCCTCGGCGCGCTTTGCAAAATCATAAACGTCCCGCTGACAGCAGAAGTGCGAACTTCGTTTTGCCCAACGGATTAAATCTATCAGTCCAACTCTTACTCCATGTGAATGCGAATGGCTTGGCTTCGAAAGCGCAAAAGGTATCGCACAACAGCATGGCACGGCCAGTTCCTGCGAAAATAAAAAGACAAAAATAGAACATCGTCCCCCTATTCCCCGATTGGCTTGAAAGGATTAAAGTGGATGTGAGGTTAGAGCCCAAGTTAGAGCCCGCTCGATGTACCTCACAGCCACCTACACATCCTCCCACCATCCAAATAAATCCCTAGTCCATGACCCGACTATCATTCCACCTCATCCGCTCGTAGATTCGTGTACACTGTTAAAAATCCACCGACCGCTGGGAATCTGGTAAGGGAACATATGCTTGTGCTTCCATTCCGCGGGCCTTTTATGATCCATTTTCGGGTATCCATAGTTTTCTGAACCCCCTTTAAGGTAACAAGTATTCAGGCCAAAGGTATATGATAGGATATAGCAGAATAAAAAGTCGAAAGGTTGAATAATGTATTCAAATGCCCAAATGCAAATAGTAAAAACAGAATAGGTAGATCGCTGCCCAGTAAAACAAAACCAAAGCGTAAAATTCATAGATTCCTTCAATTTAGCGACTTGGCATTAAGAAGAATACTCGCTATCATCATCATCATCGTGGTAAGCCAAGTAGGGAGCTGGGTACTGAGAATTGTAGTAGTCATCGTAGTGATAGGAAGACGGCGGAGCATAAGAAGACGGGGGGGCATATACAGGCGGCGGAGCGTGGCGTGTACGGGAGTATGATCCGGCCTGTGAACTAGCCCGAGTTCGCGCCACTGATCGATCCGCCCGACTCTTCCGGTCATCGCCGTAAGTAGAAGCTGGGGGGTCGCTACCTCCCGCGCGGGAGGTTCCATTACCACGGCCAATGTTGATATCGCCACCGTCCTTGCAATGGATCTTAGTATTTCCGACTTCGATAACGGCACCCATAGGGAGTTTGATCGTGATATCATCATCTCCACTGCTCGATCTTGTCGTTCGTGTTGTTGCAGATTGCTTATAATCGCTCTCGTCACGGCTTGCACTGCTCCGAGTTGAGTGGCTGCTGCCATCATTCTTCACACGACGCAAGGCCTCGGCTGTCAATGGCGGTCCACCTCCTCCACTGACGTCTTCTTGATATCGAGAAGCGTCACGTACCTTGTCCTCAAAGTTGTAGAATGAGTTTCGTCGGCCACGCGGTGCTTGTTCCATGTCGTATGAAGGATCAACGTCGAAGACCGACTCTGCATCGAAGCTCTGGTGTCTCTGTCGAGAAAAGGAAGGGAGAGCACCAGAACCGTATTCTACTTCACGCCGTGCCACGGCTTTATACATAGCAGGATCGGCGTCAACGAGTTCGTCGTCTTCAAACCCGACAGACTTTCTCCTTGAAGCTGTGTGGGAAGGTGGTGGCGGGCGGAATACCAATCGTTCTCGAGGTGGTTGTGTAGAAACTGGACGTGGAGGGGGTGGCATCCGGTCTCTCTCGTCGTGGTTCTTGCTAACCTTCCTTGATACAGACGTCCTTCTTGTGAGGGCCTTCTCTTTCGATGGCTCGTACTCGGACGGTGGAGGCGGGGGCTGAAATCCCATAGCCGATTGAGGACGACGGAATCGCGATGCCAAATCTCTGTTGGGAGGGTTCAATTCCGAGTATGTGGGAGAAGGAATGGGTTGATGGACTAGTGCATGCCCCATTGGAGGCGGTGGTCCAGCCATCCATGGAGGCACAAATGGTGGTGGAGGTCCCATATGCGCAGAGTGCGGCGGCGGCGGTTGATGAGCGTATGCCGATGTTGATAGGGGTGGTCGTTGGCCATAGTAAGACTCAGGTCTAGTACGAGCCCGTGGTCTGGAGGCGGCAACGGTCTGCTGAGGATGAATTCCGTAATAAGACGACTCATCAGAAATTCGGGATGGGGCTGACGGAGCGGTCTTGTGCGAACGGGGAGCAGGACGCTGCTGCTTGACAATAGGGTCTCGTTTCTTATCTCCCTTCATCTTGCTGGATCTAGAGTCTCTCTTGGAGACGATAGGAGGTTCGGTAGTGTCAGAATCTGAAAAAGAAGGAGTAGGTGATCTTTCTCTCCTCGTCGAATCTTTGCGTGATCTACCGGTGTTAGGTTTTTCTTTAGAAGGACTGCTCGGAGTGGAGCGGGCGTATTTAGGTTCAGAGCCGGGGATGAGATGTCCGTCGTCGTCCGCCTCCTCAAAGTATGCAACAGAAGGAGTTGACTTCTTCGCCATGCCGAGGGCTTGCGTGCCTGATAAGTGAATCCAGTCACTGAATCAGGAATGGCGGAGCTGTCCTGCTACCCAACGAAGTGGGTTTCCGAATGCGTGGCAGTTGTCCTATGCACTAGCCGTACAGTGCTGATAATGGTGGACGAGTGACTTGGAAGAATTAGAAAGGAAAAGTGGTATGTAGGTATGTATGTAAGATATGGGAGGCAGGCTAGATGAATGGGGTCAGGATCAAGTGGGGACCTGCGAACAGACGTTGCGGGCGAGACTTGTAGCGTCAGAAAGTCGGGATGGAGTCGATCATGTAATATGATTGAAGGAGATAAAAATTGATCGGTTTGGGAAAAAAGAAATGTGGTCTTCGACTGAGTGACGCAGGGTTAAGAGAACCACAATATCCCGCAGGAAGTAAGGAGACGTGTTGACTGTTGTTTTTTTTCTCTTCTTCTATTTATTCCTTTTTGGTTTTCCCTTCCTTATTTTTTTCTTCCCTTATTATTTTTATTGGAAGATGAAGAAGAATCGGGGATGCTGCATGAGGAAAACGGAAAACGGAAAAGTGGAAGGGTGTTGCCGGGTTGATGAGGAGAAACTCACAGGTACTTAAGGGGTGCCTTCTTTTTTAACAAAGTACCTCGTTATGCAAGTAGGTACATGCAACCAGCGACTGCCCTGTCTCTTTTTTTGCACTCACTTAAGCTATTGGCTATGAGTTTGAGTTGTGTGGTTAGGTACTGTCTTATACATACAATATAACACGTACACGTATTATACTGTCGTACAGATATGTACGCTGGAGGTCGGCAGGTGGATATCTGCAGATATATGTATGTAATGTGGAGAGACACGGAGTAAGAGAGAGAGCAAAGCCACACCACCTATGCCGATAAATGTACAAATAGGTAGTTTTTTTTCTTCTTTCTACTTGTACTTGCTTGTCGTAAAGATAGCTATGGTAGCTATGGTAGCTATAGTAACAGCTAATGAGAAAAAGATGGATGACGACGACGGAGGAACGGGAGATGAGGAAAGAAAAGTATTGGAGTATCGGTATATGTCGTATGTCAAATATGTCCAATATGTAAATTGTGGTAACTCTCTTTGGTCAGGCTCGTGGTTTGTGGTTTTTAAGGTGGCACCGACCGTAGGATTGAACAGGGAAGACCGATGTCCCCTCGAACAACGAGGGGTCCTGGTGGTCCTAGTGGTCCTAGTGGTCCCGGTAGCGACGTTTTTATCGATACGGTAATATCGATAGCCGAAAACTGGGGAATACCTTTTTTTATATTCCTTCCCTTTTCCCTTTCCCACACAACTCTTATTTTTCTTTTCGTTGAGTGCTTACAGAAAAATAGAAGGGTAAAATTGGGCTTGGCGGCTTATTACGCAAAGCCACACCCCTGGGGTTTTTCGTCAGAAGGAAGACTTCCAGCCGGATACGGAGTTTAGAATCCTTGAAGTTTTTTAATGCTCCCAGCAAAGTAAAAAATAAAAAATAAAAAAACGGGCAGCGGTACCCAACGGTGGGTCAAATTCCCGCAAGGCGGCAGAGATTCCCACAAAAAAAGGATCTCTTGATCAGGATGTTCGATGTTCCTGAACGACAGTGGCCTATTGACGTGCCGCCTCGTTGAACCAATGGCTATCGTTCGTTCTCTCTTATAATAAAGATTTTATGGTAAAGTCTTGTGGAGGCAAGGCCGCCCCTCCAGGTCTTTGGGATTTCTCTAGTTGTTTCGTTTTCTTGCAAACGCTTACAGTCTGTCCCGAATGTAGTTGCCGGCCTATAATTTTCCCTTATAGGGAGATTTGTAGGATCGATTGGTGCTAATAGTCAATGTCGCCAATCTACCCAATGGATCCTAGGAGTGTAGATCATATTATCCCGCAATGGCTTTTCCGTTGGTTGTGGCTGTCTCCAGATCGACGTCGCAACCGGACCAGTGGCGACGTTAGGGATGAAAATGAACGATAATTGGAATGGAAAGCCCGTGGAAAGGAATTAGAATAAAAACAACATCCGTCTTAGAGCGCCCGGGAGGCGAAAGGGACAACCAAAACAGGCAGTTTTACTGGTAGAGGTAAGACGCGGTGCTGTTAATCTGTCTAATCGGGTGTCGAGTTTAATGCCCGATTGTATATCTCGCGCTTTTGGGTACCAATAGGGCCGCCGAAAAGTTTGATAGAAAAATAATTTAGGCGGGTTAAAGGGTGGGCTTTTTTTTCTTCCTTTCCTCAACTAGCGAATTGTCTCCTTACTGAATTATCCCCAATTCTATTTACTCTTACATACTACCTAACTTATTTGTTCGTATATCGTTTCAACGCTAGCTTGGAAATAAGCAATAGGCAGACATTTCTGAGACAGTGAGTAGTGTGAATATGATGATGACGACGAGCGCCCATTTTGTGAGTTTTCGCGTAATGCTATTTGCTAGCAGGCAGACGGCAAAGAAGCAGAGAGGCAGGGAGGTGCAGGCAGAAACGGGGATGCCAACGCGCCAACGCACCATGGCTGCCATTCCGAATCTGAAGGACCGAAAAAATATAACATGTCATTGGACTGGTCCCATCACCCTATGCAGGACGTAGGGTGCATTGCATAAGTTAAGATGTCAGCATCGGCTTCCCATAGGACTAATCTACCTGTGTAGTTCGAACTACTACATTGTTTTCGCCAACCAGTCGGCCACGGTGGGAGGAATTATCGTGTACCTCGTTATTCTCTCCATCACTTTCTATTGTTTATACTGTTTAATATATACATATGTAGGTAAGGTAAGTATGTAGTCTCTTGACTCCGGACGTATACTTTCGATGCAACATTTCCAAATCAAGATAACATTACGCCATCGAGCATAAATTTTAAAACCGCTGGGCTCTTGAGGCTGGATGAATCCCAACCTAATGTCTTCAGTGTCGGTGGCCCTTACCCAGGAACTGAGATCTTATCGCCGAGTTACCACTTGGTTTGCGGCGCACCACGTTTTTTATACTAATATCTAACCTAGTATCCTATATAGATAGGTAACTTATTGAGCCGACGTATATGCATAGCGATTGGTGCATCTAAAAGGATGGGAGTACTTAGATGGTCCTAGTGTATGTGGCGAGAAGTTTGTAATTTGAGGCACTATTTGATGTTTCATTGATACCTATATCATACTCCTATAAGAAACCATCTCGAGTACTTAGATATATGAGCGATAAGCTTACCTTTATCAACTGCCATTCTCAGGTGTTGCAAAAACGGGCAGTCTCGGAGCTATACGATGCCTCGGGTAGAGGAAATACTCAAGTGAGAACGTCGATCCTTTCAAATCAAGGCGAAGAAGGGGGCAAAAAATCTCATGTTCATCCAGTACATGCAAGTTGATTGGTTCCAGATAGATTCTAGTACCTGTGTATTCTGGACCTCCCGCATCGTGAACATCTCTAGTCTGAGACTGTGCCAACGACATATCATTCAACTACCTACATAGACTAAGCTCTATCGGCACACACATATATCCGACTAGTCGCTTAGAATTACTATGTATACTGTAATCATTCACGGTGGTACGTTTCGGACGAAGGCTTTACGCCGTGGAAGGACTTGCTCATGATCTGGTGAAGTTTTTCTTCTTCTACATATGCGAGACCCCTCACTTTTTCCCTAGAGCAGATAACGACTACCAGAAAGAATGGAACCTCCACTACATATATCTTACAGACGTAGATCGTGCTATCACGATATCACGAAGTCATCACGTAGCATACATATTATGAGTCACTTCCTCTACACACTTTATGTATGCATGTACTGTACCTAATAGTTATGGCTCGCTCGGCTCGGTACAAGATGCTACGCCACCAAGCCATAAAGTTACTTATAGGAACATGATCGATACAACAAAGCATTGACGCAAGTGCAAGGTTCTAGATGCAGCATGACAACCTCTACCGTCGATGTATACGGGTAGGTGCATGATCCTCCTATGGACTAGAATTGGCTAAAAACCAACAAAAGCTAGATCGTCAAATGTTCTCGACTGCCTAGCATAGCTTAGCAAATGAGAAACGGGAAGTAGGAAATGTGGTATAATTACTAGCATGAGGATTCTCAATAGTACAGTGTATACGTTGCGGATAGGAACGTGACTGTTGAATTGATAACTGTATAAACCAACCAGCTGATACGACATTGGTTTTCGGTGAGAATCTGGACTTGTATTCGTCGACTATGTCGAACATGATTGGTGTTGTGTACCGGCAAAATATACACGACAGTATCCAACTTGCCTGCCCTGTAGGGGTCCTTGGCAATTGAACAGATATGATTGGATTAATACCACCTCATCTCAATCGGGAAATCACCAGGTTTCTCACCGCCCTTTTTATAGGAAAGGCTTCTCGCGTCACAGCTCAAGAATATTAGGGCGAGCAACGCCACAGGAATACACATTTTGGACTAATCTTAAATATTCCGATACGCCGCAAGTGTACTGCTCGTTTTGAGTGATGGGAGCCATCGTATTTCATTCTCAAGGCTCAAGTAAAGCCGCAAGAGAGCGAACACATGTCAATTGATGTTGTACAACTCTCTGCCACGCCTCAGCACTAAAATAACCAGCTTCGACCCTGTCGTCGGTGAGACCGCATTTAACATAGCGTCTCCAAGCTATTATTATTTAGAATTTAACTGAGTCTCCGAATATGACTTGTAAGTTTGTTGCTACTATCTTTGGATCAACTTATCAGCGTTCTTCGGAGAAAATGCGTTGGACAGCTTTGATGCCATTTGAACTGTTGACTTCGTATATATTGGATCGGGGATTTCGAAGACAATCTTACCCGACTTTCGAAATAGCAATGTAGTTGGTAACCACAGGTCACCGGCAAAGGATAGTCAAATGCGGCGGCATAAATAAGGGTCCGTCCGAGTCCTGAATGAGACGATTCGCAAACGCCAAATTCTCACGCTTCAGTGTGTGAATGATTCGGCTACTAGTCGCCAACCCCGAGATTCCGATGCTGACAGTTAGGATGAGGTAGCTCATAAATGCCAATAGCCTTTGGGAATTTGGACAGGATTGGCGAAAGAGGTTACTGAATCGGAACAACTGGCTCTAAGCGGCAGTGTCCGAGGCTTCTGCGCCGGGAATAGCGACGACAACTCATCAGTACATCATCATACTTCCCGGTTATGAACCGGGCGCGAAGCGAGTGGCTACCATATCTCTAAAACCGAATGGTCGATTCATTTTATTAGTAACCCCGGGATAATGAGATCTCCTAGATCTGTCGCGCCAGCTCCTAGAGGACAGATTCGGGACTTTGGTCGCACGCCTTGCGGTTTTCCCCTATGTCGTGGCCTCTTAAGGAAATTACCTGGCCAAAACCACAACCAGGGGACGACGAGAACGTCATAATCAGCCAACTCTGACTGCTAACCAGCTGATGGCCTATAGCTACAATTTCAGCACATTTTTTTATGCCTCCCAAGCCTTAGTCCCTGAGGATCCCAAGGGGTGCTGCGATAAGCAAAGGCTCACCCCTTCCTTAGCGAGGAATAGATTCAGGACACATATGCTATCTCCCAGAGGGGTATTAGGGTCATTCTAAGCGATACCCGAACAACTCGCTGCCTAGCCTTGGTCAACGGTCAATGAAACTTGGCGAGTCATCAAAACTCAAGGCATAATCCAACCCCCCAAGTAGCAATAAGGCGGCAATCCACAGATGAATATCTCCACATAACCATATTGGCCATACGTAGGATGTCCGATAACGGCCTTTGGTTTTGTTGAAGTGTTCATTACTACAGGTTACCATGGAAGTCTTATTGTAACGTCGACAACAAGACGGAGGTTTTTGGCGTCATACCTACTAAGAAACTTCTCGGGCTGCTACCTTATATCGGTCAAAGTAGCAGACGCCTGACGACATCTGGGTTCCTGGCCATTCGGGATTTGGACACATCTCAGTTGGTTGGATTTCTGATTAGGCAGGAAATGTTGGACCGTAGCCTAGTCAATGAAACCTTGATACCCCCGGTTACCCGTCCTTGCATAGGGCGAGATCTAATAAGGGATGTCAGGATTAGGGAGTAATGGTAAGTCCATAGAATGATGGCCATAGTCATTGTATCTGTAGTAGTGTTAGATAACTCTTGGGCTATCACCCCGTAGAGTGACAGATGGCTGGCTGATAGACAGCCAAGGTATACAATATATTGAAGAAGCCTGTTAAAGCCTACCCATATTCAAATCTAAGGGCACCTCAGCACCCTGTTTACTATCCAGTAGCTAACCGGTGATAAGCTTCCGTCTAGAACTCCAACCACGTCACTGAACTTGGTTAGCGAGTGCTGGCTCTGGTATTTTACCAAAGACGCTTTATTGGACGCATGGTCAACCTCATCAGAAGGTAGTTTGGTAAGCCGCCACATCGAAAGGACTTAAACAATCTTCATGAGAACCTACGTAAGGTTAGGTAGGTATTCATATTACTTGGAATTTGAGCAATACCTAGGTTAATGATCAATAGCTGCAATGATAAGAGTAAGAATTTGAGATCCCGATGTCAAAATAGAAGACTAAGGAAGCTTATAAATGAATGTACTAGAAGCTGAATAATAACTATCTAAATATAAACGTGAACTTCAAAGTGGAAGTCATTGATCATAACAGCTAGCGATGACAACGATTAAGGAACACACGTGATCATCGAATTACCTTAGGAGGTACCTATGTACATATATTAGATAAGCTTAGGTAGAGCCACAGGACACAGGTCACAAACCTTACTAGCCACAACAAGACCATGAGCCCCATTTTCTAGTGACCCGCCTGTCAGCCCAATTTCGCAATTTCAACTTTCAGCCCTACCAACCAACAATCGAGATCTAGAGAACTTATCGCTACTTCTAGTCATGCTAAAGCTTTACGGTAATTCGAATTTGCATCCCTCCTTGATGTGCCACCGACCATGTACGGTATGCATGTCAAGAGATGATCTGCAGGGACTTGCAGCTAACAATTCTATACTCACCGTTTCAAGTTCCCACCTCGAGTAACCATTCGCTTAAGATCAACCCAAGCTTCTTCAGTTTCTCTCTCTTCTTCTTCTTCTTCTTCTTTACTTTTCTACTTCACATATTGATAGGGTCTTTGGTGACGTCATTGATTCATAGTGGGGACAGTTTCTCATATATATGGCTCATACTTAAGACCACATGGACGGGTGTCAAAGATACCCAAGGTCATAAAACCCGGGTTCTCGTAGAACTTTCAGGGCAATTCTGCACTAGCAAAGACAAGTTCTAACCACACCAAAACTAATTTAGTCGTATTAGTTTCCAATAACTAAGTCTCTAGTTGAAGCTGTCAAAAAAGTTGGGCTCCCTTAAGGCTAATGCCAACTATCCTTATCGTTAACTTCAATTACCTTCAAAATAAGCGAAGGGAGGTTATTCCCCGGGATCTAGGAGGTGACCGCCGGTCGCTTATCCGGAATTGCCCGGGGTTGTATTCAAATACCATCATGGTTGTGTATTTACGACTATGCTGCTACCACAGTCAAGACAATTTCCCCTCTTCCGGTTGATAAATCTCGTCATCTGATACAGCTTATAGAGTAGGAATACCAGCGCCACTTTCGTGTTGGGGTGTTAGCGCTACTCCAAACTAAGAAATAGTCACCCCTCCTACGAGCATCCCTTGGAGTCAAAAGGTGGTGGTGTACGCACTTGCAAGTCGCCGGGCGTCGGGCGAATAGCATATCACAGCCTCTTCAACAATCAATAATGGAATCTATCACATTTCGCATACTTCTAGCGGTGGAGTGCATATACGGTGAGTTCTCCCTTGTAAGCGCTATATTCAGCTTCATCGCTTTAGAGTATTTGTGTAAGTGAGAACGGTTACAATGGTCATTCCGCAAATGTCTGGCAGTCTAGTACGACATCGCGTAACCCCGACTTCTGTATGAAATCACAACTCAAGTAACAACTCGAGTAAACAATCGTCAAGGTAGCATTTTCGACATCAAACGAACTCGTGTTCTTCTAAAGCTTGTGCCGCACTCGAGCTTCATGCAAGGTACGATGACGATGCATACGTATTCGCCGATCCAAACGCAAGTCAATTCGATCAAGTTCCGATATTATCAAATCACAAGGGCACAAGCCTCAAGACGTCGCAATCATAGCATACAGATGCAATTGAATTGCGGTTGTTTCGGCTGATTTTCTGTATACAATATTGTCAGATGCCTATCTGGCCGAACTTGAGTTGGTGGCCTCGATGTCTTAAAAAGCCGGCTTATGCTCTATCATTGTTGGTGACCCCCACCCACCAGCCCAGTCTTCAAATCAAATCCACACACCATCTCAGACGCGTGATGCTCTTTGTGGAAATCAGCTTGAAGTTCGCATTTGTCTGAGCCTCCCACGGCTAAGCACTTAGTCTAAGTGATTCATTGCGAGATAGCGCGTCCGTCCACGAGCTCTGCCAAGTTCCCAAAGGGTTGCCTTTCCCCAGTTGGGAACCTCAGGCATGACCACCATCTTCTCCAGCCCGCCCACTCACAAGGCAACCTCTTAAGCTAACCGGTGACTAACACATTCCTTGACATCTTCTGCCTAGTGGTAGTATATATTACGCGGCTTTCCCGCGCTTTCTACACTTCGCTTTCGTTCTACTTATATTTCACGACTCGTCAATTTTATCTCTCGAGGTGGTTGGCCGGTTTCAATTCTCACCTCCCGGATCATTTTACCTGAGCCGGCTCGAGCCCGGCGACCTTCGTTAAGGTTACAATAAGGCTCTTTATTCCATTTTGTTAAAGTTATCAATCCAAATTTCTAGTAATGGTCACGCTGCGGAATCCGGTCTCTTGCTCCTAACCCCCTTTTCCGGGCCCCGTCACCAACAAATTAACTACCATGCCTTTTTTACCTACTAGCACATCTATGCGTGGCCAGTCGGAGCCGTCTTGGCCGCCGAGTCCCAGCCGTCTTCCTCCGTCGTTGGAAGATGATACCAACTCAACAGACGATGATGAGCTTGACGCTCAGTGGTCTAATGAGAATCCCATGATGTATTTCCTTACACCACCAACTCCAAAGGAAGAAGATCTCGAATTTGATTTTGAGTTTGACGCCGGGATTGAGGACTCAACTAAACCTCGGGAGATCATCCGTACCGTCTCTCCTTCTACTCTCGATGGGCTAAGGAAGTACAAGCCTAGAGACAAGATGGCAGACTGCGCAGTCTTGGATGACAATGAAGATGACGACGATGATGACGAGGATTATATCCGCTTCCATCCTCATGGCCATACATCTCTACCATTTGGGTTTGAAAAATTCTTCGATCAGACAAGGCCGTCTTCCACCGTAACATCTCAGACCACAGAGTCTCTATTATCACCCGCCGCATTTCACGTCGGTTCACCCAAACGTACCGTAAAACGGTTCGCACCCCCACGGCGTCCTCTTAGAGGAAGGGCGCCTCGCCAATCGCTTCAACGACGACATTCATGGCGTGAGCCAAGTCCCGATGTTTATTCTATAGAAGAGGAACCAGAGAAGGAAACGATGAGCGAGATGGGCTTAAGCGTTGAAGACCTGACTGACGATCAGGAGAAGACGCGACCAATAGATATACCGGCTGCAAAGCCACGGAAGAAGGTTCGGTTCGTGTTACCGGTTAAGGATTAATTGCATATAGTGTTTACACTTGGATATGGCATACCTTGCATAGGACGGCGTTTGTTGATTTTCCCCCCTTTGGATTTCTTGGGCTTTCTTATTCTTGTCACATTCAATCTGCATACGGAACGGATTGAGCATCTTTAGCATAGGCATATCGGGTTTCTTTCCTAGTCTTGGAGGATACTTGAAGCAACAAAATCCTGAGGGTGTTCGGGCAGATACCAAATCTAATCTTACTTCATATTCATTAACTGCTCATCTTTTAATTGTGTGACTGGCGTCGTAATATCCCTAACAAGACTGCTCCTAGGCACCTAATAGATATCTGGTGTGTAGTCGAAACTAGGGTACACCCCACGAAGTTCGGAGTCACATCCGTATATGCACAAATATGAGGTGAAATCAGGAATCTGCTCCATCTTGCTTACGCATGCTGCAACGTAAATCAACGCCGATCCTGTAGATAGTCGGCCACACCAACTACAGGGGTATGGTAGTCCTGTCACTATATCGTCACTGGCACACCTTATTTCCATATGACGAGATAAAGAACCAAATAAGGGGTTGCTGAGACGTGCTTAGTAGCTTCATAGTTACTTGGCTGCAAGGGCTATTGTCCTACACGCCGTCCAAACCGGCCTAGAATAGATGTGCTTGTACTACTTGGCTAATCTGGATGAGTGAGTGAGTGAGTGACTTGCCCGGCCCGACTCGGATTACACAAATCGCGGCGCGGCGCGGTATCGCCTTCTGTTCGGATCGAATCGCTTCCGGCAATGGGATATGGGATGTGATGGGATGGGATGGGATGGTACTACCCAGGGAGGTGGGAAGGGTAGAAGATGGATGTATGTATGTAAGAAAGGCAGAGGCTAGCGCCAACTGCTTCGTGGCTATGCTCATGCAGCCCTACGAGCTTACATATGTATTCCCCGACGCGCATACATACATGTAGGTATGATGATCTTCGCGTCACACGACGGTGCTTTGCGTATGTAATGGGCCTCTGTGTGTGTGTATGTGGGTGTGGGCAATATGTTAGGTACATACATACATACATACTTACAGAGAAAGAAGTTCACGTAGTGTGGCCTTGGCGTCAGCATAGATACCATGCAGAGTACGCTACATACATACATATGTATAGTAAAAAAAATTAAGTTCCCAAAACAGACAGCCGAACAGACGACCAGCCAACCAGCGCCGCGGGATGCGCCCCCAAGGCACGGGTTTAGACGAGAGTTTCTATGCTAAACCCACGGCCGTTGACCGCTCATCCTGCGTGCTTGGGGGAGGCGCCAGGCGCACGTGGGTTGGGTGAGCTTCCTCGGGCGTACCGGGCTACTGGGTCGATGGCTGGGCTGGAGGTTTACGTGAGCAAGAGCTGGTTAGTGAGTAAGTCGAGTGAGCACTAGTAGAGTCCCTTTCGTCCGCAACTTGCTTTATATAAGATGCGCGCGGGATGTCTACCTACCTATGGAATGATTTGAGAAATTGGATTCTAGTTAATATAACTATGGCTTAGTCTGGTAGTCTAGCACGTTCTGTGACGATGATGATGATGATGGAAAAGCTAAGAGGTAGTGGGTTGGGTTGGGTTGGGTAAGGTAAGGTAAGATGGCTAATAATATCTGGCTTGGACCCGGTTCTGATAATGGGCCGTCTGAGCTCATGCTTTGATTTGCGAGTTTTCGCCGCGCGATTCCGAGGCTGTGACTGTTTTTAATTTCTAGCTGTTGCTCATCTAGAAGGCGAATATATTCTGTATTAGATACACAAGCTGGTTTTTGTTAATTCGTAAGCTGTGCCTCTGAACATCCCCCCTATCTTGCTCCTACTTGTGTCATAAGACAACTCCTCGTTGAGTGTTATGAGCAATAACAATTAGAGCACATCATTCATGACTGACTCAAGTAAGGATTAGGGCGCTTTGAATATATCGTATGGACGAAGCCTCCATATAAACTTGGTGTTGAGATAACGGAGGTAGATAGCGATGGTTCATCGGACTTTCTAATACCTTTCACATGTCACCGCACTACTAGACTGAGACAAAGCTGATGGGTAGTCCTAACAGCTTAATATTATGCCCATTCCGAGAATCAAATAGAAGCGTATATGTTTACGCCTCAGCCTATTACTTGTTACTTATACGACAAGGCTGCTCTGCCCCTATCAACACATCCTTTACGCTAACCCCCACCCCGTTTTCTTTAACATATATTAAGATGGATTCGCTTGTGACTAGTTTAGTGGCCTTGCAATCAAGTATCTCTGATGTAAGGTAGGGCTGGAAAAGCTACGCCACACCCTTTGCCTCTTATAGGATGGAATATAGTCAATCTCGTAACTTGGCCATATGTATCTAGAAGATATGATATATCGATAGTATCATCCAATAATAGCAAAAAGCGTCTCTATAATATGAGAAGTGCTATGACTTGTAGTGGTCGGCACAGCTGAGAACGAATTGTATATTGTACCGTTTAGTAAACTGTCCCATGTACGAGACTATTCCGACAAATCTTGAAACCTTTGACTTTTACACTTGGCACGAGCTACGCCTAGAATACCCAAACATCAATTATTCCTTAGTTCAGCCAAGATAAAACGAAGGAGTGCGCGTTAGCAAACTTCGAGGAAGGGCGGATGGATAATCAGAAGAGGACAATTTATCTGCGACATCAGTATTTCAGAGCCCAATCTTAGAATAAGGTGGGCGTGACACTTCCATTACACAACAACAAGAGAGTAATACCATCCGAAAGCAACGTGCGAAGGAAGCCATAGGGATCTTACTATCAAGTTCCACCTTAGGGGTTCCCTAACTATACGAGATAGCCTTATTCTCACCTTCTCGAATCCTAACAGACAATATCGTAAATTTCACCTAAGGAAACAGGGATATGGGTATGGGATATGATCACATTATGACTTATAATCCTATCGTGATAGGCCAAATTTTGTATTCACTTAATGCTAGGGAGTTTATATTCTGAAGTAAGGGATAAGCTGCAGTGTAGAAAAACTATTTTGTAGGCACGCACGTGTTTGCACGATAGGACTCATCTGTAAAAAGTAATCCTATTGGATACAACCAATTACCAGCTGTTATGAAGGGATTTTGTATACGAAGCATACGCATCTTATTAGGTTATGAAGCTCAATAGCCCTTGCCGCAATATTCCTCGTCGGTATAGACAACTACAACAATTCATCCTCTTCAAGGATAAATCACCCCTTCGGTTACCAGTATAGAACGTACCATAGTGAAGTATTCATAAGTTTAAACATTTGTATTTTCTTCAAGACAACGGGTCTTTCGTTTTCCTATCATCCTAAGTACACCGGAGTCTATGTATTCCTCAGCCCCTAAAGTGGAGACCGAAACAGTCAAATATTCTAGCGTGGAAGAATACCGCCCCAATAATTCATGGTATAAGTCCTATCGTGCCGGATCCTCAATCGATCCGGTGTGTTGACTAGGGACGCGAAACTCCAACGCCGCCAACGCCTTGCCCTAATGCAATTTTCGTGTGAATACAAGTCAAGAATGCAGCTAGAAAAGTGAGCACTTTGCTTTACTCATCTTCTGCATCCTCCGTATCATCTGCGTCTTCAACCGTAACCGCTTTTGCCTTTCCTTTCGTTTCACTCCTCGTTGATGTTTCTTGCTCGTCGCTTGAATTACCACGCGGACCTTCTGATGTTGAGGGTTCTCCTGCTCTCGTTCCAGGCTCATTTGTAGAGGCTGAACCACCAGCCCCGCTGTTAGAATATAGCTGAGAAGCCCCGCCCCAGTTAGGCACTACCGGGATAGGCGCAGCCACTGCAGGGGGTTCTCTCTGCGGCTGTGAGGTAGTTCCGGAAGTTTGCTCTGCTGTATACCTATTAGATGCCTCGACAATCCGAGCAAGGGAGTCACCAATTCTATGAATTGATGGCTGGGGACCACCGGCGAGGCCAGTAGTTGTAGCATTCGTATTCGCTGTATCGTTTGTTTGTAACTGCTGGCCGCTAGCATCAACTTGTTGACTGGTTGGCTGAGCCCCTACGGGAGCTTGTGGTGGCTGGCCATCAAGGCGCTGAAGAGGCAATAGTGACCAACCAGGGGGTATGGTAACACCTTCGGGTAGTTCTGAGCTACCGGCAGGGATAGCAGTCGAATAAGATACACCTCCATGTCTAGTCATTGTCGGGGTTGCTACACGAGGTGGGAAACCAGAAAGTGAGGGAAACTGTGGCATGGGTTGAAAAGGAGCAAAAGGGGGTTGTGGTGCAGTTGCATGATCAGAAGCGAATTGGACGCTAATGTTCGGGTGTCCGGGTTGGGCTGTCGGCGCGGGTTGAGGATCATGTTGCACCTGACGAAGACGGTTCAGCTCTGCTGTTAGAGCATATAGGATGTGTAATTCGGATTGGCTCGCCTGTAGGGTTTGCATTTCCATTTGGATTCGATTTGAGATGTCATGAAGTTGTGCCTGTATTTCAGTAATACTGTTCGGATTATTTGGATGGGTAGCGCCAGGGGGGGCTTGAGCGGTCGGCGTTGGTGCCGCAGGAATGTTGGCGCCATCAAGAGGGACACGAAGACGTTGAGCCATCTCATGGATATTCTGGGCGTTACCTTGGGCAAAGCCTAACCTAATAGGTCCGAACTGGAACACCCTCATATTACCTCCTGGGCGAGCTTGCGCTGGCTGACCAGCATTTGCACCCCTATTACCTGGTGCTGGTTGACCTGGAACATTAGGCTGGCCACCAGGAGCTGCGCCGTCATTAGGTGCGGCATCCTCGATAGTAACTGGGCGTCGACACGTTGGGCATACTTGTTGTCTCTCCATCCAGCTCTTAAGACATCCAAAGTGCAAGATGTGGCCGCATGGAAGCCTTTTTGGGCGGAACCGCTCTACTGCGCCTGCGGCAGATGGATCCCACGGTCTCATGTCTTCTCTGCAGATGATGCAAGTATTCTCGCGCGCCAACTCTTCTTCAGTAGCGTCAGG